TAGTCCCTGATTGGTCGTCCCGATTTGTCGTCGCTTTATTACTGCTTGTTCTTTGTTGTTTTTTCGTGTCTTTTCCGTTGTGGTTTTGTCGTGTCCATTTTCGTCTTCTCCTCCTGCGCCCTCGCCGTTTATTATTGAGAAGTGAATACTAGTATTGAAACGAACTGAACGGTGTGCTGTTGTTTGGCGGGGCAGGGGGAGAAGACTATTGCCATTTCAACTACATCACCAGAACATCTAGAAAAAAAGCAGCCGACCTTCTCCATAGTGATGAAGCAGATCTTGACCAAACTTGCCGTTTGTACACAAAACAACTTTTGTCTGCATGTAAGAGAGGGAGAAGGAGAGAGAGAGAGAGAGAGAGAGAGAGAGAGAGAGAGAGAGAGAGAGAGAGAGAGAGAGAGAGAGAGAGAGAGAGAGAGAGAGAGAGAGAGAGTAAGTTACATTTATAAAGACAGGTAAGTCTAACAAATGAGGACTGAGACCTCTACAACAGGGTTTACGCCTGAAAGCAGGTGCATGATTTAACAAGCAGGTTGTCAGTCTAGATTTTATGCGCAGATGGAGAAAAAGCGCAGAATTTTTGTAATGAGATGAAAAGCAGAAATAATAAGAAAAGATGAAATGAAAGCCTGCTCACAACCCCGCCCAGCCTTGCGAACTGGGTATGGTGGATTAAGAACCCGGAGAGAGAGAGAGAGAGAGAGAGAGAGAGAGAGAGAGAGAGAGAGAGAGAGAGAGAGAGAGAGAGAGAGAGAGAGAGAGAGAGAGAGAGAGAGAGAGAGAGAGAGAGAGAGAGAGAGAGAGAGAGAGAGAGAGAGAGAGAGAGAGAGAGAGAGAGGCATTCATCGTCCAAACGTGACAAATCCAAACCAAAAACATGCATACATGATGTGCAAAGGCGCAGAATATACAGCCTCATCAGTCATTACCGCAGAATCAAACTCACGCTTACTTCATGTACAATTTATGTGCACTTCGAAGCGAGTAAACCCCAAAAAGAAGACCCATATCTAACCTGTCTTTTGCAACCCCTGCAGATCACCTGCGCTTAGAGGCCAGTTGTTCTGGGCCCCAAACAGTGTCTCAACACAACCTGTGTAGAAAGACCAAATCATCAGTCTACCAAGGCTGGTTTTGTACACAGAGGTCAGCAAAGACAGGTTTAAAACAGCACATGTCATACTGTAGTCAGATCAACACACAAGTTGTGAAGTGTATCCACCATCCAGCCATGACGTTGCTAGACCATCATTACCTTGCCGTTTTTACCAAGCCATTCAATCTCTATGGAGTGCCCATCCTCGTCATCAAAGCTAAACTACAACACACAAGATGGCAAAGCAGAATAAGCACAAACTTTCCATATATGTGACTATGTGCAAAGATATCATGTACGCAATGAGAGTGATGTCAATAATTTGCTTCAAGAATAACGGGAAATCGACGATTGTAGCCCAAATGTACATTTGGGAAATACGAAAACTCAGTAGCGTCAACGAAGCATACAGCAATCAGTTTGCACAGCCAAGTTGCCATGGGCTACTCGTACAGTATCATGTTACATGTCACATGATACTGTACGAAGTGCCAGCTTGCTGGCGTAATTTTCCAAAATAATAATTTAATTTCCCTAGGCCATAGGCCTTCAACTAATGAATACAAAAAAACTGGAAAAAATCATTTCCTGTAGAAACTAGAAAGGTCATTCCAATCCGAAAAAAGTTGCTAATTGTGTGCAATGAATTGTATGTCAACATGTAAATGATGTCTTACTTGTCTGGCTGGTACGGTCAGTTCCTTGGGTGGCATGGTACACGTAGTCGTGTCCTCCAGGGTCGGTACTCGCCTTGCCGCTCGCCTGGACTCCCTCGCCTTGAGCGGGGTGGCCAACACTGTATTAGCTGCTATGCTCCACAGGAGGCAGCAATAGTAGAATGTCATGCGCGTCGACATGATTCAATACGGGGAGACTAAGTCACCACCGCGAGAGCAGTACACCTGTACTATAGCATTTGCGAATGTCCGAGGTTTTAGGAACTGTTACTGCAGACTTCCGAGGTCACGCAGACTACTTACTAATTCAATGCAAATTTCTCCGGTGTAGATCTACCCCTCAACGCATGAAGAACGATTTGAACAAAACCAAGAATCTAGAAAACAAAGAAAAAGTGACTTTCACAGCTCGTGCACGCGTGCCACGTGAAGATAAGCAGTCAGTCACTAGTCAGTTTGTGTCTTGATTGATGGCAGTATGGCTACGCACGCTATTTTTCACTGGCTGGCAGTGGCTGCAGTGCTACTGCTAGGCTGTCTGTTCATGTAGACTACAATCATACTACATAGTCAATAGTACTGCCACTGGTAGATCAACCATGCCGAGCGTATGTCAGGGTCATATCAACACAAAGATCATGCATGGTGATCGATGCCGATGGTCAGACTCACAAAAATGACCGGAGGGCCAGCTGCAAGTCACGTTAGTGGAGGCCAAGGCAAGGACGAGTGCATGCGCGTGTCAGATCAGACACCGACGCATCTGCGCCTAGGCGCCTGCTGCTATGCGCTGCACATGCATGCAGTGAACAGGTCAGTGCCGGTGAAGCGGAGATGTCGGAGCCTGGACGGCAAAGCGACCACGAAGCGCAAGGAAAACTCGTACAAGACGCAGGATCCAGCAGTACCAAGTACTGTACAGCTGGTATGTACTGAGCTGTACCAGCAAGACTCCATAGCCCCACTTGGTACCAACCTTCGTTACTATACTACTGTACTACACTGTAGTCCGTAGGCGTCACTGGTATCACGCACTGGATCGAAATCGTGGGATACCACTGTACGTCATGTACTAGTCTGCGTCTGCTATTTGGGACGGTTCTGGCGCGAGCCCTCGCTAGCTGTAGCCGGTCCGTAGTTCTACGACTCGATTGGTGCGTTATGAAGTGTTTGCGGCCAGAGTTAATCCCCAAATGATGAACAGACGAGGCGTGTGGTACAGTGGTGTTGAAGCTTGAAAGGCACCGCTTTTGCCGGCACTAGATTTAAATAGCAGAACAAAATCGGAAGATCTTGACAAGTAAAGACAATAAAGATATCATTCATTTGTTGTATCCTATCCTAGGCCCTGCTCTACTCAGGGCAGAGACGGCCATAGCCCATGTAGCCCCCCCCCCCCCCCAACGCACACACACGCACACACACACACATGTACGCAAAAACATAACGTGACACACACATATGCACACAAACACGCACACACAATGTGTGTGTGTGCGTGATGTGTGTCTTTATGTCCTAAAGACACACACACACACACCACACCAAAGACAAGTTAGCAGAGGACTGAAAGATAAACACCCCATGGCATGGCAATTTTGTTACAGTACCGTATCACCGCCAACCAGACTGCAGCAGGTCAACAGAATCTGATGATGAAGGCACTATTACTAGTATTAGAGTTACTGAGGACTCGCAGTAAGCACGCCATGCACAGCATGTACTCACATACAAACCAGTAACACACGACAGTGATAGAGACACTCGACGTCATAGCGTACACGGAAAGAGAAAACGGCCGAAACAAAACGGCACGCAAGCAGTGGACCAGCGCACCAAATAGCAGCGCGGAAAGGTCAGCTCACTCCGCCTCAAACTAGTACTTGAGGTGATAAACTGACTAGCTAAAATATAAGAATACATACAAGAACGGGGATCTGATAATGGAACGGGCGCAATATTAGAACCACGCAGAACTACTTCAAAGTATTAAAAAGACGCCACTAAAAAGGGTAGGGTAGCAATTAACTAGCAAACACGTAACTAAAGCAACCGAGTAAGAAACTACTACAAACCATGATGGGAGCTGTGAGGATAGAAAAAGCCAGTGACAAAAGAAGATAACTCCGATGGCAGTGGCAATGAATGCTACGGAGAGAACAGCTGCGATGAGTGCGGAGTGTGAAAAGAAAGATGGCTGCCAGCTAGCAGCAATATCCAGTGCACACAGAGCTAGAAGCAGAGCCAGCAGCAGCTGCAGCTGATATCGCACACTTGGACCACATCTGTACGTAATAACCACACTAGCACGAGAACACGTTACACGCGAGCGCACACAAATTATTACGTCCATACACACGGATAACTACGACAGTGAAGGAGGTGGTAATGGGAGCAGTCAGAGGAGATCGTAAGAAGCAGCCAGGCAAACCGGCAAAGTACGAAAGAAAGCAGCATGTATTTCATGATGCAAAAAGGTTAGTTTTCCTTTCGTATTACATAAGACGGCACTAGTATATGTTGTTGTTGTTGTTGTTGTTGTTGTTGTTGTTGTTGTTGTTGTTGTTGTCGTTGTTGTTGTTGTTGTTGTTGTTGTTGTTGTTGTTGTTGTTGTTGTTGTTGCTGCTGCTGCTGATGTTGTTGTTGTTGTTGTTGTTGTTGTTGCTGTTGCTGTTGCTGTTGCTGTTGTTGTTGTTGTTGGTTGATGTCCGTAATGTTGTCTTCATTGTTGCAGTCGTTGTCGAACTAAAGTCACCAGTACAACAAATCATTGAAGGAGTAAGTCTACATAGAAAGCCGCTAGCATTTTTAACAAATTGGGGTCAGTTAAAATATTTAAAAAAGAATATCACACAGAAATGTCACTACTTTGCCGCTATCAACCAGCATGGAAATGCACGTACAAAAACAGAAGAAGGAGACGTGGATGTATCCGTTGATGAAGTGACATCACTAAATATTTGAAGTAGTGATGGCAGGTGTGGTGGTGGTGGTGAGATGATGTGACTGCGACTCAGTGTTGCGTCAGTGAGATGGCTTTGCACGGTCTATGTACATGGTCAACAAGCGCATCTACACAGCACAAAGGCAGCGGGATATAGACACACAGGCACACAGGCGCACAGGGGGGGGGGGGGGGAGAGAGAGAGAGAGAGAGAGAGAGAGAGAGAGAGAGAGAGAGAGAGAGAGAGAGAGAGAGAGAGCGAGAGAGAGAGCGAGAGAGAGCGAGAGAGAGAGAGAGCGAGAAAGAGAGAGAGAGAGAGAGAGAGAGAGAGAGAGAGAAAGCGAGAGAGAGAGAGAGCGAGAGAGAGAGAGAGAGAGAGAGAGAGAGAGAGAGAGAGAGAGAGAGAGAAGAGAGAGAGAGAGAGAGAGAGAGGAGAGAGAGAGAGAGAGAGAGAGAGAGAGAGACAGAGACAGAGAGAGAGACAGAGAGAGAGACAGAGAGAGACAGAGAGATAGAGATATATATATATATATATATATATATAGAGAGAGAGAGAGAGAGAGAGAGAGAGAGAGAGAGAGAGAGAGAGAGAGCGAGCGAGAAGAGAGAGCGAGAGAGAGAGAGAGAGAGAGAGAGAGAGAGAGAGAGAGAGAGAGAGAGAGAGAGAGAGAGAGAGAGAGAGAGAGAGAGAGAGAGAGAGAACACACAAACACATACCAGAAGGAGAGAACACAGCAACACAGCTAATGAGGAGAAAGCATTGCAGCCGCGAGGCAGGCAGGATGGCACCATAGCAGCAGGCGAGTGGTCGACACAGATATGTGTCAATCCACGTACACAAAACAAACACACACGGCAACTACTACCATACGGTACTTACACACTGCTACACTGGGATAACTACACATCATGTACACTGTACACTGTACTCTGTACACAGCACCAGCAGTAAGGTCTTACCTGGCTGACGGTAAGACTCTTGAGATGTGCCATGAGACTCTCACCCACAACAGCGTGCATGGCGACAAGACAGAACACACTGGCTTTGCGCACACTGCTGTCAGCATGTGCATAGTTCTGAACACAAACAAACACACAACACAATGCAGAATACATGTACAATCCGATATCTCTCTTATCCGGGCAGTCCGGGACCGGACACTGCTCATAACTTCGTAATATCCGGGACTTTTGCATCACTACAGTATTTCTACAAAAATTGGCACAAGAGTAGTAATATTTCCACTAAAACTAGCTCATAGGGTGTCCAGTAGACCAAGATGCCCGTAACTTCGGGGTCCGGATAAGAGGGCTATGAGTGTACAATGAAACTGCCTGCCTAAACAGACCAATGCTCAAGGAACACCCAATATAGGCCCGTGTCCACAGGGGGTCTCCTAAGCCAGGGACCAGGGTCATTTGAGTGGAAATGACACCCAACAGCACCGGTCCTAGCGCTACTCTGGGAAAGATGGTTACATTATCAGAGTGGTTACCTTGGCGGGTTTCATGGTAACATGAAGAGGATGCATTATAGAGCTTGTGCAGCATTCACACTATCATCTAACTAAAAGTGTAGTGTGACACAGTGGAAAAATGATTCAGAAATCTAACAGTCACGACTGGAGATTGTCACCACAAACGAAAATATTTTTCCTTTTAAAACGTTTTCCAAGGAGAGGCCAGGAAGTGGAATGACACGTGTGTGTCCATCGCAGCTACTCTCTCTCTCTCTCTCTCTCTCTCTCTCTCTCTCTCTCTCTCTCTCTCTCTCTCTCTCTCCGGGAGGGCTTACCGTAATGAGAGGTGGAATCAGCGATGGCAGCATGTCAATCAGCTCAGCAGGTGGAACACGAGCAACTACCTGTAGACAATAAGCAGCCACACACATTCACCCTTATCTTCCCGGACAGACACAAAAAGCAATGCTATCTGTCAATGGCACTAACAAGTTGCAGCTCAGGCATTCGCATCAATTTGGTGTCGACAGAAGCAGGAAAGACACACCTTACACGTGCCAAAAAACCCATAGGGTCAAAATTATCCTACTCAAGAGAAAAGCCCCAGAAGGAGGCCACTTCGATCCAGTTTTACAGTACTACTTCAAAAGTAACTGGTTTTACAAGTGCCCATGGGCTCCAATCCAGTTAGAATGGAGGAGCAAAAGGATGGTGTGACCTATACCGTAAAGTACCGTTGATCCGCCCCCACGCCATGTCGCTTCCCAGCTGGGTTTTCGGCAGGGGGCGGGAATTAGATCAAGGCTGTCAAGTGCAGTACGATGTACAACAACGTAGAAGTTAAGACTCGATGTGCTGGATTGTGCACATTTTGATCCTGGATTGGCAAGTATTGTGTACAGCAGTACATGCGTCGGTTCAACATCGTATTTTCGTTGTATACGCCGAAGTCGCTTCACAGGTAGAAAATCGACAGGGGGCGGATCAACGGTACTTTACGGTATTATCTCTTTGTTTGTCAAATCCTATATATAGGATTTTCCCAATTTTTGGGAAAGGGTAGATCATACCTTACAAAGTAAAGTTCTTTCTTCAGGACACTGTTGGAGTCTGCATTCCGTGTTTATCAGAGATGATGCCTGCCAAGTTTCACCAGCACAAAGGCTTTACTTTTTCTGTAACAGGCCTTCCCGTGCAAAGGTGTCCAGAATTTTCAAAATCCTATATATAGGATTTGGCCTCTTCAAAAATTGGTTTTGTTCTTCCCAGCTTCCCCTGCCAATAAAAACCATGGTTGGCAATATCTAAGCCTAGATATAGCCCATATGGAGCTAACACAAAAATTCTATGCATCTATGCCTAAAGAAGAAGCACCTACTAGGCTAGTACCAAAAGAGAATTCCACTACTAATATGTGTACATGCTTGAACACAATTGATTTAGTAAATGCCCGAACATGTAGTATCTTTAGTTCATATTGATCTGCGAGCACTTTCCAACACAACATCAATGCTAGGATGGTGCTAATATTCATCTATTCCACTCCTAGTCTATTTCTACCACCTGCAATTGCAAATCATCAGCAATAATTGCACATAGATACCTTTCCTGGGGGTCTTAGCCATTGAGTAACCTCTATTCATTCATTTCAAATAAAGAGAGGCATTGTGGGAAAGATCAAAATGCATCTTCAATAACATTGCTTCCACTTCGACCATTTTCGAGTCTACAAATGCGTCTTGAAGTCTAATCCTATATATATAGGATTAACTGGTGACAGACAAAGAGATAGTGCACTCGGCCGACCCGCGGTCTCGGCTTCATAGTGAGCTAGATGCACCAATATCACGAGAAAAAAGAGGAAAGGGGAGATTTGAATAGGCAATGGCCGTGTGACTGACCTTTGTCAGTAACTTGAGACAGCAGATGACTTGCGGGAACTCCTGTCGGCTGATGATGGGAAGCACAGACTTGACAATGGCCTGGGCAGGCAGGGCAGTAGCCACGGCTGGTATCATATCCTCAACCTGACGCACCACCTGGCGCACACAGACAAACACTGGCAATGTCAGCGGGGTGGGTACAGACAAACACTGGCAATGTCAGCGGGGTGGGTACAGATAAACAGGGAGTGTAGTGAATGTGTGAGACACGATGATGGCAGTCTCATCAACTGGAAACAGACCCCTCCTGAACATCACGTGGACGAGTCAAGCACAGTGCTGAGCCAGAATCAAAACGCACAAGTGGAGGTACAGAACCATAGTGACCTTTGCATAGTCCACACATCTGGTACCTAAGAAGAGTGGTCTTACAGACCAGGTGGTTGCCGAAATCAGGTGGTTGCTGAAATCAGGTGGGTTGCCAAAACCAGGTGGTTGCAGAAATCAGGTAGTTGCTGAAATCAGGTGATTGCTGAAATCAGGTGGTTGCTGAAATCAGGTGGTTGCCAAAGTCAGGTGGTCTTTTCTTGATAGGTCTACCAATACAGCAGTCGGATGCAGTGTTATCTGCACACAGTGTATTAACTACTTCAGAAGTAGTTCTTACATCAGGACTGGCATCCACATAGCATTTCAGTAGCTTGGCAATGCACGTGTGCGCACAGTCCTCGTTGAAGCGCGTCGGCTGAAAGCAGATCAGCTGGCGGAAGAAGCGCAACGCAGCCACACGTATGTCAACCTAGAGCAGGGAGCACAGCGATAACACAACACAGGACATGTACTACTTCGTGATACTGTTGGTGCAGTTATCAGCGCCAAGACAGAAAGCAATAATCCCGTGTTTGGGGAAACTCAAGCCCCGTCCTGGCCTTCCACACATGCACTTCACTAGGGTAACACAAACTCTATTATCACCCCAAAGGCCAAAACAGATCAGCACAACGATTACATGTACACCAGAAGCTGCATGGCATACTGGCCAACTCACTAGATCACATTGGCCAACTCACTACATCACACACTGACAAACTCATCAAAGCACACTGATCAACTCACAAAAGTACACCAACCAACTCCCTACAACTCACCAGGTCACACTCAAAGAGCAAGTGGTCCGTGTCGAGCACTGTATCGAAATGCACATCCCACAGCTCCACGTCATCCTCAATGGCCAGCTCTCCCAGGCTTTCCAGGGCCTGCATACACGCCACTACCCTGCACACAATCACATGACAGCGAGAACAGGACGTCACGAACACATTGATTACGTGTAAACTGGCATCATGGCATGTACACAAGCTCATATGGTGGAAACCCTACTGTAAAACCGGGGAATATTTGCTGGTGTAATATTTTCGGTATTTCCCAAAATCAACGTTTCGGTAGCGCAAAATATCGCTAAACCAGTTTTCCAGATCCAAAAATGCATTTTGCACACTGTGTGGCATGGCATGGTTGAATTTTAGGTCGCGTTTTATTTTAGGTAAAAATTACCTGTACCGAAGTTATCGAAAATAAATCTCCACCGAAATTTTCCAGTACTATATGCTGACCTGTATTGGCCAATAAATGCGCTGGCCAGAAGCCATTCCGATTCCCCAATATCACTGCCGAAACAGCCGCCCCCGCTTTTGTCACCTATTGGGTTTTGCGGTTTGGCGTACCTGGCACCGTAACCACTGACCGAGGTGTCCAGTTTGAGTCTTCCCTCTTCGTCATCTTGCGGCCCTCCTAAGCACATTATGATCCAAGAGTGGTGCCAGCAGCGCACCCCCCCACACACACACGCATGCACGCACCCCCCCCCCCCCCCCCCCCCACACACACCTTTGGACCTTTGGATGCCCATTGCTCCATGCAATGACTGCACATTCCAGCTCGCAACAAGAAGCCTCTGTCGTCCGAACTTTCTCTTTGCCTTCATCTTCAATTTCGAAAATTCAAATTTCGTTCGAACTATAATACTGCATCTCCTGCTTATGTTATTGCGTGTCAAAAACTCCCAGTTCTTTTTCTAATCGTGCCGCAATTTTCTTTAATACACTGCCTGCCGAGTGGCGCAGACACCACTGTACCTCTACATTTGCAAACCAACTCGGGGATCTTTTTAAAGACCCAGTGGCGTTTAAGAAGTATTTTGACCTTCTTTTTGGAATCGTTTGAGTTTCTCGATGATCTTGATCGTTCTTGTACTAAGCTTGAAGTCGATTTGGTGTTTGATTACTGTACTGCTTGATGTCTGGATTCCAATTTTTTTCTTTTCTTTTCTTTTCCTTTTCACTTATCCCGTTATCGGCCCTCTTAAGAGTTGTGTAAATCACTGTTGAGGCATCCGATGGTAAATAAAATAATACTACTACTAAGCGCAAATTCACTGAGACGGGCTGCCACAGCCATGGCCTGGTCTACACCACACGGCGCACGGCTGCTGAAGGCAGCTACATCCTCCTTGTCGGAGCTCCAAAAAGCACAACTGACTCCTACAACTACAACTGACACACACACACACACACACACACACACACACACACACACACACACACACACACACACACACACACACACACACACACACACACCACACACACACACAGTACTTACTGGGATGGGTTGGCCAATGCATCAAGCAATGCGGGTATGCTACTTGGATCGTCTGCAAGTCAAACGTGGATCGAGGTCGGCAGCAAAAGAAGAAAAGAACACCAAAAGAAGAGAACAGGAAACCAAGTGTTCATTTCGAGTGACAGCACAGCTGTGCATACAATGCAACATGGCATAGTAGATGGTCTTCATCATTTGACCCAACTACTGGGGAATATACCTACTAGCAATTGTACAGGACGCAATTGTACAGTGATTTTTTTCTGATTAGGCCAAAACAAATAATGACCTTGTTTCCGGTCGCCCGACCGGGCCACTTTTTCCCAAATTCTGAAACTTTTTTTGGTCCCAAATGTATACGAACGGTGGCAATGCCATGTGTGCAAGTGCACTCAACGAGTCATAACTCAGTCAAATCTCAACCGAATTCCACAATCGAAACACCTACAAGGTAGCAGAGATTCTCAGCTGTCGGCTCGAAAACCTATGGGGTCGATACGAGCTAGAATAACGGAGCTGGAAGGACTAGAACTGTTTGCTTGATTTCTCAGGATGTACGAAAACAGGAATACACCACATGCTGTACAAGAATAGTGAGTCAGTCAACTGTTACTTTGACATTGATCCTTGCCATGATATATGTACAATGTACATGTGTATATGCAGGTGCTCTTGTCCATCAATACCACAACGATTGAGGAACCAAAAAAAGTATTCAAAAAAAGTTTCATTCCGGCCGACCGAGTCTCCTTTTTGAGGGGTTGCCGACCGGAAACAAGCCTATTTTTTGTTTTGGCCTTATTTCATCACAATAGCTGGTGATCAACTATTTGTGATATGAACATGTTCTGTGACACAATACCTGTCAGTGCAAGCCTACTTCGAAGTAGTACTGATGTCATGGACCACAAAGTACTGTTGCCCCCACCTCCCTTCCTCTGTTGATTTTCGACCTGCGATCCAACAGTGCCACATAATTATGCCGAAATACTCTGACTTGAACCAATGCATGCACTGCAGCACGCAACACACGCTAGTTCAGGCATTGCGGTGGCTGGGAGCTGCGCACAGTCCAGTACTGTACTTCTGAAGTGTCACCGTTCACACTCAATTTGTGTAGTGGTTGTACATCATACTGTACATGGCAACCAGGTTGAACCTTGATCTAATTACCCCCCCCCCCCCCCGAAGTAAGGAACAGCTGGGTACTAGGGTAGCAATACTGATGTTGTTCTACAAAGGCCATTCATTGGGTGGTGATGCGGGTTGAGCTAAAAATGTCAGGCAGGAAAGATCAAAGGCAATACACTGTACAGTGGCCATACCATCATCGACACAGAGTGACAGACACGCCTGATCAGCGACATTGCTGCTGTTGGCATCGTTGCTAGGCTGCAAGCACGCGCGCACACATGCACGCACACGCACGCACGGGCGCACACACACACACACACACACACACACACACACAAGCACACATACAAGCATGTATACAAAAATTGAAAAACAGAAGTGAGCAGGCTGTTACTTCTGCTGCTGAAGCTGCGGTTGAAATCTGAATTCTCCTGTAGCATAGTGCAGTGATGTTGTTTCTTCAAGACATTCACAGTCACCTGTCCTCTCTAAGAAGCCGCAGTACCATTGTTGTTCAACACAACTCCATGCACACCTCGGCATCCTCAAGATTAGTATCTACCCTGGGTTATCACCATGGTTTTCAAATACTTCGAAATAGGCCTGCATAGACATGAGCTGCATAGACATGAGCTGCATAGACATGAGCTGCATAGACATGAGCTGCATAGACATGAGCTGCATAGACATGAGTTGCATAGACATGAGCTGCATAGACATGAGCTGCATAGACATGAGCTGCATAGACATGAGCTGCATAGACATGAGCTGCATAGACATGAGCTATATAGACATGAGCTGCATAGACATGAGCTGCATAGACATGAGCTGCATAGACATGAGCTGCATAGGCATGAGTTGCATACGCATGAGCTACATAGACATGAGCTGCATAGACATGAGCTGCATAGACATGAGCTGCATGGGCATGTGTATTGACAAAGACATGAGCTGCATGGGCATGTGTTCATTGCTCAGCATTACCATGTTCTTGTTTTAGAATGACACACACATGCAACAATCTCTCTTCTCCATGCGCTCTCAGTCGAAACGTAAGCCACTTCGTTGTTTGGAATTTTTGGCGCGTGTAATGGCTATCGAGGGTAGCAACGTTTTTGGCTGAGAGAGCATGGAGGAGAAGAGAGATTGTTGCATTATTGAACAGCCGAATGGTATCGTTCACAAATTTAGGGATATTTTTAATGACACATATCTATGAAGTATACTGTATCTTGGTAACAATGGACAACAGATTTCTGGATACTGACCATACTGGATGTTGGTAACACACACATTCAGCTAAACACCACACCACCACCAGCACTTACTGTAGCCTCGTCAGGTAATGTAAGGCCATTAGAAGAGACTGGGGTTGCAGCATCACCGCCGAACATAGAGAAGACGGGCTGCTCGCTAGCATGTGGCGTCAAGTTGGCTTCCACATCATTGTCCATGCCGAGTTGCGCGGCCGCTGCCAGTGGCTTTACTGACTGCGGTGTTTGCTGCTGGTACTCCTGCTGTGCCTGCTCAGGCTCATGCTCATGCTCCTGCTGCTGCTGTTTTGTTGGCGATTGGTCAGACGTAGATGAGCTGCGTGCCTTTGCCTGCTGCTGCTGCCTAGCCTCGGCGGCGGCAATCGTTGACTTGCGCGGCACCGTACGGCTACCCGACACAGGCGTAGTGTTAGATGTCCTGGCGGTGGTGATCTGGCGTTTGGCAACACGACTCGCACCTCCCGGTGGGGTGATACGGGGCGACGGTCCGCTGGTGACACCGTACTTCCTCGCTCCGGCAGTGCGGTTCAGGTCGGGAGTCGAACTGCTTATGCCAGACATGCTGCGCAGGTTACTGCTACCAACCGAACCCGCAGCGGACGAGGACGGCCGCTTCACCGGTGACGAGGTAGCCGACTGCGGGGAGAGTTGATTGGCAGTACGAGAAGTGCGGTGCGGTGTTCGTGTCTTGGTCGGAGTCTACACGCACACAAAACCAACACACAACGCAAATAGCCACATGTACAGGTCCGTGGAAGTATTACAGTAAAAGAAGAAAGGCTGCATTCATGGCATGAAAAAACATGGGGTCTGTCCAGATTATCCAGGCTATCCAGGCTATCCAGATTATCCAGGCTATCCAGGCTATCCAGATTATCCAGGCTATCCAGACTATCCAGGCTATCCAGGCTATCCAGATTATCCAGGCTATCCAGGCTATCCAGGCTATACAGGCTGCTCAGTTCCACCAACATGCCAAAGCAGGACAACCATAACTATATGCATACAAATGTAATCGTCTCATACAAAAGTACACACGTGTTTCAGTTCAGGACTGCCCCGCCCGAAGCGAGACGGCTGGACAGCCTGTCTGTGCTATGCGTGCTTAGAAATACAGAGCCCACAACATGTCAGTGCCTGCTGGTTCGAGTAGCACCTGACAACATGCATAGCTTTGCCAGTGATCTTCACACCAAACGTATACACATATTGCAGCACCACCACACACACACCGAGCGAGAAAGAGGGAAAGAGAGAGAGAGAAAGAGAAAGAGAGAGAGAGAGGGAGAATGTCAGGAGGGATAGGCTGCATACAATGACTAAGTTGTGTTGGCGGTGCAAGTCACTATGAAAAAACCTCATTGATATTATGAATCCGTACCTTAGGCTCCCTACCAGCATCCTCCGCAGCTTTCAATGTACTATCCTGAACCAACAAGAGAAAGCGACAGCCGGTGAGTAAAGAAAAGGTTAAAAAGAAGACAAGAAAACTGCCATGGAAGCTCACTGACATGAAGACCAGGCAAGAATCGTTACACACCCATATGCACACACACGCACGCACGCACACAAGCACACATACACACAAGCACACATACACAAGCACACATACACACACACACACACCTGTCCTGTCCTGTAGAGCCACTACCACTAGGGTCACGTGGGCCCCGGAGGGGCAGCAGAGAGAGAGAGAAAGAGCACGCCACCCGATGGCGCTCCAGATGCGAGACTAGTCGGAGCCGGCGAGAGCAGATACACATATGCGGGAACTTGTCCCGTTCTCTGGCCGTTGGTCGCACACATACACACACACACACACACACACACACACACACACACACACACACACACACACACACACACACACACACACACACACACACACACACACACACACACACACACACACACACACACACACACACACACACACACACACACACACACACACACACACACACACACACACACACACACACACACACACACACACACACACACACACACACACAGCAGATAGTGTGCCATCAGTCAAGAAAGAGCACGCACTGTGCACACAAGCAATGCTCACCTTGAGATTGCGCGGCAGGGCGGCGATCATTTTCATGAACACCTCCTCATTCAGACTGCTGAGAGCGTGCAGGACACGTGATGCCGTCCGTCTCAGCTCCACGTTCCTGGGTTCGTTGGCCATACCAGCAATCTTGGTCACACCCTGCCGCACCTCTGAATCAGGACAGAGAACAGAACGAAGGGCATGAATGTGTGTGCATCAAAATGTGAAGAAAACAGCCATACACGTATTCTAGACGCAATAATCAGCACAGTTATCGAAGCCGTTTCGAAGCCTGAAGAATATGTTTAACGGTCTTGGCTTGGATGATGACCACACTCTAGCTTCGTGGCAGAGCACCTTTAGCCTTACGCGAAGGTCCCTTGTTCAAGTCCTGGTGGAGACGGTCAACTACTATTAGCTGTGGAAGCTGCCACCAGTACTACTAACGCTTCCAGAATACCGTTCAAAGAATTTTATCCAGATTTGACGAGATCTACTACAGTACATGCACCGAGATTGAGACTAGTAAATGTAGCAACAAACACGACACAGCAGTTTGAAAGGGAGCAATGTACGCGTTGATAGGAAGTTGAGTCAAGCAAAGTGGAAACAATACTAACAAACAGACATCATCAACATCTACAGCTGAACATGATGCAATCAGATTGTAGTGGCATCTACAGCAATCGGACTAATGGCCTAAACGCTCCATACAAGGACTTGTGCTTCCTGACAATTTGATTTTGCTTAGAGGCAGCCCAAAAGAATCTAAGCAAGCAAAAAACCTGCTCTGGAGTATAATACAAGTGTGTGTACACGTGATCATCACTCACCACCGTTATTGACGAGTTCAGATGCCTCCATTGTCACTACCAGATCCGACATGTACTTCAACAAAGCCAGCTTCACCTACAGGCATCCAAGCATACGCACACATACACACGCACACATGCATGCACACACACACACACACACACGCACGCACACACACACACCACACACATGCACACACACACACACACACACACACACACACACACACACACACACACACACACAGTTCAAGTATCGCCTGCCACAGTGGCCCCTGTGAAGTGTACAAAGGGTTTGAACAGCTACGCTTAATCACACCTGTCAGTCAATGGACGGCTGTGGGTAGGGCTGTAGGTAGGGCTTGGGGTAGAGCTGGGGGTAGGGCTGTGGGTAGGGCTGTGGGTGGGGCTGTGGGTGGGGCTGTGGGTGGGGCTGTGGGTAGGGTTGTGGGTAGGGCTGTGGGTAGGGCTGTGAGTAGGGCTGTGGGTAGGGCTGTGGGTAGGGTTGTGGGTAGGGCTGTGGGTAGGGCTGTGGGTAGGGCTGTGGGTAGGGTTGTGGGTAGGGTTGTGGGTAGGGCTGTGGGTAGGGCTGTGGGTAGGGCTGTGGGTAGGGTTGTGGGTAGGGCTGTGGGTAGGGTTGTGGGTAGGGTTGTGGGTAGGGCTGTGGGTAGGGCTGTGGGTAGGGCTGTGGGTAGGGTTGTGGGTAGGGTTGTGGGTAGGGCTGTGGGTAGGGCTGTGGGTAGGGTTGTGGGTAGGGCTGTGGGTAGGGTTGTGGGTAGGGCTGTGGGTAGGGCTGTGGGTAGGGCTGTGGGTAGGGCTGTGGGTAGGGTTGTGGGTAGGGCTGTGGGTAGGGTTGTGGGTAGGGCTGTGGGTAGGGCTGTGGGTAGGGCTGTGGGTAGGGCTGTGGGTAGGGCTGTGGGTAGGGCTGTGGGTAGGGCTGTGGGTAGGGTTGTGGGTAGGGCTGTGGGTAGGGCTGTGGGTAGGGCTGTGGGTAGGGCTGTGGGTAGGGCTGTGGGTAGGGCTGTGGGTAGGGCTGTGGGTAGGGCTGTGGGTAGGGCTGTGGGTAGGGCTGTGGGTAGGGTTGTGGGTAGGGTTGTGGGTAGGGCTGTGGGTAGGGTTGTGGGTAGGGCTGTGGGTAGGGCTGTGGGTAGGGTTGTGGGTAGGGTTGTGGGTAGGGCTGTGGGTAGGGTTGTGGGTAGGGTTGTGGGTAGGGCTGGGGGTAGGGCTGTGGGTGGGGCTGTGGGTGGGGCTGTGGGTGGGGCTGTGGGTGGGGCTGTGGGTAGGGCTGTGGGTAGGGTTGTGGGTAGGGCTGTGGGTAGGGTTGTGGGTAGGGCTGTGGGTAGGACTGTGGGTAGGGCTGTGGGTAGGGTTGTGGGTAGGGCTGTGGGTAGGGTTGTGGGTAGGGCTGTGGGTAGGGCTGGGGGTAGGATATACCTTTAGATGCTGTGGTTGTGACTGATCATTGAGGATCTTGCATAAACATGACAGCTGATAGCCAGCTTCAAACGAATCCCTGCAACGTAAGATATGACATGAAGAAGACAATCCAGCAACAACGTCATCATCAGATCATTTCAAATAACTGCCACTGACCAGGAAGCCTTTTTTGCTTTTTTGTTAAGAAAATAGTGGAAGAAAAGTATGTCAAATGACCAACTGCCACTCAAAACACTAGACTATCACTACTGCTGGGATGTAAGCTGCTTTAGATAGCTACCGGGTGTCAGGCACAAGCAACACTGCGGCATGATACATGTAGTCCTGCTGCAAACACACACACACACACACACGCACGCGCACGCACGCACACACACACCCCAATGGAGCAGTGAAGCACAACGAGCAGTAAAGCACAACAGCGAACAACGAAGCACAACAAGCAGTGAAGCACAACGCTCCTACATGCAATCGCTTCCACACACCAACCAGTATAGAGTCTGCAGACTGTCAAGTAGGAGAAACCCACCTGATGACTTCTTCCAGGTGATGCATGCGCCGGCTTATGGCCGAGCGCAGATCCGCACCAAGCTTGGTAAACAAACGTTGGAAGAGTTGAGGCAGCCATACCCGCATGTCTGCACGATACTGCAAGATGAAGTCCATCAGAACATCCAGAAAGATACCCAGCACCTGGAGGAAAGGGGAAATGCACAAAAAGACAAACGAGAATACATTGGTACATGGTCACCTAATAATGCCAAACGCAAAGGCTGGGCATGGATTACATGGGGTGATAGGGTGGTGGCTATGTACAGCTTTACTGTGCAAAACTACAGTACACTAAAGCACTACAATCATGTACAGAACTCTGTGTGTGTGTGTGTGTGTGTGTGTGTGTGTGTGTGTGTGTGTGTGTGTGTGTGTGTGTGTGTGTGTGTGTGTGTGTGTGTGTGTGAGGTGTGTGTGCATATGTGTATGTGTGTGTGTGCATGTGTGTGTGTGTGTGTGTGTGTGTGTGTGTGTGTGTGTGTGTGTGTGTGTGTGTGTGTGTGTGTGTGTGTGTGTGTGTGTGTGTGTGTGTGTGTGTGTGTGTGCATGTGTGTGTGTGTGTGTGTGTGTGTGTGTGTGTGTGTGTGTGTGTGTGTGTGTGTGTGCATGTGTGTGTATGTATGTGTGTGTGTGTGTGTGTGTGTGTGTGTGTGTGTGTGTGTGTGTGTGTGTGTGTGTGTGTGTGTGTGTGTGTGTGCATGTGTGTGTGGGGGGGGGGGGGGGCTGCGTGTGTGTGTGTGGGGGGGGGGGGGGGGTGTGTGGGTGTGAGTGGGTGTGTGTGTGTGTGAGTGTGTGTGTGTACAAGTAAGTGTGTAGATATATCTACTTACAGTGTTGTGTGGATCTGAGAACAGCTTGTAGAAGACTTCCAAGAAACGTTGCACTTCGTTTTTGCTATACATGCAAACACACACACACACACACACACGTACGCACGTGCACACACACACACACACACACACACACACACACACACCATTGGACGCCCATCGCCGGAGGCGATGATAGCGATGCTACAGCAGAAGCCATAACAGCTTGTGCTGGGATTCCACCATTCAACAGCTTGCAAGGCTGAAGAATTGACCGCCACTATTCAGCCTGGTCTACACCACACAGCTATGAAGTGGCTTTTTTTGGCCAGTGAATCCCTACGTTTTGGTCTTTTTCATTTTTTTTTCACGCACACACATCACGCCACATACTCCGGCATGCACTGGCTGTTGGTAACCACCCAGGAGAATGAAAGAAAAGTCAGGAGAAGTCTGAGAAAGAGAAGAAAGACGTGTGTGGCCATAATCGTCGGGAATCGAACCCGCAACCTATCGATTGGAAATCGCTGCACATACCACTGCACCATATGGGACACACACACACACACACACACACACACACACACACACACACACACACACACACACACACACACACACACACACACACACACACACACACACACACACACACACACACACACACACACACACACACACACACACACACACACACATACACACACACCATCATCAACAAAACAAAGCACAGCGCTAGACAAGTGGCATCACAGTCTATGAGATTAGCCAAACAAGCAAACATCCGGTGAACATCTACTTCAGTACCTAACACTAGCTATTTTCACAACATGATCTCACCTACAAGCATGTGAATAGTTATACTGGCAAGTCACAAAGAGACAATCTGTGTGCACTAGGCGGTGGTCGTTCAGGATAGGTTTCACGCTACCATGCACAAATTATCTGCTAGAGCAACTCAATGATAAATCTGACTTCAACATTAATCGAGTGCATGCAAACGAATGCCTAATTGATTCTGTGATGTGTTGGTAAATGAAAAGCCGGCAGACACAGGCGCACAGCTAGTCATCGTATATCTTACAAGAGTGATCTTGATCCCTGTAAGAGCTGCCCCAGACTAGCTAAGCCGTCACGTCTATCCGACCAGGTACCACTCTGACATAGTCGCAAGATATCAGGAACATCCTGGATAGGGAACAAACAAACAAACAATCAATCAATCAAACAACATGCATGCATAGGAAACAGAACTATCCATCAACGATTGTGTTGAAGGGCAGCCAGGGGATCTAAATAATATTGCAGGATGCAATGTATTGAGCACCAGGCCGCATTGGTTGCACATGTATTCCCTCTTCACGTGACGAAAATTCTACAAAATACTTACCTCCACAATGTGCAACCGCCCGGACATGCTCTGTATGGAGAAGTTGGACGCCGTGGACGAAGTGGAGATGTCGGACGCAATGCTCATGTTATCATCGTCCATGTCTGGGTCACGATAACCTCTAGGGCACAGTGGAAGACTCTCACTATCAAACTATACAAACACACACACGCATACACACATGCACGCATACACACATGCACGCATACACACATGCACGCATACACACATGCACGCAAGAACAAGACACACACACACACACACATTAAACACAGCAACGTAAACACAAGCACAATAACGCCATGGTCCAGCTCATGACCACAACTACAGTACATGTACTCTCCCTCCCTCCCTCCCTCCCTCCCTGAAACTTGGGTCCTGGCCATACAATGCACATACCCCGCCAGATCCAGATAATAGGTCGTCAGCTCTCATGTTCTCATCTGCAATGACAGAACACACGCATGTGCACACACATATAATACACACACATACACACACCCACACACCCACACACACACATACACACACACACACACACACACACACACACACAAGCTTAGCACATGGGGTACTTGAACACAGTGACACATTCACAAAGGCAGTGACAAACACAGACATAGTGCACGCAGTGTACCGTTCGAAACTCGGAAGTTGAACCAAAATAAATGTATAAGGATAATGTCCTTTCATGTACAGTCAAATCGTCAATAGCTATAGAGCTGTTTCACATCTATCACATGACCATGCAGGACAGCCATGTTGTTCCAATTCCACTCAACCCTTGCATGTATGGGTCACATCAAGAGTAGATAAACAAGAGTGTGCAACTCCGGATCTCTCCTACACAATCCGCAGATACCCCCGCCCATGGCGAAATTTTTTGTTGACGTCACCTTTTTTCAGAGAAACGCGCATTTTGCCGCAGAGCAGTGTGAGGGCACGTGCTTGGCACCGACTTTGTAGTGCAAATGCGGCCAAGTGCACAAGGGAAAACTTTCCAAGAGACTCGCAGCGCTAGCGTCGTCGAAAAGATTACGTCAACAAAAAATTCCGCCGTGGGCCAACCCATCCCGAGTTGCACACTCTTGTTTATCTACTCTTGGTCACATGATGTGGGCCATGTTGGTTCTCTTGGTCACATGATGTGGGCCATGTTGGTTCTCTTGGTCACATGATGTGGCCATGTTGGTTCTCTTGGTCACATGATTTGGGCCATGTTGGTTCTCTTGGTCACATGATGTGGGCCATGTTGGTTCTCTTGGTCACATGATGTGGGCCATGTTGGTTCCACTGTCTACATATGCCATGATCACTTTCTACACACATTTCGTCACATGACAAACTGATGTGAACACCACCATCTCATAACATGCTATAGTTATCATGACTGTCGTACATACCCTGGTCATCAAGATCGAGAGGACTAGTGACCGATGTCACTGGCGTTGTCGAGTCAGAGAAGTGACGGCCCTCCAGTCGACCGGGACTGCACCAACAGCACACGGAGCCAGCAGCAAATTAATAAAAAAATGTTCACAACATGGCAATAAAACCATCCAAGGCAGTCTGTTGTTATAGAAAACAATTTTCCCAAGGTCTCATTGAACAAACAGGCACCTGTAGCTATGTAGGTGTGTATCTGGCAAGGTGCATTCGTGCCTGGTTTAAATTTGGCTTTGGAAAATTTATTTTTCATTGCATTTCCTCTGTGCTGCGCTGATGAGTCCACAAAGGACGAAACAGTTCTGTCCGCAGATTGAGTAGGTATGTAGGTGCATGTTTGTAGGTATATAGGTATGTAGGGGTGTAGGTATGTAGTTATGTAGGTACTGTACCGTCGTGGACATGGAAATCCGGTCGCACGTCTAGCGGCCCCAGGGCGCTGGCCATGCAGCCCTGGATAAGGGCTGGTCGCACGCGCATCGAATCACCACTGCACCCAGCGTTTCGTAGATCTACGCGCTGAGCTCATGAGGGCGCAGGCCCCGGTCAATCGACTGGATTTCCACGCCCACGACAGTAGTATGTAGGTATGTAAGTATGTAGGTGTGTAGGTGTGTAGGTCTTACGTTTTCGAAGTGGGTGGTAACCGTGTCACTGGCTTAGCTCTACCTGGTGTGGCCGAAGCAGGACGTGTGAGTCGCATTGGTGGACCGCCGAGAGCACCGGTATGCCGTGCACCGTGCAGTGAAGTAGCTGGCGATACAATGCTGTTGGCCGTGGACACACTGGCAGTGGCTGTGGTGGCCGGTCGACGCAGAACACCACTGCTACTGCTGCTGCTCGCGTCCTGCGTGCGCGACCGGGACGCCAGCGAGGGCTCCATGCGAGTGCTGCGCTGTGTGGATGGTGATAGGTCTGCAGCAGTGAGTACAAAGTAGTAACAGCATAGTATCACAACACGGCAGAAAGAATGTAGGAACAATATTCAACAATAGTGGCACTGCTCTTCGCCTCACATCTGTTCACTACAGTACTTAGCGCATACCGTAGTCGTGTATAAAAGCCGCCGCTTGTATGACTTATTGGGGGAAATTTTGCAGGCTTCTATATGGGACAGGCTTCTATATGGGACAGGCTTCTATATGGGACAGGTATTTCTATGTATGTCAACACTAGAACCAGGCTTATGTGCTGACACTGTATCTTGAAAACCAGGCTTGTATTCAAGACAGGCTTGTATTCAAGACAGGCTTGTATTCAAGACAGGCTTTAATACAAGACACTACAGTAATAGCTGTGCACGGAGAACACAATGGCGTAGCAGTGACAAGCCAGCAGCACCAATGCAAACAAAGTCTGCACATACCTGGTTCACTGGTGAATCGCCGTTTCAAACCGGATAGATTACTGGCGGACCCAGCCGGAGCAAGACGTGACCTTGACACACTCCTCGGAGGTAGCCTGCAAGACAAGCATAACATTCGGGCAAATCTAAGTGTGCATATACGTAGTGTCTTGTATTAAAGCCTATCTCGAATAGAAGTCTGTTTTGAATAGAAGCCTGATTTTCAAGATACACTGTCGGCACATAAGCCTGGTTTTAGTGTTGACACACATAGAAATACCTGATGTGAATAGAAGCCTAGCCCTTACATCGGCTTCTACAGGAATAAGCCCGGCTTTAATACGAGACATTACGGTAGGAGCTGGCTAACATGACAACATACCCCACCAGAATTCAGTGTTGCCAGAACACCTGTGAGCACTCGCATATTGCACCAACAAATATTCCAGCATACCGTGGACCCGGAGTAGCACATCAACATTTCTACTGCACTACACCACGGTACAGTATACCGTAATCCGCGCATATAAGCCCACGGGCGTATATCCGGATATAAGCCCACCTCCGTTTATAAGCCTATGGGCTTATAAACAGACACCAATGCAACTCGCGCGTCAACAAGACTTTTTCACAATGTGGACTCTTCCTACCATGGTACAGCAGGTCAGTGCAGTTTACCAGTAGAGTATGGTAGACCCACTGTGAGCACGGACTTGTACTTTTTCGTGAACCTTCAAAATTCGAATATTGGCCCATGGGCTAAAAAACGAACATGTTTTACTGGATATTTTATCCCCAAACTGCATTATTTCGGCTTTATATGCGCGGAACTACGGTATGATTATTACCCGAGTGAACGGCTAGGAATACAACCATGAGGCATGTATACATGAAAGGAATTCGGGTGGACACACCCATTCCCACAGCGTTGCACATCCGAACCAGGTATTCTTTGTTCTCATTACCTGATAATGGCCAAGTGCCGAAACGTTGTAAAATAACGGAACTGGTTCGGATGTGCAGCGCTATGGGGATGGGTGTGTCCAACCGAATTCCTTTCAGATACGAAGCTGCAGGAAGCCTCAGTCCTTCTTCAGGCATGCATACATGCATACACAAATCCTGGAATGTCTCCACACAATCACAACACCCACTAGAAGCCCATGGTACAGCAGGCACATTTAAACAGGTAGCACACGTACAAGACGGCAAGAAAAGAACAAATCTGCTACTTGTACATGTATTTGACGTCGCCTACCTGCTAGGAGTGGAGGTGCCTTTGCTGCCGCCAGACTGTTCACTGGTTAGCAGTCTTTGCCTGGCTGGTTCTAAAGAGGCCTTCACTCTGTCAACAACAACACAACCATCATCACCCATCAATATTTTCTTGCTTGACTCACAACCCCTACTTATCTGTGGCGGCTGGCTAACACCCACTCTCTTCACATTGGCCGGTGTCCCCACTGCATCTTGAGGTGTGTTTTGTGCTAGCCCTGGCTGTCACTGTTCACTGCGGAAACAGGTGTCAGGACAGCTTACACACATGCACACACACACACACACACACACGCACGCACGCACGCACACACACACACATATACACACACAAACACACACACACACACACACACACACACACACACACACACTGCAAAGCAATCAATGCACGCTATCACCAACTTACTTCTCTGCCTGTGCCGGGAAGTGCTTTGCAAACGCCCAATACGCCCTGAAACAACAGACATCGCACACGCAGAGAACAGGTCACCGTCTCCTCAACTCACGCCAACAACTCTAAACACCTTCAGCTAAACCATACTGTGCACTGTACGTGCCGTGTATAGCAAGGGAGAAGAGTAGGCACTCGGGGGCTTTGATGTTGTGCTCATGTTTTGATGTGTTTAAAAAAAGCCATTGATTTGCAAACTTATGGATGTCTACAAGATTAATTAAAGCTCTTTGACATTGTCGTGTTGATGCTTTGAGCCGGTTAAACAAAGCTTGGTCATTCATTAGACTTCTTGCGATCGGTCCAGCCAGTGACTCTGAGCTCTGCTGACGAGATTGAACAAGATCGAAACAGCTAGCTGTCCAGAGATTGAGCGTCTATGATAAGAATGGAGGTACGGGATGAATACCGGGTGCATCTGAGCAGCTGTGTTGCCTCCCCAGACCCAGACCACCACTTGCCAAATGACACACCGCTTCGATGGACAACTTACTGCCTTGAAAATGTCCGCGTCCCCGAGTCAGCATCGTTCATTCCCTTCTTCAACGCTTCCTCCAGGTGACTGACTTGTCTGTGTAAGCACAGCAAACAGAACAATCGCAAGTGAAAAAGTCAGTAAAGAGATATGCCTGTTTAAGCACAGCAAACAGACGAATGGCAAGTGAAGACAGTAAACTACTAGTAACTTCAAGCAGCAATCAAGCGCTGAGCAGAAGCTTACTTGACCAGGACTAGACAACAGCAAGTGAAGATTAGCACCCTTCAACAATATACAGTGCTGCTCAATGAAATCCAATGGCGTTAGTCAAGTCTGCGCCCTGTACCAGTTCACCATCCCAGTGTCTGCAGGTCCAGGGCTGCACAGCGCCCGTATTGCATTGACTTGATTTATCGGATTTCATTGAGCAGCACTGTACAGGCACATGTACTTGTCAAGTGTGTCATGTGGTGTGAGCAATGATGTCCTGTGAGATGTGTGAATGTGTGCAGCAGACTCGGCTTACCTTTCCAGAGATTGGGTCGACCACTGCAGCAATATCTGCTCTAGATACTCGGCAATACGTCTGCAGAACAGCAAACGAATCCAAGAGACAGAACAGGTATAGTTATATTTTGTAGGGCTGCAACGAATATTCTATTTCACAAACGAACGAATACTCACCCATAACGAACGAATTACGAATATTCTCTCAAAATCCTGAATTGTTTCTAAGGGTGAAACAACTATTTTAGATAGGAACGAAATCGATTTTCTTTGTAAACGACTCGAATAGTCTATACCAAAAGAACCTTAGAAAGAGTTTGGCTAGTCCTCAGTTGGTCTAGACCAAGTAGATGTCTAGTGGAGTCATGTCCACTACTCTTGTGAGTCATAGTCCCCTTTCTCAACACATAACAGATGTATATATCACTCCGTCCCTTCTAGAATTACTACAATAGATCGACACAAGAGCAGAGTGCGTGCACGTGTCAAAACGGACGAATATTCTACAGGGGAAAATATTCCTTCCATCGGGGTCCAAACGAACATCAATCGAATATTCGAATATTCCTTGCAACCCTAATATTTTGACTATGGGTCTACGAGTCTCACAATCATCACTTCAATCAAGCGACGCTTGCTCTCCGGCCATCGGTGACCCAGTGGCCGTGCTATGCCATGATATTATTCAAGCACCAAAAGCACCTACAGCACCCACTACATTCACGCAGACAGATACTAATAAATACATGGGCACACAAACAATACAATGTACACATGTACACATGTAGTGGTTACATAGAAGGGTTTGGCAGACTGCCTGAAGAGTGCTCAATGCGCAAAGCGCAGAACCACTATGGAAGAGTGACGCTCCAAGTGGAAAATATGTTGTAACTTAAAAAGTCTAAAAAATGTAATGGTTATCCAGGTGTTCCAGGTGATCCAGGTGATGTCAAAGATCTTGAGAGCAGTACATGATGTGATGTGCACATTTCAGCCAAATAGAGTGGTTTCACATCAGTTTGTCATGTGACTAAATTTGTGTAGAAAGTGATCACGGCACGTGGACAGTGGAACCAACATGGCCGACATCATGTGACCCATGCATGCAAGGGTTGAGTGGAGTTCGAATCAATATGGCTGACCTGTATGGTCATGTGATAGATGTGAAACAGCTCTAAATGGGCAGCTTGGCACCTCTTTCCAATCCATGTAAAAAAAACAGCTCTAAATGGGCAGCTTGGCACCTCTTTCCATTCCATGCCTACACAATCCGTACTACATTTATTAAACTGGATATACTCTAATAACTCTATACAACACAGCGGCACAACTCTTCCAATCGCACAACATGACACGGCATGGTCAGATGACACTAGACATACCTGCGGACGGACACTGCCTTGTTTATATTCTGGCTAGCGAATAGTGGGATGAGGCGATGCGAGTGGACATGCTAAACACACAGAATAATCACACACGCAGAGAGAATCCAAGATCAGAGAGACAACATCAACAATCCTACACAGACACACACAGCCCCCCCCACCCACAAACACATACACAGCTCCCCCCCCCCCCCCCCCCTCCCACACACACACACAGAGCTAAAGAACTACAATGTTCAGAGAATAGACTTACCCGAATGATAAACCCGATACAGACATGCCCCGATGACGCCATGATCTAAGCAAAAGAAAGAAGAAGAAAAAAAAGATAATCTCACAATCAAGAAAACTTGCAGACAATTGTACAGCTAAAGAAAAATGTACAGCTTAGTGACATTTCCAAGCACAGTGTTCAAATAGCATAGCCTGCAGTGGAGTACAGAATGGTGGTGCGTGGTTTTATGCTCATTTTTTAGTGACTCTTAACATGGACGTCAAGTTGCTCTTATTCCTACACAAGTACTAATATAGCACTGTTGGAGCGTTAGAAAATATAGCTGAATACGGAAAGTGAGCGATGAATAAATAAATCCGATTTTAATACTGTCACGGTGTTTGTTTTCATTTCACTTCATCAGATCCACTGGCATGTCTGCCTTCCGTGTGTGTGTGTGTGTGTGCATAAAGTGGTGAATTTCTGTTCCTATGGTGGATGCTGAATTAACAAGGGTCAGCTCAAATACAGTCGTTGCCAAAAAAATTCGGCCAATGCTATGCTAGCTACCGGTAGCTGTAGCTGTGGCTACATGCACTGCCACTGCTAGCAGTACTAGCCTAGTGTGCACGGCACATGCCCTGCTGCCAGGCCTGCATACACTCAGTGCAGTGCTCGACCCGACTACAAAAGTCGACTGCATGCAGCAGGCGGAAAGCAGCGCATGCAGACTGTTCAGTGCATGCTGTGCTGGTACAGGTGCAATCCTGATAATTCGAATATGGCTTAATTCGAACATACCGCTTAATTAGAAGTTTTTCCAGGACCGATTTCTATCAATACGATTCCCACATAAAAATTTTCTGATAATTCGAACCTTGAACTGGATATGTCCGGTTAATTAGAAGTCCCACAGATTCCACTTACATAGAAATGTGTGGGATTTGTGCTGATAATTTGAAGTTAGCAAAATGTAATTCGAAGTTCACTGTACATTGTACTGGTCAGTGCAGTTTGCATGAGTAGGCTGTGCCGGTCAGTTCAGTATCCGTGAAATATGTGTCTAAGGTCCATAGCGCAACTCTGCGTGACCATTTGAGCATTTTGACATACATATTGTGTTGTGGGTTCATGTTTGAATAATTCGAATGTCCGGATAATTAGAAGTTTTTCCTGGCATTTTGAGGTTCGAATTATCAGGATTCCACCTGTACTGAGTGCATGCATGCCACCATATGAACGGTGAACGCGTACCATACCACAGTATCCATGGCGTTGGCCGGATTTTTTTGGCGACGACTGTAGGACTACAACACATTGTAACAACCTGCCTAGTAGCCTAGTAGACAAACTGTACCTTGGCACTGTTCTGGACCAGCTGGAACAGCGGCGGTAGCACCCACTCACAGAAGTTCTCCAGACGAGGACCATATTTAGTAGCTAAGAGTCTATTCCCAGCAACACAACACAACAACAACAACAACAACAACAACAACAACAACAACAACAACAACAACAACAACAACAACAACAACAACAACAACAACAACAACAACAACAACAACAACAACAACAACACAACTACATAAGCACACCACAGGTGGAACAACAGAAATTCAGTTGAATGGCCATCGTGCTCACGCTGACGAAAATGTCACTTCACACATGAAACGCATGCTCTGTTTACCTGACAGAGAGGGAGTAGCATAAGGGGAACGAAGAGATAACAAAAAGAAAAAGAGCTAAAAAAGGAGAAGGACAAAAATGTTACGAGAATTAAATTGGCTCACCATTCGAGTTCGAAAAGAGCTAAGTTGTTGATAGCACTGTACAGAACAACTCTGGGTCGAAGTAGTCAACTAAATGAGCCATGTGAGTGACACCCATGTATTTACTTTAGCCCCACATACATGTATTGTTCTGAATCAGGTCACAGCATTTGCTAGGAAAGTTGACATCACACTACTGGGATACACAACACTGACTGACTTACGCCACAGTGATGCATGCTTCTCGGACCACGGACGAACGAAGATCTTTCAGCTGTGCATGACAACACCACAACACCACGACAGCACAACACCACGACAGCACAACAGCACAACACCACGACACCACAACACCACGACAGCACAACAACACAGGCATGCATGCACATGTACAGTCAAAAGACTCAAAACCTGACAAGACGTACCCGGGAACACAGAAAAAGTACAGTGAAACCTGTCAAGGCGACCACTCGGATAAAGCGACCACCTGTCCCAGAAGACCACTGCCGCCAGGACCAAGGGATGCTATTTCCAGTCAAATGACCCTGGAAAAGGAGACCACCTGGTTACAGAGACAGCACTTTGATGGTCCCTTGAGCGGTCGTCTTAGACAGGTTTCACTGTACTTCCAAGGCAAAGTACTTACTATACCTGCGCTGCAATCAAGTGTGACAATTTGTTATCAACTGCAAAAGTACGTACTCTGCAATAGTACGTCTTACACCCTGTACATACTAAGCGGTTTTGACTGTACATACATGTATGCATGGACAACAGTGTTGAGACCCAAAGGAACCGAACAATAACCAATGTGAGGCACAGGAGATAACCAATCAACACAGAACAGCTATAACCACACATGATCAGAAGCATGACATGGTGGTACATGTGTCACATGACCAGACGCATGACATGGTGGTACAGTAGGTATCGGTTATAGCGTGGGTGTTTGAAAAACGACTTTCTATTCTTATTTCCGATATTTCTTACACACGATAAATCAAGTGTGGCATATCATATTATGCATGTGCACAGGGGCAGGATGTATAGTTTCTGGCTGAGGCGTGGGAAGGTCAGTGAGCAGAGGCGCATCCGACTGTATAATGCCCTGGTTCTGCCCGTTCTTTTGTATAACTGCGGCGCATGGGGGCTCACAGCGGCACAAGCAGAATCACTTAACGCATTCCACCGGAAGCAGCTCCGACGGCTCATTGGCATAGTTTACCCAGCCAGGATATCAAATACTGAGCTGTATGAGAGGTGCAACACGGAACCACTATCTGACATCGTGGACAGGAGAAGATGGCAGCTAACCGGCCATATTCTCCGTATGGACAGGGATGCGCCGCCATGGATCGCGCTGACGGGCTATTTTGCAGGAGATGCCAAGGCTGGGCGTGGACGTCCAAGGACATCCATTGCGACGCGCATCACAAGCGACTTACAGAGAAGGAACATCGACCTGAAGCGCAGCAATCAGCTGGAGAATGTGAGGGCCATCGCTCTGGACAAGCCTACATGGAGAAATCTGGCCGACAATCCATGATCTGGCGTCACAGGTCATCAGTGCACCGTATTAATAATTATCTTGATAATGGAATTTGATCATAGGAGATAGGACAGAAGCGGAACGTATAATTATACCCACATAATTATATTATTACGCATGCTGTGGTATTATTATTATTATTATTATTATTATTACAGGGGCAGGAAGATCATCGTACATGCAACGCAGTACTTCTGTGCATGTGGCTGGTCATAGTCCCATAGGCTTACCATGTGGCTATGCAACAATACATGAGTTACATGACCACACGAGTTGAATCTGCAGCACTATGACGCAACGAGAGTCAGATCAGAACGGAATTGGACAGATGTCATTACTACAGGCGATACACTTTGTACTAATCTGGCATGTTTCGCTACACAAAAGTCCATTCTTAGGACCGATATATTCTACTATGGGATAAAATTGCTTGTAAGAATAAATGTGCACTTGAAATCCATGTTATGATTATGAAAACATGAGAGTTCATTCTTGTAGGCAGTATATTCTTTTACACGACCACACTATAACCGATACGCACTGCACATTGTGTCACATGATCAGAAGCATAACATGGTGGTACATGTACACGTACAACTGCAATACGGTAGTCAGGGAGAGGTGACACTTACCGCGGTTGCAAACGGAATACGCAGTGTTGCGATGTGCGAGTGAAACACGTCCAAGTCAGCCGCACCGTTGTTGAGTAGGCCTTTCATTCTCTTCATCTGCACACCAGACATACACATGTACGCATGCACACACACACACACACACACACACACACACACACACACACACACACACACACACACACACACGCACGCACACACACACACACACACACACACACACACAGAATTGTACGAAAAGCACCACCAGCACCGATACTTCACCAAGCCAAGAAGCAGTTAGGAGAGCAAAGTGATGCCTCGACTAGCGTAGCACAGCGCAAAATACAACTGAAACAAGGAATCAATTGACAAGCTCAGTCTATGGTACTACAGTAGTGCCGGTCGGCGAAGAACTGGGGGTCAGCCTCCTAGCCTAGACCGTTCTTATTTTCATGTATTACAGTCTATGCACAGTTGAGTCACCGTGCATACATTGGTATGCTGTTCTTGGTGAAATTCTAGCCTGGTCATTCTTCAGCGCCCGACAGTACTGTAGAGTGGTTGCTGCTGAATATACGGGTAATGTTAAATGTCAATGAGTATACAATGTACTTACCACGGTCACGCGTACATCCCATTCCAAGTTGACATTGGTCAACGTCTCCTCCACTTTGGTCAACTCATCGTCAATGTCTCTTGCCGAAGATGACTGGGAAAGACAAGACAACACGGAGAGACCAAACCAGAAAGTGAGCCAGTGCCTACATGTGTCCAGTGGCCAGCACACATCTTACTGCCACTGCATGTACATGTACATGTACTGTAGCGGACATTGAAATCCGTTGAGAAGTCAAGCGGCCATGGGGCGCTGGCCTTGCAGCCACGAGCACTGCTGGTCCGTGTTTACAGCGTGTGCGTGAACTAGGGAGTGTGTGTACGCGCTAAAAGCAGTAAGGGCACCAGTCCCGGTCATGCCGTCAGATTTCAATGTCCACGACATGTAGCACAAGATGTCTAGAATGGAGTGTGTAGTCGCAGTGGGCTTAGACATTAGGCATGTTATGTTATCTTTATCTTTATTTTTCTTCGCCTGCACCTATGGTGAAGTAAAATCAAGATACAAGACAACATAACATGTCTAATATCTAAGCCCACTGCGACTACACACTCCATTCTAGACCACAAACGTACTGGCTGAAACCTAACCAAAGTGCATAGTTTGCGCTCCCAGCTTGCACGGCCCTTGTCGCCCTGGAAGTGGTGCGAATGCTGCCGGGCATACGCATGTAGGTGTACGGGGAACTGGTCCAGGGCGCTGGTTTTTCACTTTGAGTAGGACTTCACCCTAGCACAACTGCAGTGCAGTCTTGATCAAAGTCAGGTGCAAGTACGTGTATAGCATTCTGACTGCCATTAGCCCCATCACAGTTTACCCAACAAAGGTAGCATTGTTGGATTGTGGCCTTGTTCAAACCTGCTCCTGGGGTTGCAAAGTACTCTATGCAACAACCTCGCCAGCCTCATAACGAAATAGTTCCACTAAGCAAACTGATAACGTGAGCAGGCAGGGCAGATGCCTATGAAATTATCACATCAAGCAAGGCAGATGTCTATGAAATATTACATCAGACATGGATAGTATTGGATACCAAGCCCTTACCAGGATAGTCGCACAGTCATCAAAGCTACGCTCAAAGTCATCTTCATCCACAGCACCAGACTCGGCTGCTACATTTATAACACAGCAGAGAAAACACAAACATCTTTTTAGAAATATCATTGGCAATGCCTCCAGGGCATGGACCTCTTGGAGACAGAGACTTTGAAGAACACACATAATTTGCTAGCAAACAGCATGCAGGAATCCATACACAGACGGGAGATTTCTTCACTTCAAGTCAAGTGGTCAAGAGCAGGATAGTGAGCACGGCCCTATCTTTGGCAAAGAGAGCTATAGCATTGCTCAGATATATATGTATGGTGGCCATGAGAACTGAGTAACATGTGCGAAAGACCTGTAGGGCACCTACTGGTTTTGCCACGTCTAGCTGTTTTTCTCCGCACGCCCTATCGTTTTCCATCACTTTAGATAATGTACATGCATGCAATCGCAACTCCTTCTTCTTTTCTTACATTATTTGTTAGTCATATTTGGAGCATGTCCATACGTACAATACACATGATACAGTTTCCGTACAAGTGTACAACTATATCTCTCTCTATATATATATATATATTCTCAGATTAGCTGAGGGATGTAGTTAGAGTTTGGTGGCACGTAGTTTTCGGTTTATCTTGCTCACAATATAATACATTGTCATAGTTGAACAGGTTGACTTACTCAGTAAATCGTGTGTGGTAGTATGGGAGAATCCCATCGCCGAAATCGAGTCCTTTTCAAACACTTGTGTCAATTTGAGGCACACCGTAAATTCGGCTTCACCAACAACAACAAAAGAGCAACACAAGTCACTGGAAGACTCTACTGTACTTACCGCCAGACAAGGACGAACCTGACCGCTGTGGCGTCATTCCACGCAAGTTGCTAGAGCTGTTCTGACGGGACTGAGGGCGACTGCCGGGGCGAGAGGATGACGACGAAAACACCGATGTCGAGGTGTCGGCTGATGTGTCAAACGAGGCACTGGAGCTGCGCGACATGCTTGATGTTGGTATTGCTGCTGCTGCTGGTGGTGGTGCTGCTGCTGGTGGTGCTGCTGCTGCTACCACCGCCCCTGCTGTGCTCGTCTGCAACAGGTAAACGTGCAATGACGACCGTTAAAACCATTGGAAAAGTGCAATGGTGCGCATTAAACCCAATGGCAATGCCCATTAATTCAAATAGGGCCTGAATGCACCATTCGCATTAGTCAAATTGTTCTCAGCTAGACCTATACGAAAAATCGGGGCGGACGGGAGGGTTGTATTTTTATTTTATAACTTTTTTTTACATCTGCATCGACCGGACATCTTGAAATCTTAGCATGTATTACATCTATGGGGTTGTGGGTGTACTACCATTGTTGGTTGTGACTGCTACCAGTCTGCCTGGGCACACTCCAAACACTTTGAACATGTGCAGATGACTCTGTGATACAATTTCCTGCTGCCATGCGGCGGGCACGTACGCACACACACACACACACACACACACACACACACACGCACACGCACACACACACATACGGGTTCATCGATCAACAACAGCTTCGGACGCGGTACGCGGTGGCTGCGCAGTTTCCATGAATGCAGGCGTAGATATCAGGTGGTACACTGTACAGACCACAGTGCCATGTATTGTAGTTGCCAGATTTCACACAAGTACACTGGAATCACACTGCACTGCGTGATGTCGCTATGGTAAAAGCACGTTGAAGCTGTACATGAGAGCTCGTGTACGCGCATACTGCTAAAAAAAGTTGCGTTTCGCTAAACACACGAGTTTTCTACCGTTGATCACGAAAATAAAAAATAAAATAAATCCCGGGACGGACTGAAAAATCGGGGCGGGCGCTGACGATCAACAATCAATTATTTTTACTTGGCCTTAATTCAAATAGGGCCTGAATGCACCATTCGCATTACTCAAATTGTTCTCAGCTGGACCTATATCATAACAGCAACATTCAGGTCAGAATTGGATATTTTCTGGACTCTGGGGGTTCGAATAGCATGCACAGGCGGGTGCAAAATATCACTGAGGATACATAACGAGGGAAAGAACAAAAGAGGGAGGGAGAGGGAAAGAGGGATAGAGGTAGCTACATAGATACATGCAGATAGGTAGACAGACAGACAGACAGACAGACAGACAGACAAATAGATAGATAGATGAAGAGACACCAATACACCACACCACACACGTGCACACACATACTACCACTACAACTATAGCATGACTGCCCATAGGGCAACATGACCCCCCCCCCCCTGAGGACACACGCACATACAAGCAGTGAGACAATGCTGACCTCCGTTGTAGAGTGATTGCTAGAAGCAACCACACTGCCTGCCCTTTGTGCTTCATCGAACTTCTCATATACAGCATCCAGCCTGGACAAAACACACAAGTAAATGTAGATAGGAAGAGGAGAAGAGATAAAGGCATAGAACTAGTACTTCAACACGCCACTGAAAGGCTACTGCCTGGGCACTGATGACAATTATAAATTGTAGAAACGAATTAGGGGTCGTTCATAAATATCTTTTTTCACAAAACGAAATAATTTCGTTATGGGGTGGGAGGGGGTTGACCAATTTCGTTTCAGAAAACATTGATTCATGTACATGGCCGTTGTATATACATGTATATCAACATTTTTTACGTTCTGAGGGGGAGGGAGGGAGGGTTGGGTCTAAACTAAAATAATTCGTTTGGTGAAAAAAGTTCGATATTTACGGACGGCCCCTTAGAGCAAGGAAAAAGGAGTCACAAGAAACTTCACTCTGTTCATCTTCTCGCCTAGGGACATCAGAAGACGCCACTAAGGACTCGCAGTTTATACCTTGTCATTGATGAGAAACCAGGGACGTTGGTAAGTTGGTTGCTGATGGCTGATGCCCTGGGTTGAAAGTGTGAATAGAGTCAAATTTGCTGTTTCGCATGCCCTGACCGGATTCGTGCACAGATTCAAATTGTGTCTTTGCGAAGTGCAAACAAAAGAGGCAAGCGTCTCATTTCGAGGCCATGCTGAGAACATGTACACACATCCATACACACATACACACACACACACACACACACACACACACACACACACACACATCATCATCATCACGGTCCTGGACATTGCATGCTGAGAACACGTGCACACATACCTGGCTTGAGGCAAGCCTCGCTTTGCCAAGTCACCACGAATCCTCTCTCCCACGTGTCGATAGACGTCCACCAGTGCCACCACTGCCTGATCTCTCACCTGAAGATGAGATTGACAGAAGGAAGAGAGCATTGAACAGGGCAGGGATGCATGCGCTGCATTGAATGTTGATGCACACCCGCGACGTACATCATCACACCACCTGATAGAGAGAGCGAGAGGAAGTTGTGTTGCGACTCACAAGATTTTCACGTTAATCCCGATCAGCAGGCAACGAGAAACTCTGAGTCGTTACACAGCTTCTTCTCTCAACTAAAATCCTGGCCAGAGAAATTCGACCCGTTTGTTTTTATTTTACTTCATCAGATACACAAGCGTTTCTACCTTCTCGTCTAACAATACGGCTAGACTCTCAATAAAAGATGAAGACCACGTGACCAAATAGGGCAGTGTGGTACGCGGCTCTACCGCACCGCACTCACTGTCCACTGCTCTCGAAAGCAGTGCTACTTTACTCACCAGGTCTAATTTCTATGGCACAAACGGTGGGTGGTGTGAGTAGTGACGATACACGCCACCGGTGTGCATCAACATTCAGTGCAGCACCCACTAAGTACAGTCTACATATAGGTCTGTGATGAAGGTGCTGAAGTATCACGTAGAATTCGTAACAGGTCTTTCATTGGACACAACGACACCGTGCCCTCTACGCCTACATCTACGGTAGTAGCATGAACAGCAGCTGCTGCTGTGTACGGGTATGCGTACTACTGTAACTACCCTCAATGACAATTACATCAGACTCTGCTGCTGCTGTGAGCATTGATTTAGTACTGGCCAGCCATTGATCACCCACCTGATAGTTAGCATCGCCTGTCAGCTTGCAGATACCGGCTATGTAGCGACCGACCAGGAGGTTCTTAGAACCAAATCTATATCACACACATTACACACATCACACATACCATACACACACGTACACACACACACACACACACACACACGCGTACACACACAAACACACACACACGTACACACACGAGAGCATGCACATGGATCACACAAGAACAGGAGCAGTCCCACAATGGCAGCTAATTTAAAGCACAGTGGACACAGCTACTCCTCTGCCATAAGTTAATGGTAACCATCAAAATCAGTCTACATACATGTATCTCTTGCCATCATGAAAGACAGGTCAAAGAATGAAATGAGAACAATAAGGAGTCGGCATATCAATGACAGGCCTTGCCAGAACATGAAGAGGACACTGTCACACACCCAGCAGCAACATACTGAAACGAGCCACAACATGCACACACAACTGCTTGTAGTCATCTCCTTACTTGTCCAGTGCCTTGCTGACTAGTGCTAGGCCTTGCTCGCGCACATGCCAGCCCTTGTGGCCCAGAGTGTCCGGCAGCAGCTTATCCAGGACAGTCTGTCGGAACACGAACAAGAACATGAGGCACACAGTGATGACATGATTGAGATTCTACGAACAAACATGTCTCTGTGTACATGTGTGTACATTGTGTGGGTGGGTGCAACGTATAGGAATTTGATAAAAGGAGTTTTTGGATGCCGCTGCACCACTGATTTCACGAAAAGATTTTTGTTCGGAGGAACACAACCTAACACAAGCAGCACAGAAGCCACTAATAGTTTCGATGAGGCCTTTCGTACCATTACTCTTCAAGTTGAATATAGCAGTGATTAGAGGTCAGTCCTTATATCTGGCATTTTGGTGGTCAGAGCAGTGAAAAAATAGCACCTATTAAAGAGAGCGCTAGTGGCGCCAACTACATAGTGAAACCATCAATACAGAGCACAACATCAAACTGCATTGGGGACTACGGCACTACAATGTCAAAACAGTGATAACTTTCAAGTCTTGCTCCTTTTGTGCCCGGTTCGGCAAACTACCGGTGTGTCTCTCTATCTGTCTTTCTGCCTGCCCGCCTGGCTGCCTGTCTGTCTACATACCTGTGGTGAGCCGATGGCTTCCATGATTACAAGGAGGCAGTCAAGAGATGCGTCACGCACAGGCTGGCGAGCATCACCCAGACGCTCCCTCAGAGCGGGTAACACTAAACAACAATCCCAGAACACAGATGGAAAAGTGAGCACCGCAGTGAACCAACAACACTCAACGACAATCTGATAACACTGAACATCAGCCAAAGGTGGCAGGTTGGGCAACAGTATTTTCACGAGGTACAACCTAACTTCCATTTCTGAAAACTCAGCTGGAGATCTGCACTGCAGCTAAGTTTTACCCCGAGCATGCATTTCACTACAAAAAAATGAAAAAATACGAAGAGAGAGAGAGAGAGAGAGAGAGAGAGAGAGAGAGAGAGAGAGAGAGAGAGAGAGAGAGAGAGAGAGACAGAGAGAGAAAGAGACAGAGAGAGACAGAGAGACAGAGATTGCTTACACACCAGTGGAGCTAATACCCCAGAGGGTATGGTAACTGTAAAAGGAGAAAACAAACAACGAGGGCATTTCACATAGGCGCTGTGCCGTGTGCCACTGCTGAACGAGCGTAGTGCATAGTTGAACACAGTGATAACAGTTACAAAACACAGACTAGCTAACCTGTAGACAAGTGGGACTTGAACTTTTCACCAAGAACCACACACACCATGTTCAGCACTTCCATTCCATTTGTGCAGATCTACAAAGGTGAAAACAGATCAAAAACAAGAGAAGAGAGGACGAGAGAGCAAGAAGGATGAGGAGGAAGAGCAGGAAGAGAGAGAGAGAGAGAGAGAGAGAGAGAGAGAGAGAGAGAGAGAGAGAGAGAGAGAGAGAGAGAGAGAGAGAGAGAGAGAGAGAGAGAGAGAGAGAGAGAGAGAGAGATCAACAATTTACTTGATGGAATAGTTTCTGTTTGGCACAGTGGCTGCATTGTTAGTGAGCAACGGGGCATAAAGATTGTCCCATCCCTAAGATTAGTACGAAGAGCAACGTTCAGCACAGTGACACCTGACAAGGTATACACGTGTTAGATGCGGTCAGAAAATGTCTTTCAGTATCACCATTCACCAAGAAAACACGTGCGAGATAGCGATAGCGACTTCACCGATGATTTCATAGGAAAGGGGTTTGCTCCCCACATCGACGCTCGCGCTTTTCCGCCGACTTAACTTGACTGACTCACGACTGCCACGTACTCTTGGTATTATCAAGAGTACATAACCCCCCCCAAGAGTGTGCAACTCCCACATACCCTGCTGTCCCGACAGAATTTCAAGTTGACGTCATTATTTATGATGCAATGCTCCTTGCACCAGTGATTTACAACAGGTGTACGGGTGTCAGCGCATCACATGTTTTTCTCTGCAATAATTTGTACAGGATCAGATGGGCTTCGGTCAACCACAGGTTCCGGATTCGTCTGACAATCCGTGTACAGTGCGCATTGCATCATAAAAATGACGTCAACTTGAAATTCTGTCGGGACACCACCCATAGTCGAGTTGCACACTCTTGGGGGGTTATGTACTCTTGGTATTATTATGAAACGGATACAATGTGTTCAGTGAAAGTGCTTTCGGATTCGTAATCTGGCTATTGCGATGGTAGAGGTTGCACTAATATGATACCCATCGCCCGTAGGCTAATCGGTAAGACCCTTGAGCAATAGAGCACGATGGTACGTGTATGTGTGCGTGTGTGTGTGCAAGCGTGCGTGCTTGTATGTGCGTGCACACATCTGTACACCGTTTGTGCTCGGCCAAACGCAGCTTGAAACTGCTCTAACATGATTAGTAATACCTAGTTGTACATGCATTTGGAGCCTCTCTGTCGAATCTGCCACAACTCAGTCCGAAACTCCATGGAGACAACCAAATTATTGAGTCAACGAGACACATGCAGAGTGTTCTCCCCAGTAACAAACGCACTAGCAAGAACTATACACCGTGTGTGATACACTTTACAAAGGAGCACACGTCCTGGGTAGGTGGGTATATGACTCTGAAGCATACAACGTAGCATTTGAATAGTTTCTTGCCTAGCCCAGTAGCACGTCAGGACAGCACACACACACTCGTTCTCACATCTGCATCCATATCTGTCCAGGGTTCTAGTCAAGGGGGGGGGGGGGGGTAGGGGGCACAGCCCCCCCCCCCCCTTGTGAAAAAGTGCCGCCCCTACCCATTTTCCGATTTTTGTGTTTTTTCATGCCCTTCCATGAAAATGCAGTCAATAGTCAGTGCTAGAGGGTTCGTAAAGGCACATTTGTCTGGGGTGAAGTCAGGTGTTCGCCCCGTACGCTGCATTTCGCATTGTAAGACAGTTCTTTTGAAAATGGAAAAATGGGTTACGGGGTAACTGTTTTCCCTGCCCCCCTCTACTATTTTGACCTGGCTAGAACCCTGGTGTCTATTCTGGACTATGATACGAGTACGCTCACGACTCCGCCGTACAAGGTTTGTCTCAGAATCAGTGTGTGTGTGTGTGTCGCTACGGGTGGGTACCGGCAAGACTTCCGGCCTCGTTTGTGTGTGGCACAGAGTTCACAATCTGTCATGCGTTATCCTGCCCGTACGGAGGCTTCCCTTCCATCCGACATAATGAAATCCGAGATGTCACCACAGCCATGTCGAGGCAAGTTGCACATAATGCGTCCCTTGAGCCGTCGCTCCAGCCACTGTCTGGGGAGCGGTTTCAGCATCGCTCGGCAACAACTGACTACCACGCTCGCCTAGATATCGGTGTCACTGGATTGTGGGGCAGCCGTTTTGAGCGCACCTTAATTGATGCACGGGTAATTAACCGACATGCGTTGTCAAACCGTGCTGCACCTCTTTCCATTGTCTATCGAAACCATGAGAAAGAAAAGAAAAGGCATTATGGAGAGCGCGTGAGGAACGTTCAGCAGGCGTCATTTGTTCCGGCGGTGATGTCCGCATCCAGAGGCTTCAGTCGTGCGGCGGCTTTGTACAAGCGCATATCTATCCTGCACTCAGAAAAACAGTCTGAGCCTTACAGCCATGCCATGGCTTTCATTCGATGCAGGATTTCGTTTGCTCTGCTGCATTCTTGCACTGCTTGTCTGCGTGGCTCTCGTGTTAGGCATCGTGCTGCTGCTAATGAGGTATCCCACACTCTGGCAGTGTCGGAAGCCCACATCTTACGAGATTAGTTGCCATTTCTCGCTTCCCTCCTGTGCGTTTGTTGCTTATCGTGTTCATATTTGTATTCAATTTGTTTTGTTCATTTTGTTTTTGCTTGTGTTTTGAGAACACAGCCCCATGCTGTGTGATCAGTCGTGTTGAAAGTGTGCGTGTGTGTGTGTGTGTGTGTGTGTGCGTGTGTGCGTGTGTGTACATGTAAGTGGAAGTGTGTGTTTGTGTGGTGTGTGTGTGTGTGTGTGTGTGATGTGGACTGTTTTGTCACACCCATCCAGCACTCACGCTCTCCCACACCTTAGCAAGCCATCAAGGCGACTGCATGGGTATAGTGATACATGCAACAAGAACTTGTGGGGATGAGGTGAGGCCTAATACGTGCTGTGTACTCTCGGGACATTTTGATTGACATACAATTCCACAATACAATTCCAGATGTTGAGAACTAGGTCAATACCTTCGGGTGGCTGCTGTTTATCCAAGTAACCAAGCCTGCAATGAGCCGATCCAGGTCATCGAAGTCGTGAACTGAATTCTCCTCTTCACTCAAGAAACCGTGGAGTGCAATTCCAACTTGCAGACGTTTGTTTGTGTCTTTGTCAAACATTTCAGCCAGGAGGCGATCTGCAACTTGCTCGTAGGCCATTTTTCCGGCTGATTGGTCACAGAAAACTACCAGATAGAGTTAGATTACGTAGTCTGATGCCACATATCAGAAACTGCACGTGTCAGAGTGTATTTGTTGGAAGAGGATATAGTAAAAGTGTAAAAGCTAGAACATATTCTCAACTGAGAAGAAACTTCTGCAATGTAAACACCTGGCTTGTTCAAAAATGGTTCAAAAATGCACTCGTGCACCCGTGACAGGTTTACGATAAACAACCACCATGCCACGCCATATTCGAGTTTGGGGAGCGACGCCTGTGTAAATCGCTACAAAAGTAGGTTCTTCGTTGCTTCGCTGATTTTAGGCGGGGAAATAATTGAATTTCGGTCGACCGGGATGTTTCCATGGACACAAGCGAAAGAGCGTCGAAGAAAAGCGCAGTGTCCTACGCAGCTAGGCTAGGCAGCTCAGCGCGCACAGGTACAGACTGCAGACAGTGCTGGGTGGAGCCTGAACAACATAATTCATGAAGTGGAAGAAGAAAATCATCTCTCGAAGAAAGACTGAGTCATTGACTGTAGCGCAGACTTTTCCATGACAAAGTCTTTTTGCAGAAGGCTGAAAACTCAGCAAGTGTGCACTCGATCGTGACCCTCGCTATGTCCAGTGAGGTCCACTCGTTCCAGGCTGCATAGCATGCCGGTGTAGTGCTTCCACAAACGACTTTTTGTTAGCAGTTTGGGGAATTGTGGAGTGATAGACCATGGTACATTTGCTGCAAATTTCACAAGAACTATTACTATTAGTACCTTGCGACCACTGACCGTAGACTACGTTCCCGCAATCGTTCCACCGAAGGCGAGAAATCTGTGTGTCTCTGTTCCGTGTCTTGGTGTCATTCTGGATTGTGTGGAGCGAGCTGCACCCGCTAGTAGCTTTTCAAGTGTGCCCGTCTGCGAGCAACGCTGCTAAGGAATAAGGTGCATTGCATTTGCAACGGTACCCGTACTACGCGTCCCAGCTGGTATTGCTCCTATTCAGTACAGCGGCCAAGCAACGTTCACCAACACTGCCCGATTGATCCTGGAGATACCGATCTGCACGGAAGCAGCGTAATACCCACAGAAAGTATCGTTGCCATCACCTATCACGCAACGCCGTCAAGTCCATCATAGGGAAGCCAAGTACGGTGTTGACACCCATTGGACGTACGGTAACCTTGCCTGACCGAATCATCTGCGCGGAGCACGTTCCATTGTGTGCAGTGGTTGAGCAGTAGTCCACTTCATCTAGGGCTGAGTGTGGCAAGTTAAGTTCAGCAACAAGCAGTCATTCAACATCAAGATCCAAGTCCACCCCTGACCACACCACATACACGCACACGCACGCACCGTTGCAGCAGTAGTAATGGGTTGTGGATCGTCGCAAAGCACCGCAGTAGCCGTTGTCCAGGCTGCAGGCGCATCGGACATTCTTGATCAGCCGGAGGACGGCGAGGCGGCGGTAAACAGCAGTTCACCACCGGCGAAAAGCAGTGGCGGTGCTGAGCCGGATAGCGGGGTCAACTCGCCAGGGAGCATCAACGCCGCCCCTGCGTCCACCGAGGTGCCGAATAGCCGGCAGGAGAGTCAGGAAACAGGCCAGGTATCAGCAGCGGCCGGTCAGACTAGTCAGCGACCGGCAGCGTTTGATGTTGCGTTCGACGCTCCCGCCACGGAAAACATCAGACTGACACAACCGCGGCGACTGCCGCGACTGCAGAAGCTGGACACGAGGCGACCAGCAACATCCAGGAAGGATATCGAAGAGAAAATTGCCGTCCACGACCAGAGACGCAAGGATGAGCTGGCGAAGAAAACCGAGGCGCAGCGCTCGAGACAGTCGCGCCGGGACAAGCTTCTTGCTGAGGTGCAAGCAGCGCGTGCACTCGAAGCTCAGCAGAATGCCAAGGATACAGATGAGTTGGCAGACGGCCTGCCAGAGGATGACAGTATGACAGATCTGATGAAGATCGACAAACAGAACGAAGAGGATATCTCCAACATGCTGGAGCACGAAGGCCAAAAGCCATTCGGACTTGGATTGAGCGATGGCATCGTAATCCAGCCAGATGAGACTGGCAATGATGAAGGCCTTGCTGCATCTGAAGAAGACGAAGCATGGTGAAGGCCAGTGGGCACTGCTGCACATGCTAGTCTAGGGAAATCCCCATGTTTCGACTGGGGGGTTCCCCTAACTTACAGCAGATCACAGGTAAGCCCATATTGCACTGCAGTCCACACTGTGTGACCATGCGTGAAACATAGCTAACACGGCGTGTGAATGCCAGTCAGAACTGCCCTTGCCAGTACACCAGGCACGTGCAGTTCTAGTGCTGGTCAGTGGTGTTGTATAATACATGTATGCAATGTAGTTCCAGTGTGTGTGCGTGCAACAATAAAGAGAAGATTAATGTTACTGACAATGTGCATGTTGCGACCGACTTACAGCACAGATTTGTTTTGCTACAGAGAAAGCTGTGCAAGTCATGTTAATATGCGTTTGAATTTATCTGTACCAGTCATATCACATATCTCCCATATCTTCCACTATAATAATTATCTTGCTCGGCAAGCTACCTCATCCAACCCATAACCGTACTGTGTGCTATTTCAGTACAATCTGCTACGGTCTTGCGTGTGCAGGGATGTATACTGTATAGCCAGCTCTGCCAGGTGCAACCGGCCAAGGCAGTTGCCTATCACTCTGACAGGTCAATGTGTCCTGTATGTACGGGAGGGGCGGCGGAACCAGGGAGTATTACAATGGTATTGTACTACTCCCTGGGCGGAGCTTGTACAGTTGGTCATACCATGGCCGGGCGGGCGAACTGTTTGGCCACTAAATAGCATGCTTACTGCTGATGAGGTCATGTATACCCGCCATCTCATACACAAACTTGTATGAAGGACTATGGTATATGGCATGGCGAAGCCAATCAAAAACTGCTTCTGCTGGTCCTGTGTGGTGTTGGGTAGTGTTGGGCTGGGCTACCCGGTGGCTGGTGATTTTGAACCTAAGCCGATCTAACAGTGCTCATCATGATGCACATGAAGTAGTAGGACATACTAGTAGTCATTGTGTTCCGCACCTTGTTACTGACCAGTTGTGTGCTAGTCCTGGATGGCTACCATGCAGCATGATGTGCTTCAACCTCTGCTGTAATCACTAATGTGCTTGCACATCAAGACTGGTGGATAACACCGATGTATACTCAGTAGTTCACAACTGAATCTGTGCCATTTTCATCCGCCTCACGTACACACACACACACACACACACACACACACACACACAGCCAGGGAGCCCTACACCGTCACCTGGTCACAGCTACACTCCAGTTACATGACATGTAAGCACACTGCTCTGAGACTAACGAAAACATGCCATGTGTACGCCATATACTCCTATGCCACAGCTTGCCAGATTCTTTGGCAGAATTGCCAAGGCATCATGATAGTGGATTGCACATAACTCAGCACAAAGCCGCAAGTACATGCTTGGCGGCTGTGTCATTCTAGTACATGTACTTTTAAAACAAACTCGTAAAAAAGCAGATAGTATAATTTCAGAAGTTCGCAATGATAAACTATTTCTAATGGTCCATAACGGTTCGCAATGCCATCACAATAACAAGTCCTGCATTTCTCGAAACTTGCTGCCTCTACTGTCTGTCATATCCCAGAACTGCTCGATAGGACGCCTGGAATTTGCAAAACCCTTTAAAAGAATACAAGAAAGACAAGTCAAATATTCATCAAAGACCGGTCATGGCAAGATAGCCACTAGTGCAAGTCCAGTTCAGCTAATCAGGGTGGGAAGAAGCTCTGTTCCCACCCGATGTGAGGCTGCGTGGCAAGACGAGATGACGGGTGTTGATGGCAAGACCCGGCGTGGTAACTCGGTTGTGATAAATTCGTTACGACCATACTTAAACGTAGTATCCAGTTCACTGCGCCAGTGTGTGCTTTGGCCAGGATACGAATCAATCTCAATTTCCTGGCAGACAAGGTTGTCTGACTAGCTCACTTTCCTTCCTCTTCGTAGCTGCATAGAGAACACAATACACAAGGCAGCACAAACAGTATTACACACCGTGCGGCAGCATGTGTTGAATGCAGATTTCATGTGATGCATTCCGCGTGCGTCAGGTTGATGCCCGCACATGCTCCGGTCAGAGTGCTAGTAGCTACTTCAAAGTATGTCCAAAAGAGAATTTTGGCCATGGCACATCAATCGTGGTGTGGACATGCGGTCTTTCTAAGCATGACAGTGAAGTGCAAAATTCCAAACTCCACTTCCGAGGTTACCATGAACTGTTGCCATACTTCGTAATATGCCCTGTACGATCACCTCTAATATTAGTTGCTGAGTCTCCATTAGTCCCTAAGCTACAGTTTAGGGTCAGGTTTTAGGTTAATGTTGAAATAGAGGCCATGCAGCATGTCTGCGTATGATGGTGCTACCGGTAGGACCGGCGTCTATGCAGACAAACTAGGCTTAACGTAATATGCGCGGTCATTTTAATTGTTGAATTGCGTATATTCTACCACTCTCCTCTGGACATGTCTATACAGCGGCACCATAGTACAGAGCAGATGTGGTGATCTCGAATTGTGTACATCATGTGACTACACTTCTTGAAGACCTACTTTGCCAGCTTTGTTCTCATTTCTCGGAGCTGCTCGTTCTTGCTACCCATCATCTTCATCATATTCTTGTAAGCGCTTGTTTCATTGAACTTCTTGCTCACGTCCTGAAACAAAGCACAGGGCAGAGAAAAGAGACCGATGGTTCGCTGTAATGGTGGCAATGTGTGACATCACCAGACTCCTGGTTTATTTAACCTTGGAATGGAGACCTGGGAGAAAGAGCTTTAAAAACACACACACCGCTGTAGCCCGGATCTGTGCGGCTATGAGTCACTGGCCCAGCAGCACAAACTATGCAGACAATGGAGGGCCGTGCATAGATGCGTATTATTATTGAAGGAATTCCGAGCCGCGTGACGGGACCTAATATGACTGTATGGACCAACCCTTGGTAAGGGAATGACCCTCCGGAGAGTTATCGAGCAATTTTGAAACATTGCCGGTGATCACATTGGGAGATGGGTGACCCAGTCGGTCTAGAACTTTCATCAAGAGTACATGTATTAGAAGTTGAATTGATCGTCGACTGATATGGACTGTTGCCAGTTCAATTCCTCAAGAACAATGGAGTGGCAGATTTTATCCCTGATAAATTAATGATATGCACACACACATCCGCATACCTCCACACCCAGAACACACGGTCACCAACCTCTTTGGCTGTTTTCAGCTCGTCCTGTAGCGACAGAATTTCACGCTGAAACACCACAGAAGAAACACGTGTCACAAATCAGATATTATTATACTGCGGCATCCACGCACTCACTCTCCTGCATTGATATTGCCTGCAGGCCTGTGACACATGTACCGTACACACTTCACCTCTTTCACATGAGGACACGTCACGGCCCTACATTCAGTCAGTGACATCATAAAAATGCCCCTAATGAAGCAACGTGCACACTTTTAAAACAGTGGACTCACTAAAGATGCTGCCAGTTTCTCCTCCGTATCTCCCGATGCTGCTGCTGCAGCTGGCTTGCTTTCCTTGAGCTAAGAAACACATTAGAGAGAATGAAGCAACGGCCGTGCGGTCATGACCAATGTTCGCACGCGCGCAATGACATATACCGTAAAGTACCGCCAGAGCGCCCCACCATCTCATCCTTTCGTGGTCGTATTGTGGAGGTGGTCTGCTGTCTGGAGGTCATACGACATGAACCTTGTACACATATTGCACGTTTTGCAGTCAATCCGTACCTTCGAGCGGACACAAGCTCCAGCTTAAGCTCCACACAAACACCTGCCAAGTGTGACCTTAGTACACTAAAATTCTTACATCGTACAAACTTCGTTGCACTCTGCCATACGATTTTCCTTCCTCTGGCTGTAAAATCAAGGTGGGGCGCTCTCGCGAGACGGGGCGCTCTGGCGGTACTTTACAGTAGTAGTCGAACACGTACCTGCAGACTGTTTATGGAGTCAGTGGGCGTCTACTGCACCACCCAATCAAATAGGGGCCGAAAATGCCTTTGAAGTCAGTTTCAAGTTGTCACTCCCCCCCCCCTCTCCATGTGTTCCAGCACCTTGATCTGGACATGGAAATTACTACCCGGCCGGCCACCACCTCTCCCTGTGTCACTATGTACATAGCGTCGCTCCGTAAAAGCAAATATTCAAACAGTAAAATGGCCGTTCACGTTCCGCCGGACTCGCAGTGCCTCATGCCACGTCCCGAAGCCAGCACTCCTTCAAGCCACCCCGTTTTGGGGACACATAGCCAATTGTGGCAGTGGGCGAAGGAAGTGGCACAGGAACTTACTGTCATATCTACTAAAAAAACCGTGTGTATCCCCAGATTAGGGCTGCCAGCTTGCTGCATGGCACCATGATGTAGCATGTTGCAAGTAAGTTAGGGTTCTGAAATACAGTGGATCACAAGGATTATGTGATACCGTGGCAGTCACATGATTCGGTCACATGGTACAATCACATTATACAGTTGGATCATCATCACACAATTGTACGGACTGTCGGCGCGATCAGGACTCACCTTGTCAAGCTGTGCTTTAGTCTGATCCAGCTGAGACTGAACATCGTCCTTGTTTGCACTGGCACTCTGTGTGTCATACATGCACATGTCCGGATGAGCGAGGGAGAGAGAGAGAGTGTGTGTGTGAGAGAGAGAGAGTGTGTGTGTGTGTGTGAGAGAGAGAGAGAAACACAAAAAAGCTCTTGAGCAGCTTGCAAACAGTGCAGTGGTTTTGAGCAGGGAAAACACAAAAATACTACACATCATCGGCGATGATTCTACACCACTATGCATTTTAATACTAGTGGCTAGTGCAGTGTGTGGCCTCGCTAGCGGCAGCAGCCAATGGCTGGATTTACACAGAGAAACATGGTGGCACAATTTGTTCAATGCCGTACTTGTTTCTCCTCGGTGGCTTTGTCCAGGGCTTGCTTCGTACTGTCAAGGGTTGTCGCAAGACTTTGCTTTTCTTTCGAAGCAGATGTTGCCTGGGCACCATGAAACACAATACACATGCATGTGTGTGCAAACACACACACACACACACACACACACAGATGACTGATCGGTGTTACCAACTTTCCACTGCCCAACTTAACAAGCAAATCCTAGTTTAGAATGATCACCCCTATAGACATACAGATGTATCATTTTCTCGAAGCCTGGGCAAATAGGCCTTTACATGTACTGCAGTATTATTGGAGCCTCAAGGGGTGTACATTCATTGGGGGAATACTGAGCATATCAAACCTGCACAAACTACAAGAATTTAGCCAACGTGATCATTCATTAGCCGGTGTCTTTTCCACCTCAGATACCACTAAAGAAGCATAACTGTGCACATTAATATGACTTGTCTGTTGTGTGGAATGAACATAGCTAAGCCTATTACGTGTACCAATGTTAGCCATAGAGCTTATTCTGATCTTGACAATCACCAACCACAGCAATGGTCACATGGCCCTCCACTCTGCGAGATGCCTTAGCTACATGTACATGCATGACAGTCACAGCAATGGTCATGTGATCACGGTCTGGAAGATGTCCTAGCTATAACAGTCACATGCTTGGTTGACAGAATTATGTTCAAACTTTCAGTCTACCTGAGATTAAGCAGGCACTGGTAACAATATGCCAAAATGGGCAATGACCTTCGTCAGCAAGCAGATCACGTTCCACTACCCACCTCCTCTGATTTTGCATCCAGCTGGCGGTGCAATAGCTTGTTCTCCTCCTTTAGCCGATCAATTTCCTGGCAAGGAAAAGAACACAGAATAGTAATACATTGTCATACACTTTCCGTGTGGCCACTGCTCAATGCTCAGCGGCCCGACCTTCCCGATATGCACACACACACACACACACACACACACACACACACACACACACACACACACACACACACACACACACACACACACACACACACACACACACACACACACACACACACACACACACACACACACACACACACACACACACACACACACACACACACACACACACACACACACACACACACACACACACACACACACACACACACACACACACACACACACACACACACACACACACACACACACACACACACACACACACACACACACACACACACACACACACACACACACACACACACACACACACACACACACACACACACACACACACACACACACACACACACACACACACACACACACACACACACACACACACACACACACACACACACACACACACACACACACACACACACACACACACACACACACACACACACACACACACACACACACACACACACACACACACACACACACACACACACACACACACACACACACACACACACACACACACACACACACACACACACACACACACACACACACACACACACACACACACACACACACACACACACACACACACACACACACACACACACACACACACACACACACACACACACACACACACACACACACACACACACACACACACACACACACACACACACACACACACACACACACACACACACACACACACACACACACACACACACACACACACACACACACACACACACACACACACACACACACACACACACACACACACACACACACACACACACACACACACACACACACACACACACACACACACACACACACACACACATACACACATACACACACACAAACACAAATCAGGCTCTGAGAGTAGTCCACCAGAACAATGTTATGATCATCCAACTACGGTAGCCAGTATCTGAAGTTCTGAACGTAATCATCCTTACCATTCGCATGAAGGCTCCAGGGTCTTCAATGGGGTCCAGTTTCTTTTGCAGCTGTCACGTGCACATGAACATAAACACAAATGCATACACGTGCACACATGCATGGACACACACACACACACTCAAACACATTCCAACCAGCCACATACTGCCCCAGTCAAGCCAGGACAGGATGTACGGTACATCCTGTCCTGGCAACAGTGCTGCAATAAGAAGTACGATGACTACAATGTGAAAAACGGCCTAGTAAAATTAATATGACTATACTGCAAGGATGACTTTGCGCCATCTAGGTGTGACTATATGCAGCAGCCAATTACTTACTAGCTAATGGCTCGGGAAAGTACTGATTCGAAAACCAGTGCAACTCACACTCTCACTTACCCTGGAGTTGGGAAGTTCACCTCGCTCAAACTTGGCAACGTCCTCAAGCAATTGCCTGTGCAGTAGAAAAGTGAAGCATGCCATGGCACACATTTGATGCGTCGTGGCATACACTGGCACCATGGCACTGTGACACATGTATCACAGACATGCAGTACAGTGCATCAGGTAGCACTGCAGTAGTATACATACAAGTGTACAGAAGACGACAACTCAGCTCAATCATGCTACTAGACAACAACCAGGACATCAGGAATGATCATTCCTGATGATACCGTCATGGGTGAACATTTAGAAGAGATCTATTTGAAGTGGTGTAGCCAAGGACTGAAGAAGGTTTGTGCTGTAAACGTAGAGCCAGGAAACGTCAATGCACTGATTCATCTCAGATTACGAGGTAGATACCAAGACCAGGATAAGGAACTAGCCGTAGCAGCCCCCGTTGAGTGCCCTGTCTGTTTAAAGGTCTGCTATATAAGTTGTGTTGGCACAGAGGAACGCTATGTTGACATAAGTGACGTCAGCGCCTCAACAACCACCAACACTATGAACACATAGGACCATATTGCTACAGATGTTGATATTGCAGAATTATCTCTTGTACCCGATAACTTGATTGGAGAGGATGATGATCCTGCTGATTCATCTGTTGCGGATATGCAACCGTTTGTGCTATCCCCTGAACGTGCGAGATAATCCGTACGTATGTTGAGTCTCGGAATCATCTGGCAGTACCTGAAAAGAACAGACTTACAGAGCTTCTCCGTGAGAATCATGACTTGTTTCTCTTGCAGGAGGGTGATTTTGGTCCTTGTGATGTTTTGCCACATAGTAGTAGTACTGGTGATATACAGCCAGTTAAGCAGCCTACGCGCGCTTTGCAAGCTTTGCTGGATGGTTTGTTGTCCCGTGGTATACTCACCGAGTCCATTAGACCCTGGGCGTCGCCCATAGTTCTCGTTCCCATGAAGGACGGATCTCTCCGGTTATGTATCGACTACCGCAAGTTGAACAGCATTGCGGAGCCAGATGCGTATCCTATCCCACGTGTTGACGCCATATTGGACTCACTCTCTGGCTGTTCATGGTTCACTTGCCTGGATTTAGCGTCAGGATATTGGCAGGTTCCTAAGCACGAGGACGATACGGCAAAGACTGCCGTTACGACACCGTTGGGTTTGTGTGATTTCTTGGTTATGTCTGGCTGTAGAAATGGTCCAGCGACATTCCACCGTGTAATGGAAGCGGTGCTTCATGGTTTGTGTAGTGTGCCTAACCAACCATTCTGTCAAGTGTTTTTCAACAGTGTATTGAATGCCAGCTCTACCTTCACTGGACAGCTCCAGATCCTGCAGTCTGTATTTGGCCGGGTTCGTGCTGCTGGACTAAAGGTAAACTTGGAAAAATGTTCTTTTTTCCAACGGAAGGTGCTCTTCCTTGGCCATGAAGTTTCGGCTGAAGGTTTGGCTCCGAATCCCACCAGGGTTGAGGCTATTGTGAAGTGGGCCGTACCCCAGTCTGTACGAGGTGTACAGGTGTTTCTGGAGTACGCCGGGTTTTACCGCCGCTTCATCCGTGGTTTTGCTCAGCGCTCCGCTCCACTGAATGTATTAGCAGGCAAGGGTGCCAGCTTTACATGGACTAAGAGTAGTGATGCGGCGTTGACGGCTATGAAGCGGTCACTGACCACAGCCCCCGTGTTGGCGTATCCCGACTTTTCTGTTTCGTCTGGTGGCTTTATTTTGGACACTGACGCAAGCAAGGTGGCCATTGGAGCTGTCCTCAGCCAAATGCAAGATGGCGAGGAACGCCCCATTGCGTTCGGCAGCCGGGTCTTGACGAAGGCAGAGAGGAATTATGATGCCTCAGACCGGGAAACGCTTGCCCTTGTCCATTTCGCGAATCAGTTCCGGCACTATTTGCTTGGTCGGAATTTTATTGCCCGCACAGATAACACTGCCCTCACCGCACTGATGTCCGTGAAGGAACCACGCGGTCGAAAAGCTCGATGGGTGGAGCAACTCGCTGAGTACACCTTCACTACTGTTCACCGACCGGGTCGGCAATACTTGAATGCAGATGGTCTGTCGCGTTCCTTGTTGCCGGAGGTGCAACCATCCCATCTCGAGACTCCCGCAAATCAGCCAGAGCAAGCTAGTTCCTCTGCCACAACTGCGTCTGTGGATGTCGCCACTTCTGTACTTGCTGGTCTCTCCGCAACTGAGTTGACTGCTGCCAAAGCTGTGAATGTCGACCTCTCAGTGGTCAGTTTGCCCAGGTACAATGCGGTGAGTGGAAAATTTGTTCGCCCTCCCGAAGGTTTCTGGCACTAGTCGTACCATGCGTTTGTTCTCGGCTAATGCAGTTGGATCAGAAGGAACATTCGGTTCGCATCTGATGCCTCACGGTGCTTACTCTGCAAGCCCTCGACAGCGACCATAGTCCGCTGTCGTCTACGCTCCCGCCGTCAACCAGAGCCCATCTTGCTCGCAATGCTGGACTGCCTGCGCGGTTTACTGATTTTGCTATGTCCTGAGTTATTTTATTTTTTATGTTTCTGTTTTCTTTCTCTATTCACGAGGGCGTGAATTTTTGGTAGGAGGAGGATAGTGTAGCATGGCTACTTTATGACACGTAATTTGTATACACATAAATAGCACACCGTAGGAATGCATGGATAGGCTGTGCGCATACTCGCACTGCCTTGTCTTCTTCTTCTCCTTGTGAGACAATGAACGAATATTGATAACTACTTACGTAACAACAAGTATGTGCTTTGAGTGCTGAGAGTATACGAGTTACACATGCATTAATTGAGGATCATGATCAGGAACTGTACCTGTCCTCCAGAGTGGTGATGTCGGCTTCCAGCGTCAGCTTCCACTCCTGTGCTTTGCGAAAGAGCTGACACAGCAGCAGAACCTGTGTGTAGTCGCTGTCGATCAGCTCCGACTCCACACTGCTGTGCAGCGTGTCCTTCAGGCCGTCCAGCAATGCAAGCATCTCCGTGCCGCTGTATGTACCGTCCTCGGACACACTGCATGTGAAACGCCACCACAATGACAGTGTGAGCCATAGCAACAAGTCAATGTCACTTGATCTTCTGTGTGCAGACGGTCTTTTTTAATTTCAATTTTTACTGAAGACACAACCTACTTGTAAGAAGAGGGGAGAGAAGTAGCAGGACAACACAACAATGGGAAGAGTAGGGGCTCCAAGAAGGAACCTGTGCTGGTGAGGCAAGCCAACAACGCCGACCTGTGGTCTCGGCGTTAATTTCTTTAACTCAATAAAGGTGATAAATATAACCCCGATCACTGGTCCAGTGCAGTAGTAGCCTCGGATTGCAGATGTCATGTAGGACACATTGCTCCTACCAGTTAACTATACAGCCTCACCTCCAAGAGTAAGTGAGTGCATTGCTGTGCGCATGTGAATCATGAGCATCCAGGCATCTTAGCATAGGAGGCCCCGAAAGGTCCTTTCATGGTGATCGGCATGCCCGGAGCTGATATTTGATCAACCCTAGCACCAACCAAGGACCATACATGAATGGTCAGCGGCACGATAAATTCAAGTCTGCTTTAGGTAAGCGATTGCAGGCCAGAGAGTTTTCAAGCACAGCACGGGCATGTGGCATGGAAATTCAGTACAGCATGAATGCTCTGGTTACTATGCACTGAGGTATGCTATCGCCAGCAACGCCTTGCATGTCTAAAGTTCTGTGCCGCATCAAGCTACATACCTGCTGTCTCTCACATCATCCACGGTACCATCAACACCCAGCAGGCGCTCCGTTCGCTTCAGTCGCGCAAACGCAAAGAAGTCACTGACGATCTTCTCATGATTCGCCGTCAGTCCGAATGGATTGCCCTGCACACACGGAGCAGCAGTCGTACAAGTGTAACGGAGCACATCCAAAACTGGAACAATCTTTAGAAAGGAAAATTCCATCAGTCTAAAGTGTGCACTCGACACTTCCATCAAGCAGCAGGTGTGCGTCAGGCCAGTGTCTGCTCCAGAGCCGGTTGGAGGGTACTTGGACCCGTTTGGAAAAAGAACACCGGTTCACCTGTGACCCTGTTGGGAATACACACCAGGGAGTACTATTATGTACACCAGGGAGTCATAATATGTACACCAGGGAGTCATAATATGTACACCAGGGAGTCATAATATGTACAGCTCCCTGATGTACATGTACATGTACATGCAGTACCCATACTTGAACGTACCCGGCTCTGACCCGGTTGGAAGAGTTGTGCCAGGTACACGTGTACCTGGTTGGTTTGAAATCCTAGAGCAGACACTGCAGGCCACGTTGAAATACACGGCAGTAAGTAATAGTTGTGCCGATCGCTGTCGATCCGGGGAGATGTACGGCCTCTTGAGCCTTACTACTCGTGCTACTGGGACTACAGCCACCATGCAGAGTGACACTGTCACAGTGTGTACCCTTCCTATCCTGGGCCGGGAGGTGTTGAAATAGGGACTTCAGAGCAGCAACTCCACCGTGACTCCCTGATAGCTGACTAAGAGGCTGCACTCATCTGTGTGAAGTCTTGACAATCGTGATTTCTTCCCTCGTTTTCAATGTCATTGAATCATCGAATCAATGTTGTATTGAACACATAATTGTACTATATGTACATGTATGTGTGGGTCAACTACATGCATACAAAGCACTGTGTGAGCACTATATCCGGCATTATACGCAAGTCTCAGTGCCAATTTCGTGGAGCATCATGGAAAGCATTAGAAATTTAGAATCATTCTTACGAACTTTTTATCCACCGACTGCAAGTAATGTAACACTGAGTCACCTGAACCAACGCTTTTTTCACTTACCGTCGCTTGTGCCATTGCGGTAGCGTGTTACTGTAGCAGTCTTTCCTTGGGGTTGGGTGACCTGAAGTGTCTTTGACGGCTCGTAACAAATTCTTAGCCCTAGCCGCGGGTTATCAGGGTGCGTTCTGCTTGATCTGCAACCCTGGTCTGCAGTTGATGGACAGTTTGGAGGTGTAGTACTAGTAGTAGCTAGGTGAGTGATGGGGTCTCTCAGTTTGCTGTGGCCCGCTACGGGCGACTGAGGGAAATACTAGTACTAGTACTAGTAGTAGCACGTTTTACCAGAATGACAAGCAAACTTGCCACAAACGTGACAAAGGGAGCAGTTGCAGTTGAGCTACGAATCATCAATATTTTAGGGGGTATGATCAATGGGAAAAGATTTTCCCTGACATCCGTCAGGTAGTATTTTGTCGCCCTGTTTCTTTGCGCTTTCTTCGTCATCACTGACATCAGCTCGCAAGGGTACCTCGTGTACATGTACCAATGCCCATATGGTGTATTATTCTTGAATGCTTGGTTTCCCGCGTTGCCGAACGCGACAGATACAACGTTGCCAGGCTACACCGTCAACCTGTGACTGCCTAGCCTGCACTGTCGACCAGGAAGTACGAAGATCTACTCGTGCTCCCTCTGAGCCCTTCCGCCAACCATAATAATCATGATAATGGTTGGCGGAAGGGCACAGCGCCGAGGATCTAGGACCGCATATTATGCGGTCCTAGATCCTCGGCGCTGTACGACCACCAAAGAGCGTGGCAAAAGCACGAGCTACACAGGCTGCAGCGCTGCTGACAAGAGTACATAACCGGTAACCCCCCACACCCGTATAGTAGCTGTCGCGTCGCGCGCTCGCGTCGGTGGATCATCGATGAGCTTGAATGCACAGATGGGCAAACAGTTCACGAGGTCATGGGCAGTTCAGAATTCGAAATAAATAAATAATTGGAAATTGTTCATGAGCAGAATTGATTCTGATAGAGAAGGCGCTCGGCCTTGGCCCTTGGGATCACTTTCACCATGGCGCACCAGCACCTTTCTGAAATGTTTGCTCCTTCTAAGAAACCGTTCGAAGAAGATTTCATCATGCTTTCTGAATTTTCAGAACAGGAGGGCCCCAAACCTCTCGTGAGTGATTTGGTTTCATGCTTGTATAATTATCATCTTCTACAACTGAAATTTGAAGAAACTTTGTGACTGGCGTGCTCTGTAGCTGACCATTCCCCGCGATGCTGGTGGAACGTTTGATAAGAATTCTTTCGCGGTGAGGATCATGGCCGTGGATTTCCAGACGGGGTATGTTATGAGCGTGTACTGCTAGATTTGTCCAAGTATTCGTTTCATCGTATAAGTCGTTACAATAACACAATAACAAGACTGATTGTCAAAACATGTTTTACACCTACACATTCTCTAGCCATATCTTTGAGAGATTGGCCCAAACAATTTTCCGCGAGTAACTTGCATACAATGTCCAGAATTCCCTAAAAAGATCAGAAGAAATTTGAATAATCGACAGCAAAGTAAATTACCATAAAATCCCGCCAGAGCGCCCCTACCTCCGCCACCCTTCGAGTGGGTCAAGGTGGGGAGGGGCGGATGGGCGAGTCGTACTTGCCGCATTCGGTACTACATGAAAGAGTACTCGCCCTACGAAAACTGTGCGTGCGTCTCGTCCATCAACCAAAGGTCAAGACCAGGGAGTCGTACAGACCCGTCAAAACCCAGGGTTTGTGCGATAATCCCTGGTCAAAAGGGCGTGAAATGTTGCGTACATTTCCAACCGGGTCAAGCACGCGTCTGCAGTGCGGTACGGCATCACAATTCACAGAGTCATACGAGGATTCTCACTTCCTGACAAGAAGTCAGGGAGGGGCGCATGGGAGAGACGGGGTGCTCTGGCAGGATTTTACGGTAGTTTCAAAAGAAAGAAAGCAACGAAAATTACCCCCCCCCCCCATAATTTTTTTTTGAAACAGACCGCAGGTGCTGAAATGCACTACAGGGAAACCTGTCTAAGGCGGCCACTCAAGGGACCTTCAAAATGTGGTCGCTGTGTACAGGTGGTCTCCTTATCCAGGGTCGTTTGACTGGAAATACTGGTAACACACCTTGGTCCTGCCAGTAGTGGTCCTCTGGGACAGAGGTCGCTTTATATGAGTGGTCGTCGCCTTGACAGGTTTTACTGTCCATGCATATACACAGGGTATTGGAGATGTGCACGTACTACATACGGTACCCTACCTAGATCACATTGATGTGAACTCACGCAGTGAAATCGAACTCGTCGACCCATGCAGCTTGCTTTGCAGCTGACCCTGTGGTGAAACTTTGCGAATGGCTTGTATTCGCATGCGGGTTTCAGAGGCGAATCAGAGCACCATGCTTGAGATTCGTTGTAATTCAAGTAGCTACTCGATTATGTCCAAAGGCAATCATGTGTGTGAATAAGTGATAAGATCAAGGAGGGAAGCACGCATGAGTTCTAGCAAGCTCGTAGATCATGGCTGAAAGCATGTGTAAGCTGGAACCAGTAGAGGTTATGTGATCACATCATCAGTCGAGGTGCTTTGTATGGAGCGGCAAAGCCGCTGTGGCGGCGGCACTTCAGCGATGCACTAGCTCAAGTGAAACCGCTGACTCCGCTGTACACTAAGCACCTGTAAGGGAATCCGCCCACTCACACTGTATGCCATACTCACTCATAAGTGAATCTGCAGTGCTGACTCATCACCATGACATTTTAACCCCTGCTGTAGGTGATCAGGAGATAGGTGGATACGTGGTAGATAATCGCCATTGTGGGAGAAGTATAAAGAAGAGTATTTTATAGCCAATGCACTGTTTGTGTGTGTACATGCGCGCACGTGTGTGTGTGTGTGTGTGTGTGTGTGTATACATGGTTTGGTTTTGTATGTGTGTGTTCCCTATGCACTTACAGAGCTCCCGGTGCGTTTGAAGAAACAAAAGATACCCAGGTTGTACTCTCCGAAGGCTACGATCCCGCTACCAAAGTCTATGCATTTGTAAGTGCATACACACACACACACACACACACACACACACACACACACACACACACACACACACACACACACACACACACACACCATGTACCATGTATACGCCCGTCGCAAGAGAAGCACGCACATCTGAAAATGCACTGGATGTGCACCCACAGATTTTCTCTTATAGCAACGATAGCGAACAAGATCTGAATGAGACAGATCAAGACTTGCGCCAGATAACTGTCTAATCCATACAACTGGCGAAGCCGTGAATCGACCACCAATGCACACCTGGACTACACCACACGGAGTACATCGGCATAAAACGGCCAAGACAGTTATCTATGCGCACCGTACACTTGCTGGGGTGACCAGTATGGATAGCATGCTGCTTTGATAGAAGCAGACACTAGATGCACTGGTACCTTGAAGTGAATTGGAGTTACTTTTACCAACCAGCCTCGGCTACTGAGTACTGGGAACCCAGAGCCAACAGACATACCAACAACCTCAGCCATGCACACACACACACACACACGCACATTCATGTGGTACGCAAAGCACCATGCGAGCCGCATCTACATGTACGTGTGCATGCCTTTGTTTACGCCCTTGCATGTTCCAGTACCTCTCTGTCCTGTACCTCAAAGCTTTTCCTGATGGTTCTCTCCGTCTCACCACAATACTTCTCAGCACAAGGGCAGCTTGACATTGAGAGTGGATGACATACTGAGACGAGCATTGAGCACTCTGCATACTAGCATCACGCACGACATTCAACAGGCCGTCCTCGAGGACGAATTCCAGCACGACTGCAAGCATGAACTCAGGCACCAGAGACACCAATGAGAACACTATGAACCTGAACACGCACATCAAGCTAGCACCCCTACACACAACCCTGATGCATCAATTCTCATCACACTATCGTCCCCCTGTCGATCGTCGTACATGTATTCAGGAAGCAATGTTCACTCGTTGTTGTTGTTGTTGTTGTTGTTGGTGGTGGTGTTGTTGTTGTTGTTGTTGTTGTTGTTGTTGTTGTTGTTGTTGTTGTTGTTGTTGTTACTTTATTTTACTTCACCAGAATTACAGGCAGTAGAATGCCTTCTTACTAGACCAGGTCTAGTTCTCACAAATGATGAAGAATGTAAATGAACTTGCTGAAGCTAATGAAAACAAGAAATAGAAAAAGGGTCTGTGGTTGCAGACAGTTTGGCTGCAGTGAAGTGTGCGAGTTCTTAGAAAAGCTTACCACTTTAATTATTTGAAAACGGTGCCTTTCGGGGCTTGTTCCAAGAAATGCAGTGTGTGTATCCTGCTATTGTTAGACGAAGTTGCAGCCAATTATAAGGCCTATGAGTTCCGTGAACATTGCCGCTAAACATAGAATTCAAGCCAATCAGCATCATTCCATGTGCCTCCCCATTCAACCAATCAGTGCCCTGCTCCTCTCCCTTAGGCTGTGTTTACATGAGAATTTCAACCCGGGTCGAGTTCAGCCCGGGTTGAAAGTCTGTACGATGGACAAAATAAGTGAGCGTTTACATGAAGGCAGTTGACCCGGGTCAAATACTGATATGCCGCCAAAAGTCCACTTGTAGAGTCCTGTATGGTCACGTGAATACTTTCGCGCAAAATTTGCCTGTGCACTGCTATTCAAACCTGGCGCGAGATACGCATAGAAGTACGTTAGTACGATTTTCTCACCCCGGGTTGATTTCGACCCGGGGTGAAGTTTCAACCCGGGTCAAGCGCAATACGCGCCATTCATTTTGTGTACATGGCGGGTTGAAATCTGACCCGGGTTGAAACGCCTCATGTACACACAGCCTTATAAGGCAGAGCTTTCTTCTAGATCATCCTCTTATTCCTAATTAGCGTTTCCCCATCCCAGCACCTGCTCTTCCAGCTCCGGCTGATGTGACCAGATGTCTGTGGGTGGCGATATGGTGCCAAACCTGGGATTGAACCAGGGCCGGCTAGAGTGATGGGTATACCTGAGTGGGCCGATGTTGACAGGCAAAGTGTCCATTTCTGCCTTGTTTCTAGTGTCCCATTCTGCTGTGGTGAATTTGCTGCCTGTGCTATGTGCTGTGTGTGGCGGGGTGTGGGTGTGTCATCTGCTGTGTGGTGTAGACCAGGCTGAAATTAGTGGAGGTCAATTCATCAGCCTTGCAAACTGTTGAATGGTGTAATCCCAGCACAAGTTGCTGTCTAACATAGCTTGTTCGCAATCACCTCTTCAGCGACGGGCATGTGGAAGTGTGTGTGTGTGTGTGTGTGTGTGTGTGTGTGTGTGCCTGTGTGAGTGCGTGCATGCGTGTGTGCAAGTGACTATTGCGTGTGTGCCCGTGTGTGCGTACATGTGCCTAATTGTTGATCAACTGTGTATGTCTCCATGTTGCACAGGTGTATCACCTGACCCTTCACGACATTCATGCCCGGGGATATGTACGGCCGTTCTGCATGGCGTACCTGACCATGGATGAGAGGTAGGAGTACCGGTACACATAGCCGAGTGCACGTTACCTCAGTTTAGGTATGTTGCCCATCCTAAGAGGGACAGGGCTACTCATACCCATCCTGGGATGAGCAAATCAAATAAGCTACTGTAAGAGTTGAAAGGGTGACACAGCGTTTAATTAAACAACCCTGCCAGCACACGTCTGGCTTCTATTTCTCTAGTACATGTACAGAGGAGAGAAGGAATAACTGACGTGTAACGTTTCCTGAGTTACCGATGGAGTTTTTGGTGTTGAAAGTTAAAACGCTAGACTGTGTGCCCCGTTGTAGAGTCAACTCTTACAGTACTCAAGAAAATTGTTTCTATTGTCCTGTTTACTTGACATGTGACTGAATTGATGTTATTTGACGCTGGTAATTATCCAATTTTAAAAGTAATCACCTAGCCTTGTGTAAGATGGAAGATGAGATCACGGCTAATCGCAGTGTTGCAATCCTCTGGCAGAGTGGCGGCTTGCGGAAACGGCGTCATGTGTCCTTTTTTCAGGCAATCTCTATTAGCTAAATGGATTTCGTGATGTGCTCTTCTTGATCGCTTACATCTTGGCATCCACGGGGACCTTGTTTCATGCCAGCTCAACGGCCAAAGCACACAGGGTACAAGCTAGGTGTTAACATTTTCTCAACGGCAACACATGGTATCCCATCTTGCACACGGCGCACAAGCTAGGCGTTACCCGCTTTTCAACTGCTACTCTTGGTATCCCATCTTGCACACGGCGCACAAGCTAGGCGTTACAAGCTCTTCAACCGCTACTCTTGGTATCCCATCTTGCACACGGCGCACAAGCTAGGCGTTACAAGCTTTTCAACCGCTACTCTTGGTACCCCATCTTGCACACCTGTGCCATATAAAGAAGAGTAGACATACTAAACAAGGAGCAGAATGCTGCATGCTGGCACAGATATGCTACAGGCAATGTGATATTGAAGATGTGGCCCCGAGACTGCCTTACCTCGGAGATGTAGAAGTCCTCAACAAAAGCAACTCGACGCCAGCCACTATGCGCAGTTGTGTGGTTAGATTCCCTGACCTCCGTAACGCTCTCACGCTACCCAGTATGGCCTTTCTCGGCCGATTGGATTTGGCTCATCACCGTGCAGAAGTGCTCCACTCTGCGCCAGCTAAGCACTGTCGTGTCGTTTTTATTCTTTGTTTTGCTTGGTGTGCACAGCATGCCTTGCATGGCTTGCATGCCAAGAGTTGGGAACTACAGCAACCTGAAGTCTTTTCCTTCGAAAGTAATGAAAACATTCTGCGCATCTTCATTGCTGTCCTCATTCAGAAGGGCAATGATCCTTCCTCTTTGGTTATGGTCTTGTACGATTTTGATTCTGGACATAGGGCTTGGCAGAAGTCATCAACTTCTTCCTTGTGTAAGGATCTAAGCACGCACAGTAAGACGGATCAACGAGGTTTTAATTACTCTTACAACGAGAAATAGATGATGAGAGAGAGAGAGAGAGAGAGAGAGAGAGAGAGAAAGAGAGAGAGAGAGAGAGAGAGAGAGAGAGAGAGAGAGAGAGAGAGAACGACTAAGGGGAAACCCCAAGGCTATAAAGGGGCTGGGTAGCTAAGGCAATGAGTGGATGAGAGCGCGAATGTAGCTACCCAGGCCTACGGATAATACGGGAATGCGGGAACTTGTGTGGGGAGAGTGCGGGAGCAAGAAGTTAGAGCGAGGGAGGTAGGTTCCTCCTACACAAAGCACTCCTCATTACGAAGTTATTTGTGTTGACTGACCGGTTTCATATTTCAGAGAATAATCATCAGAGTGAGAGACGAATGACAAAATAACACGATCTATGTAAAAGCGGGCAAACTGTAATGGTACAAGTAGGCCGCCAAATTGCCAGACGGCCCAAGAGGAGTGGGAACCTATTCTACGGTGTAAATACTGAACCGATGGTGTACATACTGAACCGACGGTGTAGATACTGAGCCGACAGTGTAGCAGGCAATCGGGTCAAATGCAGGCAATGATTCTTTGACTTTCGTGATCGTCTTGGACGATTTTAATTCTGGGAACAGGGCTTGGCAGAAGTCATCAAACTCCTCCTTCAAAGCCATCTCGCTCGGCCACTTTTCCAACAAAACTGGGAAGACCTAGCAAAGAAAGAATGTCCCAGTCATGTTTACTAGTATCTTATAGGCTATTCAGGCTACGGCCAACATCACGTCTGAACTTGAATTTCCATGGTGATGCAGTGGTGCTTCAAATGACAAATGTGCAATCACTGATCGAACACGTCTGAGTCGTAGAAACATGGTCACCGTTGACTGTAGCCTGAATAGCCAATAACAAAGGCTGTAAACTTTTCTCTTGGGACCTTTTGCCAAAAGTACAAGGGGTTCAGTATCCAAACTGTAGTGTTTTTCTTCTTCTTTCACTAGGGCACGTTCGATTGTACGAATCCATGAGCCCCGAATCCGGATTCGCCAAATTTGGACCTGTTTGTTTGTACGAATCCGGATCTCGGTCGCACGGATCCGGATCCGACCAACCCACCTCCCAGAGCCGGATTCGACGGATTCGTTTGCATCGTATCGACTCAAAACTCGACATTTGCATACACTAGGTCAAGAGTTCACCATAATGCGTACAGATACATCGAAATAGTACGGGATGAGCTGTAGCAACTTGGTTGCTAAGGTCTTGAAACGGATTATCAGTTGTGCACATTCGATTGTATCCGTCTGATCGAAGTGATCTGGTCGGCGGGGATCGGGATCCAGTTTCTACAATCGAATGCAGCCTAAGCTACAGTACAAACATACACTGGGTGGTTATGGTTTCTCTTATGATCTTTGGACTTACATTATTATTTTCATAAGTTTGTGGGAAAGTTGCAAATGGGATAAGTCTGAAGAAAAAGTTGATTGTCACCACCAGGACTCAAACCAGGGACCATCGCTTATGACCAGTGATGCTCTACCACTAAGCTATGGTGTAGTTGTCATTCAAGCAACGCCCGTTCGTTAGGCCATGGTAAAAGTTACCTTTGATTCTCAAGAACGTGCGCACCGATTTTTGGCGGCGCACCGACGATTTTTTTAATTTCTATGCATGCACATGCGCATATGCGCGCATTAGCCGGCGAAAGGCATGAATCAGGGAGTAGTAAAATACCAGTATTTTTCTACTCCCTGGCCTGAATTATTTTGAACATGTGACCATGTACATAATTGTATGTGTGACCCTATCTTTGGAAATAAAAAAATTGTGGGAAATAAAATAAAACAACGCTCGCTCGCACCGATTTTCACAGGTTCATGACCTGAGAATCAACTTTATTTTTTACCATGGCCTTCTTATCATTATTGTCACACAAAGGAACCTTGACAACAGGTCACAGTGCTTAATACCTATGGCGGAGAGTGATACAAGAGTTCAGTGAACTAGAGAGTGTCCAGTCACTACTTGAGTTTTATGCTCAGTGAAGCATGAAGCTCATGTAGACACTGAACTCTTGTTATCATTCTTGTCGCCAGGTTACATGTACTGACTATGGGGGCGTTTGTTTTTCATCTACAGGTTTGGGTAGAAACTACACTGTACTTCTTTCGGTAGATGTGTTCGTTTTTTTCCTACCCCAAACGGTAGATTCTACTTTCCTCTGCCGGCTCTACCAGGTTTGAGGCTGGTAGAAGTCGGTAGAAGTTAGTAGAGGTACGGGATTTCTGTACTTGTGTGGCCATGGGAGCTTGTTTCCACAGAATATTGCACATCCTACTTGAAAATTGACGTTCTACCGGAATTGGTAGATCTGCATTCGTAAACTACAATCTACCGGCTTTTCTTTTCCAACGTTCGCTCTACTCTACTCTAACAAGTAGACGAAAACGAACGCAGCCTATATTCCGTAATGTACTTCAAGCAAGGCATGCGTACGTGAAAAAAGCCTGTGCGCAGGATCCCAAGATGTTCACCTGCCCATATTAGGATGGGGGAAATCGTTGGTCCGTCCTCAACATGTATAGTATACTGATAATCTTTGCGGCATTGTTGTCGGAAATGTCAATTTGATTGTAGTTGTGTCATGTTCACTTTGTGCTGCTTGTGTCCTTTGCCCGTTGATGTACCATGCAGGAAAATATTATTACACTTTGAAGATATCTTGCAAGAATTCACCAAGGTATGGGTTGAGTCTACTTGTTCTAGGGGGTGTGTGTGTGTGTGGGGGGGGGGGGGGGGTGGGGGGGGTGGGGGGGGGGGGGGGTGCTGGTGGGGTACCTGTGTTCTACTGGGGAAAACGTCAATATTATTCAGTATGGTAGTTTTGTATGCCATGCTCTCGCTTCCATCCCATACTTATTATGATGTCACCACTGGCTTGGCTTTTTCCAGGAGAAAGCACTTTGTGGATACTCTGGAGTTTGCGACTTCTAACTCCTAATTTGACTGCTCGGTGTGCCTATTGGGCGTTAGAAGATGGTTTGATGTCTTGTGTCGAAGATATTTTACCTCTGGAACTTGACTGGGTTGGTGTGTTTCTAGCTTAGCACTGCTCTGCACCATACTGGATGCTGTGTGTGCGTGCGTGTGCTGTGTGTGTGCTGTTCGTGAGCCGTGTGTGTGTGTGTGTGTGTGTGTGTGTGTGTGTGTGTGTGTGTGTGCGTGCGTGCGTGTGTTCTCTGTGTGTTGTTCACCTGATGCAGGTTTCAGAGGTCCTGAAGCACGGCAACTGGCCCATCTTTGAACAGGAGCTGATTCGCCGTGTCAGTGATTTGGAACACACAAGAGGTAAGGACACCAGCCAGATTGGCTCGGAATGCTCGGCACATGTGTCTGTTCTGAAGAAGCCTGGACAGCTCATTACTTCACTGTAATGACGTTGATAGAACGATTGCACCTCAAATATTCCAAAACTCAGGGCGAACTTTGAGTTGACTCCAAACTGTTCCATTTTGGAGCCATCTCAGTGACACGACAATTGACATCATTTACGGAAAAACTTGGAAAACTTGAAAGTACCACGGACCAGCACAAAAAGAGGCCTCAGAACAAATGTTAACAAATCAGGTCAGTCAGTCGGGTTACTTCTACAATGCTTATCTCGTTATTTCTGCATTGAATAGTGATTGATTTTCCGCGCCGAATTTCCGACGCTGCATGCATGTCCAATGCGCGTCAACAGTACTTCACACTTTCCTTTTCCCGCGTTATCACCTCAGCTATGCCAGTTTTGTATGTGGAAACCCCCTATATAATAGCAGTTTGGTCTATATTTTTAATCATTCAACATCTACCTTCACTGATGAGCTATGTATTAGCGAAACAGCTGTCTGAAGGAGTTTATCAATATCGTCTACGGAAGTGTCCTCGCAATGGTGATGGTTGTGTGCAGGAGGGTCTAGTCGGCTAAAGAGCGCAGTGTGATGGTGGAGGTGCCTCAACATTTTCTTCAATGGCCGAGAGCTCTGTCGTACCCTGTAATAATGCTTATCTCAAGTGAACAATCCACACAGATGAGTGTTTGGTCAATATCTTCTTGCTGCCAAACTGTTCCGAAAGAGGTCCGTTGTTTTGAATTGTGCTCACTGGTGTGTGTAACGTTATGCACGTGTTTCCTCTTGTTTCTATTTGTAGATGAACTAGTGTCTGCTCAGAATAAACTGGATGAGGAGGACACCAAGGTAGAGCTTACTGTCTAGTGTTAGCTGTCTCTTGATTGCTGTACTCTTTCTTTGTTAACAAATGAATGAAATAATCCCCATGCTCATGTCATGTCATGCGGTGTGTACTGCCTTCCGGCCTATGCAGCATTGCAGATGTGCTCGTAGTGGCCAAACACCGTGCTTTTCTCAGATTTCTCTACGCTTGGGAGGATAACATACGACGGTCTCTAAGGGGCCGGTCACACTGAGGGAAATTTTGAAAAAATCCGTGGTTACCATGGATATTTGCCGCTGAGCGGGAGATTTGAGAGATTTAATCCACTCGATGAAAATCAGATCGAGGCCCTGCTTTTCCGGGAGGGGAGGGTGTGCACGTGGTTGCCTTTGATTATTTGTCTCATTTCAAGGATTTCCGAATGCGAATGGGCATCTATTGAGTGAGTGTTTCCTACATGTTTTAGAAGGGCTGAAAGAGGAAAAATAATATTTGTGTGCACTAGTATTCATAAATATTCTCCTGTGTTATCTGCTTTATCTTTTGCTGTTTTCTGCTGGCTGGTGTGTGTGTGTGTTTGTACGTGTGTTTGTACGTGTGTTTGTACGTGTGTTTGTACGTGTGTTTGTACGTGTGTTTGTTCGTGTGTTTGTTCGTGTGTTTGTATGTTTGTGTGTGTGTGTGTGTGTGTGTGTGTGTTTGTACTTGTGTGTGTGTTTGTGTGCGTGTGTGTGTGTGTGTGTGTGTGTGCACGTGTGTGTGTGTGTGTGTGTGTGTAGCAACTTGACCAAGTAGCATATCAGCTGGAACAGTGCACTGGTAACCTGGAGGAGATCAGAAACATCCTGTCAGTCGTGCAAGTGCTAGTGGTCAGTTTCTCTTCTGCCTCTTCCAAGCTAGATGGTCTGCTAGTAGGGCGTTGCATGCATTGCGTTGTTTCTGACTTCACCAACTTAGCCTTAGCCTGGGTGATGGATACATTTCCCGGTTGCAATCGCATCCTTGAAAGAACCGCTTTATCTTAAAGTGTTTTGTCACATTCCACCTGGGTTTAGTTTTCCTTTCTTACTACCGTCACAGTACCGTGTATAGACTTGGAGATAATTCTGTATTTCGAAGTACTAAGTACTAGCTACACGCAGGGAATCTGCGGGCTGATATGTAGACACACAGGGAGTCTGCGGGCTGATATGTAGACACACAGGGAGTCTGCGGGCTGATATGTACAGGGGGTACTACTAGCTATGCATGACTCAGCAGTTGAAGTTTTGTTCATCTTGCAGGGTCGCAATTCCGAACTGGATGCTCAAGTGTCACGTTTTGAGGAGCTGTTCGAGTCTCATCGACTTCGCCGTCCCGCGTCTGAAACTAACATCCTGGCCAGCACCAGTGAGTACCAGTACTTTGCTTAGGACAGTGGTTGGGATGTGTGGTTGGGATGTGTAGCGCTTCTTACGTGGGTGTGAGTGTGAGAGAGGATGTGGGTGTTTGTGTCTGTGTGTTTGTGTCTGTGTGTTTGTGTCTGTGTGTGTGTGTGGGGGGGGGGGGGGGGGGTAGCGGCTGCGAGTATGCACTGTCAACACATACAGCTAAGCTCCCAGGCACCTCTTACGTCCACAAGTTAAGCTCCCAGTGGCATGCCATCCTCTGCTGTCCTCGACACTCTATCTACTGTAGGACCGGTAGCCTTTGGCAGGCATAACAAGTGGGAATTGAAAGGATGTGTTTGCTTTTATTATAAGTTTTTTTAATATACAGGTAGTTGTTCATGGCTGTTGTGTACATAAGTATCTGCGCGTGTGTATATGTGTTTCAGGTATTCCGAAGACAGGCGTCGATGATGATGACGATGAAGGTGGATCTTCTCGGCCAAGAAAGCGCTGTAAGGTCATTCTCGTTGTATTGTTGACATACGGTATTGGCATGATGTCACAGCATGTTTGTAATACAGTAAAACCTGTAACTAAAGACCACGGTGACTAGCGACCAGCCTGGTACTACAGACCACTTCGCCAGGCACGGACGGATGGTCTCACATTCGTAATATGGTTGTGCGGTGTAAACCTCTAACTAGGGACCACCTGCCACTAAAGACCGCTTTCTCTGGCCCCCAAGGGGTGGTCGTTAGTTACAGCGTTTACTGTACTGAGGTCTCGTGATGTATGCAGCTTTCTCTGTTGTGATGCGGTACGATACCTGCTTGTGTTCTCAGACCAGTTATTTGTTCTTGCGTGTTCTACCTTCTCCCTTGTCTTCCTTTCTTCTCTCTTACCTCTCCTTGTCTGCCTTGGCCTTCGTCTCCACCTCCAGCATGTCAGCCTTCTCTTGTTGAACGGCTGTGGTCTCAGGGCTGATAGCATGTTCTGTCTTGGCTCTTTCCGATCGAAAATGTTGTTTTCGACCTCCATGCCATTTTCCTACTTCGAAGTATTTTGCTTTGCACTGGATTTGCCGGGAATGAGATTGGATTTTGCTGGACAATTTCAGAGCGTTCTTTCGTTACTTTTAACCTCTCTGTGATCTAACTCTCCTTCCTCCGTCTTCATGTGCTGCTTGTGTGTGCAGCCAACACATCACCTCCACAGCCGGAGGCTGTGTCTGCGGATGCTGTAGCTGATCTTCAGTCTGTTTATCAGGTGAGTCACCCACGTATGAGCAGATAAAACCTGTATACCGTGTCCTGAGATTAGGGCTTTGCTCCGAAAACAAAGCACCTTTGGCGTTGAGAAGTGGTCGGATATTTCAACACCCACCCGACAAAAGCTCCCGCTGGGCTACTAGTATTTGACACCTACAGTATAAAGTATGGACTCGGATGGAGAGCCAAGGATAAATTTATAGAAAAGAAAAAGGACCAAGGAACTACAAGTTATGCTATAATGTCCACTAACACCACTGGTTACTAAGCAATCAGCTCATGCGATAACATTGCACAGTATAACCTGTCCCCGGCACGGCTGTTTTTTTTCGCGAAATTTGGACATTTAACAAGATGGCAGCCAAAAGTCTCGATTGGGCTGGATCGGCAAGGAAATTTGAATTTTCAAATTCTCAGCAGCCGATTTCGCTGTGGTTTTTGCTCGATTTAGAAAGCTACCAGGCCAGGTTTACCCGGAAAACAGGTATTCCGTGTTCCTCTTGAAACTAGCTTTCCGCTGGTACCTCACATGGCCAACTTCGTCTCAGGAACAGTTTGTTCCGCGTTGCACAAGTCAAGCCTTCTTTCTCGCTCGTTCCTTGATTCATCGTTGACATGCCTGCGTCAAGAAGCCCTTTCAGGAGTTTTCCCAGTCTAGCTTTCAGTTTTCCCAGGTAGAGGACTATCTTCTGGCTATCTTCACCAAGTTTTATCACGTCCCGTGCACAAACTTCAGGTCCCGTGCGTTCGATGCTGAGCTACCTTTTCATGCGATTTAGGGGACAGATGGCATGGCGCTGGAGTCGCTGTTGAGTCCAGGAGGCCGAGGCCTGGTGGAAACTGCCCAGTAGACATGTGGGGTATTGCTGAAAAAGGCAGCAAGCACACAGATAGCCCCGAAATTGTGATGTGGATCCAATTGGGCGTTTGTTCGAGTGCATACCGGCAAATTTGAAAGTTGCACCCGTGATCCCGGCGAGGAGAAGCTGAAAATCAGTGCGTGCGTCAATATCCAGACTACCAGGGACAGCTTGGAGAGGTTCGAAAAGGTCAGGATGCTGGTTGACCACGGCAGGAGTTCCTTTTACCTTCCTTCTCTCTCAAATTGTCTGGATATTGAGTATCTCGCTCGAGCGCTTTCAAATAATAAATCCTGGTTTGACTTGCGAAATCGTGGAACCACACGGAGAGTGACATGAGTTTCATCCCAAAACGCAAACTCCCATCGTATTCATGAGGTTTGTACCGCGTTACGTAAATCGCACCGAACGACTCCATATTGTTAGATGTCCGTGCGCGAACAGCCGTGCCCCGGGGAAAATTGCGATTCCGCGGCCGAGTTTTTTCCGCGTTTTTGCGATTTTTTTAAAGACCGCGTTTTCCGCGATTTTCCCGCGTTTTTTCAACTTTTCTGTTGCACTACACGTACACACAGTGCACTGTTCGGTCAGCAACGTCTCATCCGGTGGCGGCTTTGTACTCAAATATGACGAGCGCTTACACCAGAGACTTGTAACTGATTGATTTCACTACATACTCACTGAAAATTGCCTCATATCAACTGCAAACTTGCCGCCGCGAGATGATATCAATAATATTCACCGCATATTTACCGCAAATTATGCCATATTATGCCGCGTTTTTTTGCGATTTTTTCCCGCAATTTTCCCCGGGGACAGTATAACGTACTCTGGATATAGCATACTGTTCACTTTGCATCGGATGTACAGTTCTTTGAATGTCATGCATATCCTTTTCCAGTCATCTGCCGTTGGGTATTCAATGCCTCAGCTATAAAGTGCGGATTTTTTATGGCCCTTGGCGGTACGGTATATCCTGAACTTTGGCTCTACTTATCGCTTACTGTACTGAAGTACATCAGTAGATTCACTCAGGAGGCAGAAAAACAGTTCTACAGTCAAATCTGTCGTAAGCGACCGCCTCTCGGTGCAAGAAAAAGCGGTCTCTTACGGCAGATGTATGTGTATGGTAAATCCGGCATACCGGGCATGCATATATGCTTCCATGTACTCAAATCGACGAGAATAATGTATTGGACATTCAATAGAATATAGGGGTGCCAGGGCCAGTCGATCGCACTTGCAAGACAGCACATTTTCACACCTTGTAGTTGACAGCGCACTAGCACTGGCAAGTACAGTTTTGCACCTGACTGAACGACATACATGGGTCGCGGTCGCTTACAGCAGATTTGAATGCAGCCACTGTGCATGAAATCGCGGTCGCTGGTCGCGCACAGCAGATGGTCGCTCTGGACAGATCAATTTGTATGTGAAACCGTCGGTGCACGGAAAATCGGTTGCTAACGGTAGATGGTCGCCTACAGCAGAGGTCGCTAACAGCAGATTTGACTGTAGTACCCGCTAGTGAAAATAACTGGAATCTTCCAAAGCTGAAGATTTTGTGACAGTGAGGTGTTCTCATGGAGCAAAACTTGCTGAGTGTTCAACAGTGTCTTGTTTCCTGTGTTGCTTATTCTCCTTCCACTATCTAGCCGCAAACATTAGATGTGCTCCGAGGAAAGAGATTTGACCAGAAACTTCGGTGAGGGCATGCATATGGTCACACCCCAACCATTGCCAGTGTTTTCTTTCTGTTCTTTATAGACCGTGCATGTGGGTGCATGCGCTCGCACATGTGTGTGTGTGTGTGGGTGGGTGGGTGGGCGTGGGTGGGTGTGTATGTGTATGTGTGTGTGGGGGGGGGGGGGGGCATGCTTTGTGTACCTTGTATGCCCTTGTGTGTTTTAGTCGGATTGAATGCTTGTCATTTTAATCTTGTTTATTGCACGCAGCCATTCATTCTTGCACACTATTCATTTGACATGGCTTGTTCAACAATCCTTGCTTATGCATCAGAGTCTGAGAGTTGTTTTCTTTTCTCTGCTCTCAGCTCCCTGAAGGGTTTGTGTGGTGTTTGTTCAAAGCTGGCACTGGGACACCTCAGACGAATACTCAACGTAAGGCCTCCGTGCGTCCATTGGTACATGATTATACAATGCAGGATTTTACATTGCCTGGTTCTGTGTTGTACTGTCGTGGACATGGAAATCCAGTAGATTGACCGGAGCCGGCGCCCTCAGCGCGTACAGAGCGTTCCATGCAGTGCACATGTTGATCCGATGCGACCAGCGAGCTGCAGTGCATACATGTAAATGCATGTGTGTGCCGCTTACCCACGGCTGCATGGCCAGCTCCCTGGGGCCGCTAGACATGCGACCGGATTTCCATGTCCACGGCAGTACATGGCATACGTGTGCATTGCATGCTGCAGGGTTATACATGTCAGTGGACGAGTTTCTCTTTAGAATTGCTGGTGTTATTGACCGAGAGTGGCATGTTGCATGTCATGACACGGGACATACTATAGCTTCTGTGTTTCTTTCGCCAGTTGTTGTGTACATGGCTTGTACTGTGTTGTGTAGAGTCTGTGATGTGATGTGTGCTGAATGGACGGGAAAGTGAGTTGTTTGGAAAGAGAGCTTTGCAACTCCTCAGGCTCAAGCGATCTTGTTGTTCCATTGCTGTGCCAACACTCTCTTGTGGATATCTCTCTATGTGTTCTGCAGCATTATGGCCGTGATCATGAGGGTGTTGCTGTAGAGAATGAAGAGTTTCATTGTCTAGGTGAGTTCTGGTGAACCTAGATACATGTACATGTAGTTGACTGCTGTACTTCATAGATTATTCAATTGACTGAATTGGGGACTTCGCCATTGTCATTGTTTGGCCTTCGCTGTGTGTGTGTATGTACGTGTGTGTGTACGTGTGTGTGTGTCCTTCAGAGCCCCAATCTGCGCTATTGACAGTTGGTCGGCGAGTAGTGCTCAACTTCCTAAACGGTATTGATCGGTGAGTTACAAGGTACTGTAGTCTGTAGCATCTAGAGATACAACATGGGCTTAGTGGAACATGAAACATTGTGGAGTTTGCTCCCAGGCTGCCCATTCCAGTCACCTTTGATCAATGGCCACTTTTACATGTTTCACATTGCATTGCTGGCTTGAGCCATGCTTGAAGTCAGCAGGTCAGGGCTGCGCTCACGGTCGTGAATTGCATGGACAACTGATCACATAGAACTTTCAAGCAGGTGTGTCAAACGCACATCATTTGGGGTACTTTAGTCTCGTATCGTATCCCTATATGCTGTGACTCCCTGAGGAGTTGTAAATTGCCATTGACTAAATATGTGATGATGAGTAGGAATCCCTATCCATGTGCTTAGTGTCACTCTCCACAGTCTCCAGTCTTAACGCTAGATTTCTTTTTCATGTCTTTAAACAAAATTGTGCTCTCGATAATCTGCAATGGACTGTTGTGCTCTGAGTTCTGTTCTGTGTTGTGCAATGTTGTGCTATTCTGTGCTATGTACATCTGTTGCATAGATGCTGTGCTCAGTGTGAATGGCCACTGAGCTGTGGAGCTACAACATGGCGTCTGCCCGTCTTCTATCGCTCTCAGGTACGAGCACTGACTTTGACGGTGGCCATGGGTTCCACTTTGGGACGATGGCGATGGATGGGTTTGGAAATGATTTCATGGTGTGGCAGGGACACATGGGACGAGAATCCTGGCAATGGACTGTGTATCTGTACTGGGTGACTGATGTTTAGCGCTGTTTCACATCTATCACATGACCATTATACAGGACAGCCATGTTGGTTCCAACTCCACTCAACCCCTGAATCTATGGGTCACATGATACCGGCCATGTTCATTTCACTGTTCACATTTCTGCACAAATTTAGTCACATGACAAAGATGTGAACCCACTCTATTGTAGCAAGTAGTAATTTGTCATCATCAACGCTTAGGGCGCGTTTGGATGGTACGAACTAAAACAGGATTCACCAGAACAGCGCGTTTGGTTGGGACTGCACCCACCTGTTCTGGGTCGGCCAGAACATGTTCTGCTTGCTCCGGCCTCGAGGCCGGAGCAGACCGAGCAGTTTCACTTTTTCACAGTGAAACCTGGCGGGAACATCGATTTTGGTCCCAAATGATCACGTGCATACGCTTTTGGGTTGGACTCGTTGTACCGTACAAAGTGACCATGGTGACCCATACACATTTTGAAGAATGCACCAAATTTCACACATTTTTCCACGAAAATGTGTTCTGTTTCTGGAGTACCGTTTGGTTGGCATGAGGCTGCTCCATGTGCACCAGCTGTTTGATCCTGTTCTAGATCGTACCAACCAAACGCACCCTTACTTGTGATGTGTGGGTGTGTTTTTGTTGTTGTTGCAGTCAGCGTTAACAGTGTCTAGCTGGGGTGAGATGTCATTCAAGTCCTGTGTCGAGGAGCTGTCAGGTCTGGAGGATGCAACGTGCACGCCACCTCTATTTCAAAAAGAGTGAGTATCATAACTGCTGTGCTAAGTACTCCAGTGTTTCATATAGACCTGGAAGGGTGGAGACTACCAACTGTTACTTGTGCCCAATTGTCATCGGGCAGCATACTGTAAAGTGCGTGATTTTACTTAATATTTTAGAATTTTAGCAATGGTCTTGACAACGGTCTCCGTTCAGCAATTTGAGCGAGAGGCACTGTTTTGCTCGCCTATTCAAATAAATTATAGGTTCTATTCCTCCTATCAATACTCACAAGGCAGTAGGAAAAGCGCGAGCTCCCACGTAGGGAGCGACACACATTTCGACTCGAGACTACAGTTACTAAAATGTGCTGTCTTAAAATAATCGGGCTGGTTGGGAATTGCTAAACTTTCCCCCGCTAACTTACCTGTTTTACAATATCTTTAGTCCATACATATAGGTGCCTTGTATAGCTAGCAAATACTACTGTAGTTTACTCTTGCAAATTATGGCATCACTTCTACTGCCAGCCCTGCTCCCCTGTACCTTGCATTCCTCTTTGCCCTGCAGGTTGTAAGCAGGTTGTCTGCAGGTTGTAAGCAGTTGCAAAATTCCTTGTGACCCATTCATAAGTCTCTCTCTCTCTCTCTCCCTCTCTCTCTCTCTCTCTCTCTCTCTCTCTCTCTCTCTCTCTCTCTCTCTCTCTTCCTCTCTCTCTCTCTCTCTCTGCATTGCATCTGGCAGGAGTCTTCAGTTCTTCGACGCTACAGATGGCAGTGGCATGGTCTTCCCGGCAGGCCACAGTGGTAGCGGTGCTGAGTCAGCACGCATTGGTAGCCATGACGACATGCACAGCCTGCCGCAGAGTGACCAATCCAACGAAGATGTGCGGCTGGACACACGGCAAGCTAACCTGGATCATGTTCCTTCGCCGAGTAACAAGGTGATTGGGTGGCTAAGCAAGGCTGGCAGCGCCGATGAAAGTCTTGTTTCTGCACACGATGTAGCCAATCAACCACCTGATACTCCGTCCAGTCAGGGAATGGCGTCACCGGCAGATGCGGCACTGACTTCAGACTCTTCATCACAACTCGACCCCGACATACTTGATGAAAGCAACCCTGAATTTCGGTCGCTGGATGCCAGTGCTGCCGCTGCCCTGACTGCTCAGCAAGACATTCCCCGCCAGCCGCAGGCTCCTGCAATCTTCCACTCGCCGTCGTCCCCGTCCCCAGCCAAACGGACACCATCGTTCTGGGACGAGCCCGAGGAGGAGTCCGTTGATCATCCGGTTGGCCTGATACCTCGTCAAGAACCTGGCGGAGACTCTGACGACGAGAGCATAACACCAGCTAATCCAACAGCTTCTACGCTTGTTACGACTACTGCCACGACTTCACCCGCTGCTGCCGCTGCTGCTAGTGCTGTGGACGGTGGCAATAACGTGTACACCGGGTTTGACATATCGCAGGCGATGTCGAGATCACCGGATACAGTCAGACGCGATAATCTCGTACTGGCCCTGGAAAAGGACCTGCCCAGTGGTGTTAATCTGCACCGTGAGCAGCCCAAGGCCACCAGCAGCCCTGTCGTTCCACGGCGACCGTTCTGTAAGGCTTATTGTCATTGTTGTACTGTACTGCATGTGCAAGATACTCTCATTCCCTCTATCCTGTTTCCTGCGGTGTACGCACTACATTGGTGCAGATGACGTGCTGACTTAGCATCGGACGTTCGTAATAATTTGACTTCAAGGGTCTCTCCGATCAGGTGTTTGTCACCAGGCGGGGAAATGACCATACCTGTATGTACTGTGTACACAAGAGAGAGATTGGAAGCTGTGTCGCAACTCTGAGTTTCACGTATCACTACAATCATCAGGCAACCGTAGACACAGCTTCCAATCTCTCTCTTGTGTACAAGGCTCTGCCCTATATGGGTATTGAGCACTCTTCGGACAGTGAAGCACATTACTTGATTACGTGTACTGTGTACAGCATAATTGTGTTGGTAGTACAAGTAGGTGTACACAACCACATCAGTCATGTTGTCATGCTGGTCCCCAGTAGATTCATGTGTAGTACACCTGTAGTCATAACTGATTCTTAGAGCAGACTGGGCATGTTTTCTGTGATCCTGCGCATTGCAGCTAATGAGAAGCAGCAGATGAAGCGACAACATGAGAAGCAAATCACGGCACTGCCGAAGAAGCAGAAACCGACACTTCTGTAAGATTGTTTTCCTTGTGTGTGTGTGTGTGTGTGTGTGTGTGTGTGTGTGTGTGTGTTTGTGTGTGTTGGTTCCATTCTATGCGAGTGTATCAAGAAGATATAAATGACCTGGGTGGGGGCCTTATAACTGCGTATCTACTTCAGAAGTATACGATTGTATGTGTACAAACACAAACAAGGCCGGTCTATGTATGTGTATTGGTGTTTACACTGCGCTTGCTGTCTACTGTCGTATCTACTGTGGTGTTTCTGCAGACCACTCGCACACACTTGCATCAGATCATACAGTGATGACCTGTGCCACTTACAGGAGTCAACACCCGGTAAGTTACTCTGCTGAAAGTTGTGTGACTGGATCAGGAGTGTGCTCCCCCTTATACACGTACTCCACTACTGTACCAGGACATGGACATTGTGTGTTGAAGTGGATTCGTATGATGGCAGGCAGGAAAGAGTGTATTCGACCTTTTGTGAAATTCCATGGTGAAACTCCTGCCTACAATTCTAGTACAGGGAGTGTGGGGCTCGCTTATCAGTATTTCTGCTACATTGCATTGAACTGCAATAGTTCTTGTCAGAGCTATAGAAACTTGACATACAGAACTTTGGTATTAAATTGTTGTTACTTGGTCATGTGTGCTTCACAACACATAGGGTATGGCTTGCTGAAGTTTCGTGACCGCTACGTCTTTGCCGTGCACCTGGTCTATGCGTTACTCCGCGGCCGTCCCGTTGTTGTCCTTGGCAAGACTGAAAGGTATGTTGTTATGGTTACCCTCTGTGTTTGTGTGTGTGTGTGCGTGTGTGTGCGCACGCGCGTGTGTGTGTGTGTGTGTGTGCGTGTGTACATTGGGGGGTCAATTCACATGGCTTCGCCAGTTGTGTGGATTAGACAGGTATCTGGCGCTTGTCTTGATCTGTTTCAATCAGAATCAGATCCGCTATCGTTGCTATAAAGAGAAGATCTGTGAGTGCTCATCCAGTGCATTTGCAGATTTGCGTGCTTCTCTTGCGACGGGATACGCGTATACTTGGTACATGGTACATGGTACATACATGGTACATGGTACATACATGGTACATGGTGTGTGTACTCACTGTTGTTGCACTGTTCAGGTTGGAAGGGTTTTTATTCTTCTGCTTTCAGCGGATGGGTGTCTCAGTTTAGGCTTGTGCCCTTCCTCTTTGCACATTCACTGAGAAACCAGGATTCATTTTGTGGTGCTGCTTCTAAATGTACTGTCTTTCTTCTGATGTCATGTGTGTGTGTGTGTGTGTGTGTGTGTGTGTGTGTGTGTGTGTGTGTGTTTGCAGGGATGTTGTGTCAATGGTCAGAACTCTCAGTGTGTTTGTACCGGGACACTCCAGGTTTGTGCCAGTCACTGCTGCCTCTGGCTTGGTTTCTTTGTTGTCGTCTTTGTTGATGGTGTTGTGAGATGTGATGATGAAGGGTGTTGTTAGATGTGATGATGAATGGTTGTGAGATGTGATGGTGAATGAGCAATGGTGGTTGACCAGAGAAGAAGCGATGCAGTTGAGTGCAAGGATAATATCTTCTTCGTCATGTTTTCCATATTGTTTGCGATTATTGCAGCGCTGCTAACAGTTTGTAACAGTTTGCAGTTCTGTGTTCATTTTATTCATCTCTCTCTCTCTCTCTCTCTCTCTCTCTCTCTCTCTCTCTCTCTCTCTCGTTTGCAGTCAGCATCAAATCATTGAGTGGTTTGCCGAGCCACTGAACATTTCGCACTTGTCCAGGTGAGTGTCTGTTCACACAACCTTCTCCTGCCATGACTTTTGCAAGTATTGCCAATGTGTGTGTCGCTAAGGAAAGGTGTCTCTCACGACCTTTCAACCACACTGATTGTTAATCTTACATTCTCTGCAATAATAGTGTCTCCCTTTACTGCCCAGCTGCACCCACAACGAAACATGTGTTGCCTGCCTTTTATGTTCAAATCGTTTTGCTTTGGTTTTCGCCGGGTGATTTTGGGTGGGACTTCTTATGCAACCTCATGCCCAGTACCGTACCTTGTGACTTTCTTTTCCCTTCTGTTGTGCAGAATCAAGTTGATTGGGATTCGCAAGGGAAGACTCTCCATGGTGCCTCAGTCTGTGAAGGTATGGGCAGTTTGTTATTGTTTATTTGTTGCTAGCTTTTTTGAAGGGATTTTCGAAAAGCATAAAATGTGTAATGGGGGAGGGGATGATATCTGTGTGCCGGTGTATGCCATTTGTTGTATGGAGATGAGCACATTCTCTCTCTCTCTCTCTCTCTCTCTCTCTCTCTCTCTCTCTCTCTCTCTCTCTCTCTCTCTCTCTCTCTCTCTCTCTCTCTCTCTCTCTCTCTCTCTCGTCCATCTACCTACCGCGTAAAGTCGTGTATAAAAGCCGCAGCTTATGGGGAAACTTTGCAGGCTTCTATGTGAGACAGGCTTCTATCCAAGACAGGTATTTCTATGTATGTCAACACTAAAACAAGGCTTACGTGCCCACAGTGCATCTCGAAAAACCAGACTTGTATTCAAAACAGGATGAGACAGACACTACGGTATATGATCTGCCTATCTTGCCTTCTCTTTCTCACATCTGCAGCCATACGTGTCTATTCTGGACTATGATACGAGTACGCTCACGACTCCGCCATACAAGGTTTGTCTCAGACTCAGTTTTTGTGTGTGTGGGGGGGGGTGTGGGTGGGTGTGGGTGGGTGGGTGTGGGTGGGTGGGTGGGTGTGGGTGTGGGTGGGTGTGCCGCCATGATGGTGCATGTAGTACTTTCTGACGATCCTGGACAAGTCGCTATTCTTTGTGTCTTCGATGTACACCGCCAGTACATCCAATACAGTCTTGCTGTGGATGTCTTGATCAAGGTGTTACTGAACGCTGCATCGACTTGTTTTTCACCGCACCTGTGTGTGTTATGTGTGTTATTTGTGTGTTGTGTCAACAGGGTAATTTTGTCAGCAATATTGTCCACAGGCAGAAGAAGTGGATGGTACGTAAATAATGCACTAAATACTCTAATTTCAGAAATATTAGGTGCTCAATATTTTCGGTATGAGGGCAAAAGGCCAGCTTAGATGAACAGAAAATTTAGGTACAGAGAAGCAGTTTCCTATTGGATTATTGCTCATGTTGCAACTGTTGTGTGTTCATGTGTTGTGTTCATGTGTGTTATGTGTGTTATGTGTATTATATATGTTTTACTGGCTAGGATGACCGGTCCTATCTTGCGCACATCCATAGGTAAGCAGTTGAAACTGGCCATGGCCTGCTTATTGTGATTGGGGGGGGGGGGGGGGGGGGGAATAGCAGGTAGGTAGGTGTGTGTGTGTGTGTGTGTGTGTGTGTGTGTCACAGTAGCCGAGGCTGGTTGGTACAGTAACTCCAATTTCACTTCAAGGTACCAGTACATCTAGTGTCTGCTTCTATCAAAGCAGCATGCTGTCTATACTGCTTACCCCGGCAAGTGTAGGGTGTGCATAGGTAACTGTCTTGGCCGTTTTATGCCGATGTACTCCGTGTGGTGTAGACCAGGTGTGCATTGGTGGTCGATTCACATGGCTTCGCCAGTTGTGTGGATTGGACAGTTATCTGGCGCAAGTCTTGATCTGTCTCATTCAGATCTTGTTCGCTATCGTTGCTATAAGAGAAAATCTGTGGGTACACATCCAGTGCATTTGCAGATTTGCGTGCTTCTCTTGCGACGGGCGTATACATGGTAGTACATGGTGTGTGTGTGTGTGTGTGTGTGCGCACCGAAGCAATTGCTGTTCGGCGAGCTGCCTGCCCCCCGTCCTCGTCATGGCCCGAAGAAGAGGTGGCGAGATGTGGTGTCGACTGACCTGGCGGACCTCGGCGTGACCACCTGGCTTGAGAGTTGCCAAGATCGTCCCGGCTGGAGACGAGTTGCGAGTAGCACTCCACCGCCACGGCCCGCTCCTGATCCTCTTCTATGTGTCTGTGGACGCCCGTTTCGTCGACCAGGAGACCTGAAACGACATGCCAAGTTCTGCGCTCGTGTCCTCACTTGAACTTTCCGACATTCGCTATCATTGCGTACGCAATGGGCAAGATCAAGGTCAAGGTGTGTGTGTGTGTGAGAGAGAGAGAGAGAGAGAGAGAGAGAGAGAGAGAGAGAGAGAGAGAGAGAGAGAGAGAGAGAGAGAGAGAGAGAGAGAGAGCTTTTGGTATGTTATCTGTGCTTGGCACTGAGTATGATTGCTATTTGCTATCTCCACGTGGTTATCTGTGTTCTCTGTATTCTGTGTGTTCAGTGTGTTTCTGCAAATGGGCTGTAAGGCCTTTCTCTACTTCCACAACTTCTGTCTCAACATTCCACTTCATCGTCGTGAACGGTATGTTCCAGTTCTCCCTGTTGACCACTGCCACAGAATGCTTTGTCCAGCTGTTGCCATTAAAACCTGACCCACGTTATCGAGGCTATTACCACCTCAATGCATACAATAGCACCAGGATTATAGGAATTGGGGCTATTCATTCATTTGTATTCGCATGTGCAATCTTGTGACTGTTTTATGTACATGGGTGTACATATCAATGAGCGTTTGTTGTTTTGGTTTGGTCGTGTGTGTTGCAGGAATAGCCGCACTGGAGTTGCTCCCTTGCCAGACTCCTCCGAGCGCTTTGCGCAGTCGAGAACGGTAATTGCACTCGTACTATTGTTACTAAGCATTGTGCCTCCACTATCACCGTTACTGCTACTGCTGCTGTTGGTACCGTCACTCTGAGCACCCTTGCTGCATGTGGGCAAGAGTACATAACCAAGAGTATGCAACTCCTACCTTGAGCTGCGATGGGTTCACCCACGGCGGAATTTTTTTTATTGCGTCATTCTTTGGCAGAAGTATGATGAAGTGGGTATGCTTTCCCGCGCTTGTTTTGTAGTTACGGTGAGAGTTCGTCAGGTTCAAGACACATCGATCTATTGTCCGTTGTTCTGCTTCGACTACCGTAGCTGTAATGTACAATTTTTTTGTACTTTGATCCCTGGCTAGTAGTGGCTACGCATGATTGCATCAGTGAGCCAAACCGCCGCCAAAGACTGATGTCATAAAAACATTCCGCCGTGGGCTGAGGGATCGTCGAGTTGCACACTCTTGGTTATGTACTCTTGATGTGAGCTGTCCAACAGGCCACACCAAAACCCTGGTTTCTAGGCCTGTCCGTCATGGAAATCATTCCTTTTTGCAAGTTTATTTTGGAAAGTTGTTGGCTGTTCTGTGCTGACACTGTGTGTGTTGTTCTGCGCAGACCAAGAGCGGCTTTCTGACTCACTTGGGTATTTCCGAGTGTGACCGGCACATCATTGAAGTAAGTCTTCTTGCCTTCACCATGCCTCAGTCTTGCCTTCACCCTGCCTCAGTCTTGCCTCCACCATGCCTCAGTCTTGCCTCCACCCTGCCTCAGTCTTGCCTTCACCCTGCCTTGCTTGATTACTGTGGAATGTACATCATGCCGTGTATGCTGCCACACTGTGTGTGCACAACGACTGTGTGCCACTGGAGGTTGCTGTCTGCTCAATACTACTGTATGTTCGCATGCGCCAGTAGAGAGGTTCCGCATACCGTAATTACGTTAGTAAAAAACGTAGTCGATCTACGGAAAGTCTTACGGAAACTGCATGCGGATCTGTGTTCTGCCATACGGAGTTTCAAATCACGTAGCTGCCCTTGGCAACTCCGAACGCGGCAGTGTGCGGCCGGATCGACCTGGGGAGAGAGTCATCAATTTGTACCCCAATCCACTTACGGAGCACCTACGTTTATCAAAGACCTAGCTACGTACTCTACGTAGACAACTTTCCGTAAGTGGAGTGCAAACTCGCGAATTCACGGGTTTTCCGTCCACTAACGTAAAGTTGCTCAACTTTACGTAGTGCGGAACCTCTATTATTCACGTAAGTTCTCGTGTCCACTGTGTTGTACGTTTGTGCCGTGCAGTACTTTGTCGACGTTGTCAAAATGCAGCAGATGGACCAGTTCCGGCACTCAAACAATATGGATGGTGACGGTAAGCTTTGCATGTCTGATGTAGTTCTGCTACTCTATGTTCATGGTAAGACGATGAGGTATGGGCTATGACTGGTTGACTGAAATTGCGTTAGGTTGTGTTTACATGAGGCGCTTCAACTTTTAACCCGCCATGAACTTGACGCGGGTTGAAATTTCAACCATCCCCTGGGGGGGGGGGGGGGGGGGGTTGAAATCGTACTACCGTACTTCTGTGCATACCTCCCGCCTGGTTTGAACAGCCCTGCCCAGCACATTTCACCCGAAATTATTCTCGTGACCATACAGGATTCCAGAAGTGGACTTTTGGCGGCATATCAGTAATTGACCCGGGTCAACGGTCTTCATGTAAGCACCCACCTATTTTTTCGTCGTACAGACTTTCAACCCGGGCTGAACTCGACCCGGGTTGAAAATTCTCATGTGAACACAGCCTTAGATTGTACATGTACTTGTACTGTCTGTCACTTTATACGCAACCTTCAACTGGTTGGTAGGGCAACTGGTTACATGAGGACTGTATGGCGACAATTTTTGTGAACACACTTGTCAGTTTTCACACCTTTTAGACCTTATTATTCTGTGTAGCCTTCCCAAGGGTGCCCTGTCTTCCATAGGCTTTGTATGTATGGTACACAGTACTGCCAAATAATTTTCGCCCAAAATCGGATACCCTTCACCGCCAAGGCTGGCCACATGGTGCAAATTTTCTCCTCGGCAATTTTTTTACAGAGAATTCAAAATATCGCCTAAAACACCGTGAAAATTCGCTTCGTTGCCATGGTAACCCCCGGAGTTGTCATGAATTTTGTAATGATGAGTGTGGTCGCACACTGACTCTGTACAGACTGTCAACGTACATGCCATCCAGCCTGATCCAGGCATGTTACTTTGCACTTCCACAGCCAAGCGCTAGCCTTTTTAGAAGCAAATGTACAGTGAGTTGTGCCTTCAGTTGCGCTGAAAAGGGAAAGTACAGGACTTCTGCATAGGAAAGTAATGTCACTAATGATCTCCGACATTTTGGCTGCTTTTCGGACGTTTCCCTTTTCGGACCGGTTTTCGGAAGAGCCTTCAAAAATCGGACACTGTCCGAAAAATCGGACGGTTTGGCAGCACTGGGTACATGTGTGTCCGCTTCATATACCGGCTGTGTGTCTATGCTTGTGTGCGTACGCATGTTTGTTGCTTTTTTGATTTGTCCGCTTGCAGACTACCCGCCCACCATTCGCCTGGACCACAGCAAGTGCAGCGTATACCAAGGACGCCGGCCAGTCGGCAGGTTCTCCTAAGGTGGTGGTAGGTTGCTGCTGCTGCTCCTGCTGTCGTCCCTAGCCTAGCGTAGCCGCTCACATCACTGGGCTCAACTAGCTGGTCATGTGACGAGCACGTTTGGCTGCATGGATAGGGGCATTCCCTTCCCAGTCTTGACGTGTACTGATGGACTTGCCGCATTCGTAGCACACGACTTGCATTATCACGAAAATTCCCCTTGACCAGTTTCTGCAGCGCATGCACTGAACTGCACTGCATCATGATTTATGACACGCACCATTCTCAAATGCACACGTTATTGGATTCTACTCTTTTTTATCTTGTCATCCAAATTCACTTGACTAGTTCTCCAAAATTCATTGTGCCATGCTATTAACGGAGATTTCCTGTGAGAATTTTGAACATTTAGAATATGCAGGCAGAGCATGCATCTTGCCTATCCCATACTGAGAAGATTCTACTGACCAGGGAACGTTACACCCTACGAAATACACAGTACATGCATGCAGATGTCCATGCATACATGCTTGCACTGAAGTCATGACATTTCCTACAGCGACCACTTCGTTTCCTTATGAGGACTTATTTGATTATTTTTATTCTCTGTTCTGGCTTTTTCTCAGCGTTGTGAGTGGCATTGTTTGCCAGTTTGTCCATACGTTGTGTTCGGCTCATCTGTTATGTAATCTACATGTATCTCTTCATCTGCTCCTTGTATAAGTAATCTCTATTTTATTGTTCATCCAACAGGCTATTTCCTATTTACTCGTCTTTTACTTCCCTTCTGCCGTGCATCCCTCTTGCACTCTCAGCTGGCAAACTTCTGTAAGTTATGCGTGAATGGCTGGTTCCATTTCATTGCTTTGTCATTACTATGTTTCGTATTATAGAGTGATTTTCAATTTGCAACTATCATGGCCGCGCTTCTTGTGTGTGTGCGTACGTGCACCAGTATTGGTTCAGAGAAGTGGATGGACGACCATGCACTAGGATTACTTCGAAGTAGAATCTTGACCCTAGTAACAGTCACCTGACTTGTAATGACAGCATATTACTACTCCGATAATACATGTATTATTACTACTCCCTGGTGTCCAATATAAGGAGCATCCAGAATTCTTCTCTCGAGTTGAACAGATACACAGCAAACTCGGTTTACACTTGTATGCCAACCTCGCCATGCTGTATGTGGATTGGCCAACTAGCGCAATGGCGGTCAATTTGTAGGCGGTAGGTTCTGAACCAGATGATATAAATCATTGCACGAATGGTACGCACAATACTTATCTATCTGCCTATTATTGGTCACAGGGAGAGAGTAATAGCAAGAGTACATAACCCCCCAGAGTGTGCAACGCCTGATCCAGCTCTGCATAGGGTCTTGGTCGAGCGGAATCGGATCTTTGCGTCATAATACCGTACACATCTGAGGGGAACCCGGGGAGTCGCGGGTACTCTTGGATCAAAAACAATGGTGCCCTGCCTTGCGCTGGTGTGAAGTGTACGCATGACATCAGAAGATCCGATTCCGCTCGACCAAGACCCTACACAGAGCTGGATCGGCGTTGCACACTCTGGGGGGTTATGTACTCTTGGTAATAGCAAGCCTTAAAAATTAGCAGCCTAACGACAGCAGTACGAGTACTCAAGCATGGCAGTTTACGACGTTAAGACAATCCTAGTGACAATTAGCTGTCCAGCGCTCTGCACAAAGCTACGATGATCTACACCCGCAGCAGCAGGCCAGATCTACTCGGCAAAAAGCTCACTGTCTCGTGCTTTCTTTTGCCCGTATAAAAAGAGAGGTTCACTGACTAAAGTCATCAAGAAAAGGCGTAAGAATGTGCTCAATCCTCAGTGTACATGTAACAACACCTAAATCGAAGATGGAGGTAGTCCAGTCTATATACCAGATGGATTTTTCTACTGAAGTATAATCATATAATCACAGTCACATCAACTTGTTCTATGACATAGAGTACATGTACATCACAGTTATACGTATGTGCCTGTGCTAGTACAGATCTAGTATCTACATAGTACTACTTCGAAGTACATATCAAGAATCTGACTCAACTGTTCTTACTACTTTTTAGATGTCCAAGTTCTAAGAAGGGTACAATACGCAGCACATACACAGCCGATTCGTCGCATTCCCGTTCCAGGTAATCACCATTAGCTTCCACCAGAGCAGCTTGTTGCGACTTGTCCTCTTCACCCGTCACCTTGCTTTGGCTTAGCGTTGCTCTACCACAGCCATGCTGCTGCTGTTGCTGCTGCTGCTGCTGCTGGGATGGCTCTACTGTAGTCTGTTTGGCTCGTTGAGCTGCTCGCCTAGCTGCTTCTCGCTTACGTCCCTCCTCTCTTCGCCGCTGCGTTTCCTCTTCCGTCTCCAGAGCACGCCGATTGGCCTCCCTTCGGCGGGCCTTCTCTCGCCTCCGCCGTGCTTTCTCAGGGGTTTCCTTGGCTCGTCTGAGGGCAGTCATCATGCGATGGTGCTCCCGCCGAATCTGCCCTACCGGTTCCAGCCTGGCCTCCGCTGCATGCCGCGTTGCGACTCGGAGGCACTTCTGTCCCTGAGTGCCGGCAGCGGCTAATCGCTCTGCCTTCAAGGCATACACCATATTACTGCACTCCCTCTCCATGTCTATGTCCATGCGGCTGACACTATCACATGTCTGGATGTCTTCACCGCTCGGTGGTGCCAGTGGATCCCATTGCTGTTGTCTCATGACTCTCGGCAAGGCGCTCGTGTACATGCACCAGTCCTGCTGGAGAGTGGAGCATTCTTCATTTCACCACCGATCACTGCGGCCGGGATCACAATCTACAACAGACAAAGTAGAGACAATCAGGGCTAGTCAGTTACATTGGCGGGAATGGGTGGTGGCCGTTCACCGCCAATTCGCGGTGGACTTAGTGGCGGACTCTTGCTGGTGATGTGCACACCTGTCGTGATTAGGGAGCACTCAACAGACTCATGTTTCATGATGGTGCCAGGAGTCGGGCACAGACAGTCCCATACCTTTTGTCACGCACAGTCACACAGCAATGTTCAGCAACTAGTCATTTCAAGACATTTTCACGCTCCAGAATGCAGCGTTGGCCAAACTACAATGAGATCTATGCTCATGGATAATGCCAGCGGGCGCCGTACAGCCTTAGCACTACCAACACCGGGCGTTTAAAAAACACTCGAACGCGGCGCTGCTTCCTTCATAGCGGTGAATTCCCTGGCCAGTAATCTAGCTGTGGCTATTTTGGTTATATTCATACAAGCCACGCACTGGGAGGCGTTCTGACACACATCTACCAAGATCCACACGCCAGACGCGTGCACACACCGTCGACGCTGCATACCGTAACTGTTCGTGTGCACGGGCATAAGGACCATGTACGACACACTGGTGCAGGGGTTTCGCTCATCCTTCCCATGCCCAGGAATCGAGGACATCTGGGAGTCGTAATTTTTACACTCCCGTGATGTGATGTTTGGCCTGAGCGAAGCACAAGAAGCAGCCTTCTGCCAAAAAATCTGAAAAAACAGTTTTTATCCTTGATGTACGCTTTGTAGCAAGTCAAAAGTCAGACGCTGTTTGGAGCAGATACGCTGAAATCGACTGTTTATTGTATGTACAGTCAGACCTCGCTTATCCGGTCCTCGTTTATCCGGATCCCTCGCCATCCGGAAGAAAATAGTTGGTTACAAATGTACAGCATATGCCATGCTTACATACAGTATGTGTGTTCGATTATCCGGTTCCCTCGCCTATCCGGATATTTTTGTGGAAAACGGATGTGTGCGGTTATGCGAGGTCTGACTGTACTCAGGTACGCAACCTCGCTCCCATTTTTGCTGTTTTTGGCGGAAAGGATGCAACTCTGTACCTCTTTCTGTGCCGCTGACTACCCCAGCAGCGCTCCATGAACCTTCCAAGTAACGTTGGAAGGCCGTTGGTTAGCGTTGCCGAGCAGTGCTCAAGCTCACTTCCTTGCCGTAGAATGTCTCAGTACTTCTTGTCAGTCTGGTGGCGTGTACACGTCTGACTGTTCAAAATCTGGTTTAGTTTGTGGACTCTAACGCATAACTTGTGCCTTACCGCTTTCCATGTTTCAATTAAATATTTGTATACTAGTGGTGCAAGTGCTTAAATATTATGTACATAGTCCATTTTCAGCCGGGATTTACATATTTTCGCGATTCGCATACTAGTAATTTTATGCAAAACATTGTACATGTACCGTGAATGTCATGTACTAACTAGTATTTGGGTTGCAGTACAAGTAGTGTAGTCACTTTTCTCAGGGCGCGAAGACCGGCTCCACTGCATACTAGCTGTTATAATAAGTTGACAATGGAATGGCAACACGAATGTTTCAGAGAACTGAGTTTCTTGACACTATGTACTAGCCGCTTACCACACAACACAATGATGTTAGTTCTAGCGGCTATGCACAAAGGCAAGAACTTACTTTGCCAATGCATCATGACACAAGACTATCTTTCACGTGCTTACCCAGAATCCATGCACACGCTAGCTGGGCCCTGCTGCTGGAGATACCAATAATAGGGTGTTCAGTCACGTGACATGTGATTTCTTATTCTTTGGATTTTGGCACCAAATTTTTTTTTATTCGAAAGCTCTAGGTTTCAGGAGGATCTTGGTGAAGTTTCAGCGAAAAACAAGCAAAAGTGGCCGCGCAGTGGCCCGTTGAAGTTTTCGCCCATTCACACTATGTACACACATATTTAGTATGCGGCCAGTGGCACACACCAGCATTTCTGCCATCCAAACCCAAAAAACAAAGTTGCTCAGATCACTTAGCTTTTTCGCAGGCATGGCACTAATAACAGAAAAGTAAATGCTGTGAAGTCAATTTTCCATTTTTGCTACCAACTTTCAAATTTCCCCCTTAGCAACCACCATAGCAACTGTACAAAAGTCAATGTGTTACCTCCCAAAAAACTAAGTTTCTCAGATCACTTAGCTTTTTCGCAGGCATGGCACTAATAACAGAAAAGTAAATGCTGTGAAGTCAATTTTCCATTTTTGCTACCAACTTTCAAATTTCCCCCTTAGCAACCACCATAGCAACTGTACAAAAGTCAATGTGTTACCTCCCAAAAAACAAAGTTGCTCAGATCACTTAGCTTTTTCGCAGGCATGGCACTAATAACAGAAAAGTAAATGCTGTGAAGTCAATTTTCCATTTTTGCAACCAACTTTCAAATTTCTCCCTTAGCAACCACCATAGCAACCATACAAAATACAATGTGTCAGTGTTGGTTACCTTGAAATGCTGCCCAATTTCGACTGTGCCGAAAGGAAAACACAAAGAAGATCACTGGAATTATGCAGCATTGCATGACAAGACAAAGAGTTCATTGCTGGAGAGACAAACAGGCATGCGCCAGGATATCAAATGCAAACAAAACCACACCCATAACAGACATTACACGCTTTAGCGGATAAGAGAATGCTCAAATTAAATTTGAGAACTTTCAGAGCACATAGAAGAGATTTATAATAGATCAAGCCGAAAAGCTCAGAGAAAGATACATCATGTCCGAATTATGGCTGAACGAGGACTCTTGCAGAGTGAATTCATCGTACAGTTCCGGTTCGCTTTTATACATCATTCATCATCAACAGCGCTCGCCACATCACTGCCAGGTTCACTGCGCTGGGGAGTCAGCTTCCTCAAGTTGGACGCCAATGTTGCAACTGGGAGAGTACGGCCAGCAGAGCTCATAAAGAACAGCTCCTTGGAAGCTTTCTGCTCCAGAACGAATTTCCGAAACTGGAGTTGTGAGCGCAATGCTGCTCTTTGACCAGTGACAGAGGAAATTGCTGCAAGCTTTTCATCGATGTTCGTCTCCTCTGTCCACAGACCATATGCCTCAATCTCCTTGGTCAACTGTTCTTTTCGTGCAATGGTGGCTTGATGCTTCTTCTCCTTTTCTGCCTGCTTTCTCTTGAGCTCTGCCAAGCGATGCTGTTGGATAGCGACCCGTCTGTCCTTGAACTGCTGACGCGCTGATGGAGCTGTTTGCCTAGCCACTTCAATCAGGTTGGACTGCTCAGCTGGTGAAAGAGACTGAAGCCATGAAGCGGTCTCGTTGTTGTTGAACAGGATCATACCTTCCAGAGCAACAGTGTCAGCATTAGGCTTCTCGCGAAGCAAACGGTCCAATTGTGCGAAGTCACGCTCACTGACAGCATTGGTCTTGCGAACCGAAGCAGTCTCAACAGCTAGGCCCGGTGCACTGTGGTACTTCCCACCCGGTAAGTGGTCCACGAGGAGACGTGCTGAGAATGAAGCTAGCGTCGAGCAGAGGTAAGCGAGGATCTCCAACGTGATAGCATCATACTTCTCCGACGGCTCCACGAGAGCTGTGAATACATCGCACAGTGTGGATACCTTTGCATCGGGAAATGGCCGTGCGCTGCCGTCAAGGAGGTCGCTTGCATCTTTCGCCCAGTCGTCAAACTTGCTACTCAATGCAGTGTAGTACTTGCCAACCTCAAGCACAGAAACATCCGGATCTTCCAGCAGACACCAGAGTGGGTTGATCACAAGCTTGGACAAGATACCAAGTGCTCGAGCACCTGCAATCAACTCTGTCTCACCCAGATCTTCTTTAACAGCACGCAAAAGTTGATTGTCTCGTACACTGACGTCAACCAAAAAATGCAGCATTTTGTTGTGGAGATAATAAATACCTGCACCATTGTGGAATACAACGTAAGATCGATTTCCCCTGTACTCATCAAGAGGCAATGGTGTGTTTGTCTCAGACAGGAAAGCATGAAAATCCGCTACGCACCCCGCTGCTTCATCACCATGCTTTTCAAAGGCTTTAGTGGTACTGTAAATAAGCCGTGCTGTGTTCCCTGTCCCCTGCCATGTCCCAGGAAGTCGCTCAGCACCAACCTTCACACCCTCACCAAAATGAGCCTTTTCCCAAACCTTTAACGCAGCTGTGCAACTATCAGCCAAGCCGACAATGTAATGCATGCCACAATAAAAACAATTTATGCGGCTCATAGACGTGCGTTCCTCCTCACTGAACCCTTCCCACCCGTCAATAATGTCTGGCAATATCTCCTTGCGATATTCTTCCACTAGCTTGTTAAAACTCTTCTGCACAATGCACCTATCGCTCATGGTGTTCTTCATGTTAGCCAGGAGTTTACTGGCAATGTTTGCATGCCCAGCCGTTGCTGCCACATCCTCAATATCGCCCAAGACTTGTTTAAATGTGTCGAACACATGCTGAGCTGTCCCGCTTTTCATTTCGACCATGCCCAAACTAAACACTTTGTCAGGAGTGGCCATTTGATAGCCCTGATAGGAAACACCCTGCTTTGATGTTCCATCACAGTGTCCAGTAGTGAACTGCTCATTTGCCAAAGAGCTTGCAACATGCAATTGTGACACCTGTCTGAGCTCAACCAACATTTGTGAAAGGGTAGCTGCACTAGGGACCTCCGAAATCTCAGCACCTGCCAGGGTCAATACAGAACGGATTACAGGACCCACATTCCAAACACCTACGTTCTTTCCTAGGAGCTCATAACAACATTGGCGTACTTCTGTGGTGTACTTTCCATCGACTTTGGAAGTGATGTGCTGCCGTGCACTGCCTACAGTTCTTTCTAGCTCCAGCTGACAAGACAGGTCCTTGACCAATTCACTGAGCTCCTTCTCCCTCTGCATGCTAACTCCAAGCTCTGCACCTAAATCACTTAGAGATGAGGTGGTGCTAGCTGACTTTGTCTTTGCATAGTTTGTCCTGCAATAAACATTATTTAGCTTGCGCTGAAGGCGCTCAACACTCTCTAAAGCACCACTCAATTCTTCTTCCACCACTTTCCTTTCCTCATCACAAACATGCACCTTTTCTTCAAGATCGTTAATTTTCTCATTTCGTCTTCGCAATTTTTTCCCAATGTTACGAACCTTGTCATGTGATGCAGACAACCGGCCCTGCATTTCACCCATTTCAATTTCAATATCTGATCCGACTGCGTCGACATTGCCCACCGTAAAAACCTCGTCTGACATTTTACTACAATTTACATCACTACCTGCGCTGCTACTCCTAGTTTTATTATCTCCACAAACAGCTGCAGTGCTCTCAGATTTTGATTCTGGGACAGAAAATTCTTCACAAATTAGGTGTGACAGAGCTTCATGACGGGAAGCCTTTAGCAACTTAGCTCTTGCTGCTTGGAGACGCCTGACTTTGGCAGTGAGGGCCTTCACGGAGCATGGTACTTCAACATCCATGATCGTTGATAGCCAAGTGTGGAGGGCTGACCAGGCTAAGCCTTCATCATTCATGAAATGGGTGAGCTCCAGAACAAGGCCATTCGTCACAGTCGACGTCTGGTCAAACTCCTCACGTTTTGACTTCAGCCTGTCCGAGCGACGACGCGATTCCTTGAATCCTACTGCTGCGGCGTTCAGCAGGAAGCACTTTGACAGACCAGCTTCACGACAGAACTCGCCAGGACATCCTGATTCGCTTCGATCACTCATCGTTGCATGGCATTGCCTGCATAAAACAAATGGTCAAAAATTTGAATTTTTGAATTTTATACAGGAATAGATGGCGCAAAAATTGAAGATTCCTTTTGAAATACTGCTCAATACGGCTGAGGTGCACGAAGACAACGATGACCTACCTTGCCAAAATCAAGGACGCGGAAGACGATGGTGCTAGTTTCCAAGTCGTGCAGTGGAGCAAACTGCCAGAAACGCGTCAGCTAAATGCTGCGACAAAACGAAAGCAACGACAACTCTGCGACAGGAAGGAGCACGGAAAAGCTGTTTGAGTCGTTGTGGAGCTGCTGCCGTACTGCAGCAGAAGACAACGACACCATCTTGCTTTGAACAGCGCGTGAGCGAGTTTTCGTGCATGACGTCAACCGACGTCAACCAGTCTTTGTTGCGTGCCATGAAGCACGTACATTTTGAGTGGGCTTGAAGTGTGGCTGAGAACCCTGCATCAGTCACGTGACTGAACACGCTACCAATAATTATTAGCTTCACAAAGTTAGTTAGTTACACATCGACAACAGCTTCTAGATCTGGCAGATAGAATCGGAGGATAGATAAGAGGATTCCTGGATGTAAATGATTCACCCACACTTTTTGCATGTCATGAACCATGTGAACCGCTTTGACGTTTGACGTGGTCTTCTCCGGCTACCTGCACGCGCACATCAATTGGCGCGGCGCGGCATCTACTTTATAGTGTGTCGAGTGCACTTGGCCTGGGCATACACCTCCCGGTCCCGGGAATCCCGGCCGGGTTGCCATCCTTCCCTGGGAGTCGTAAAAATATTGGTATAAAAACCTGATTGGAAATTTTTATTTCCATTGCTATCAGGTTCGGCCTCATTTCCTCTGTGCTGCGCTGACGAGTCCACAAAGGACGAAACAGTTCTGTCCGCAGATTGGGTATAAAAATACCAATATTTTGTTTACGACTCCCACGCCATCGGGGGGGGGGGGGGGGGATCCGGGATCGGGCCCAGGCCCAGTCGAGTCGATGCAGTCGAGCTGCACTTTGCCATGGCAATAAGATGGCGTTGCGCTTGCTTGGCACAGTCGAAGACGGCGGATTCAAGTACATGATCAGTGCGCTACTACACGTAGTATGCTAGCACCAGCGCGCGGGCCGAGTGCTGATTTGCCATTTGGCTTGCGGGTTTTGGCAAAAGGCAAAACTCGTGATGTTCGAATTTTTTTGTTGAACTATCCTCCACCTTGTCTCAGCTCTGATGAGCATCCATCAGCAATTTGCAAAGGGTGTCTTGAACCTATCCTTGCATTTTCTTAGTAGTTTTTAGCTCTCATATAAGTTATAATAATGTACGAGGGCTCGAGGAAGCGTCGCCGTTCGCCTCCACCACTAGGTGAGCAGTTCTCAACCTTCGTTTTTTCTTCGATTTTATGTATTTCTGTTCTAAAATGCATTTCACTTGCGAACAAACTTCCCTACATGGCTTGTAGTTGCTTTGTAACGGCGAGGTGTTTGTCCGAAAGTAAGAAAGTCCTCATGTTTTGGTCACTCGCAGTGCACTTACGCTCAGCGGGTATATATTGTATGGTAACGGTAGAAAAGGGTGTTGTTGCATGGCATTGTGATTTTCGGACATTTGTTTGCAGAAATATTTTCTGACGAAAATCAGACAAGACACTCAATTCATCAGCACTTCATATTTGCTGATCCGCGCAATATGTCTACAATTCTAGACCAGTGCAGCAGCCTGCTCTCTTGCAAGTTCTTCGATTACTATCCGATTCGCAGTGCCTTTGTTCTCCAGCCTGCCCTAATACCAGTATTGGAATTCATGAAAAGGAAATAGAACCCCTGCATTCGTTACTGTACCAGCAGAACCAGAATATTTGAAATTTCTTTTAATTTGTGTTCCAATGCAATGGAAACCAACTGCAGGGAGACGGAAAGGTTGAAAAAAATCGCAGGATATTTTCAAACATCGATGTATTTGGTATTTGGGGGAGGGAGCGACACTTCTGTTGACTATCCTGGATTGTTGAGTGCGATGCACAATATCACTTCTGCAATGCGATGGGCATCGAGCGAAAGTCTTTTCATCTCGCGTGAAGAATCTTCGATGCACTATGTGCGGCACATCGCAGCGAAATCCTGCAGTGCATGCACAGTCCAAAACCGTACTCAAGCCGGAGAATTTGTGTCACGTACGCCTGCCGTATAAAAAGTGATGCGTATCGTTTGTCGCAGAAATTGAACTGGGCTCAACTTCCCGCGATGCAACATGCGACAGAGCTGCGACAATCTGCGATGCAAACTTTTGCAGAAAAAAACTGGCGAACTCGTCGCAGAAGCGATATTGTGCATCGTGCTTAAGCTCATGGGCATCTCCCGGGGGGTTAGGATGCTGTCGCAACAGTTGTGCAGCTGGAGAGAACCCGTCTCAACTAAGAATATTCGAATGATTTGCACATTGCTTCAGTTCCAGTAACATAGACACTATTGTCCTGGGGATAGTGTATATCGTGCGATTTTTGGTGGTTTCCCCCAATAAATTACATTTCTGAAGCAGGCTTACATGTACACTGCGCCAAGTGCAACAAATTCTTAGAATAAACGGGGAGGAGGGAACAACTTTAGTGACCGAATGTCAATTCAGCTTGTCCTCCTCACAGTACTAAAAATGCTTTTCTCTCTTTCTCTCTCTTTCTCTCTCTCTCTCTCTCTCTCTCTCTCTCTCTCTCTCTCGCTCTCTCTCTCTCTCTCTCGCTCTCTCTCTCTCTCTCTCTCTCTCTCTCTCTCTCTCTCTCGCTCTCGCTCTCGCTCTCTCTCTCTCTCTGATTGCGGACTACTTGTACAGGAGGTTACGGTGATGAGTACAAAGTACTCGCCTTCAAGCATGTCACTCTCGATGTTCCCGTTCCGCCAGAGAAGGCTAAGCCCGAGGAACAGGTAGAGGAGAAAGCAGAAAATGCCGAAGAGGCCATGAAATCCGAAGCAGTAGAGGAAAGCACCACGGCTGAAGCAACAGAGGATGAACCTGCTGCTACTGCTACTGAGGAAAAGATGGATGCAGATGAAGCACCAAGTCAGGATGCCAAAACAGAGGAGCCTGTTACAAATGGCGATTCAGAGGCGAATGCAGAAGAATCGGCTGGCGCTGATGCCACGGCTAGCAATGATGCCCCCTCAACCGACGCCACCGAGGAAGGCAAAGAAGACACCAAGTCAGACGCTAAGCCAGAGTCTAAGTCAGAATCGAAGCCCAGATCACAATCACCAGAAAAAAAGCGACCTGTTAAGCCGTCCACAGCCGATTTCTTTTTCAATCGTCAGCACATGCCATCAGTAGTGTGTCGATTAAGTCACGAGGGCAGGGACCAGGTCAAAATCTTGGCTGTCCCAAGTGCTGCAAGCGGTGTGTTTATCCGCTGCCTCTTAGATGAATCCCAGAAACTAATGCAGCGTGCTTCCGAGTTGCAGAAGGAACTACGGTTAGGTAAGATTGTTGACTCAGCTGTGTTGCTGTGTTTCCCATGCCAATGCTTCTTGTGCTCACAGATCCTTGCAGATCCTTGGGGGCATTTCAATAGAAATTGTGAATAGTGTAGATGCAAAACGCGTTATCCATTTCATCGCTTCTCGGATGGTGGCCAAAGCGGGATTCATATTATGTGTGGTTTGTAGCTAAATCCATATTTGATCAACAATCGACCTTACGCCATTTGTACAGATCCACGAAATCCCGTAGAATCCCGTAGACCCGGTAGGGTGTTCATTGTGTGCTATGCATGCGCATTTGACCTTTTTAGCGTCATAATTCAATGACCAGCAATCGCTTTTCTAGCTTCTTCACTTTGGTTAGAGCTAATGACTAGCTAGATCTTTGTCAGAAAAAGGTTTTCGTATGAAATGCCTTCAGGCCCCATTTCTTAGTGGAAATAGCAGAAAACACAATAGGGTCCTGCACATTCAACACCCTACCGGGTCTACGGGATTTCGTGGATCTGTACAAATGGCCTAAGGGCCATTTCTGAAGTGGTTCTGGTAAGATTCTGTATGTAAAAAGTTGCCTGAAGGTGCCCCTAGACCTTTTGATTGCACTAATTTCAAAATTCAATTTCTCAACAAATTTGGTGCTTGCTGCGTTTTGCATCGCAATATGAGTAATCAGATTTCAACACAGTCACCGATATACTAAACCTCTCTCTCTCTCTCTCTCTCTCTCTCTCTCTCTCTCTCTCTCTCTCTCTCTCTCTCTCTCTCTCTCTCTCTCTCTCTCTGATCTCTGTGCTGCAAACAAACGTTCAATTTACCCCAGTCCGTTTTTCGTCCTTCCATCCACACCGTGCACCATTATCCGTGGATCTTGCCGTCAATGAGAAGAGGATTACATTTAAAGAATGACCCTCGCCAATGATGGTAATATCTGTGTGTTTCCCCTTCCTGTTCTCTCATGTTTGTGTATCTATGCAGATGACAAATTTGACTGTGATAGCTTTCATCTGGAGTTTGTCACCGGTCGCAGGCAGGCATCGCGCCCATCTCATCACCATGTCACACTACCCGTACACGCCTACTACTTGCTGCGCCTTTACTACTTCAAGGAGGTGCGGTCGCAGAGCTCGTTGAGCAGCGATGTCAGAGCTCATGTGCCCGCAGAGAACTGGGCGCGGTATTACGAGGGCCGCCGACGCTTCTTGGACGATCAGTCAACTCGCGCCCGCCATTACAACCGTGAAGATGACGACCTTGTTGCACGCTACGTCCGTAACTATGTAAGTAAGACGTCTAGGCTGGTGTGTCTAAGGTCAACAGGCTTCGTGTACTGCTCTATGTCCAGTGGACAGCGCCAGTGTATACAATAACGTTAGTCACACAACAATGACACAACCTAGTCCTTTTCTGCCGTTACTCAGAGTTTCGCGTTAAAGGAACACTAATCAGACAGCAGTTGCCTGTGTCATTGCTGTGTGAGAATTTTACTTGAGTAAAACATCTACGTAGGCGGCAGGTGCAGTGTAATCCTGTCCGCGTCAATGTACATTGTTCTGTTTCTTGTTTTAGTATGCTGAATAATGTGTGTCGTGTCGCCAAGTTGTACTTGTTAGTGTGTTGACTTGGCCACGTCGGATAACCGCAAATGGTCTCCTTTTAATCGTTTTTGTGTGTGCCTTTTTTGTTGTGCTTATCTGTGTGCGGATTTTGTTTGTTTACCATGCTAGGAGCGGGCAAAGGACAGTCAGAAGCGGAGACGAGAGGAAAAGGTGGCAGCTGAGGCCAAGGCGAAAAGAGAAGCTGAAGAGGCTGAGGCCAAAGCGAAAAAGGAGGCAGCTGAGGCCGAGGCCAAGGCTGAAGCCGACGCGAAAGCAGCAGAAGAAGCTGAAAAGGCTGCTGAATCTGGAGCCACAGAAGAAGAGACTGCTGAGAAAACAGCAGACGGTGCAGAGTCAGAAACTGCTGCAGAGGACAAGTCGCAAGATGGAGAGACAGAGAAAGCGACTGAAACCAGCGAAGAGCCAGCTGCCGACGCAGAGGAAACCAGCACTTGTAGTGACAAGCCCGCCGCCGCTGAATCATCCTCCGAGGCAACTGAAGAGACAGAAGCTGCTGCAATGGACACATCTACAACTGCAGCAGCAGAGCCAGAGGAGAGCGTAGAGGAGGAGCTTGAAGCACTGGAGATCCTTTATGTAGAGGGCGAGAACTTCAAAGTCGCGAAAACTAACTATCCACTGGGGGAAATTGTCACATCTGTTGTGAATGGTTTGCATTTGGATGTCGCCTTTGACCCGGAAGGACAAGGAATCCCAAGCTGTGTAAGTAGATACTGCAACTTTTGGGACCTTTCTGTGGTTGTATTGCACATGTAAGTAAGTGCCCCTTGAGGAAACATAGCTCTATGAATTGTGGTCCTGCTTGTTCCAATGCTCTTGTTACCAGTATCAGTTGTTGTTTTTTACTTTCATTCACCATACTTCTTTCCCTGGCATGATGTTGTATAATGTCCACAGATCATTAGCGGCTTTGCGTTTTACAGGCAGGTTTGGGCAATGCCAGCACCGACCGAAAGAACAATGTCAAATTGTAAATTATATGGAGAGTGTTTTTTTTATTGAGCTGGCACATTACTAGGGTGTACACATAACATCTTGGCTTGTCAGCGGCTAGGGAGTCGTTTGCCAGCTGGGCTTGGGGCTCGTGGGGCGGCTCACCACTGGCAGAGTCTGGCTGTCTCTCTGTGCCATTTACAATCCGTACCGATCACTATGAACGTTAGAGTTGATGGGTGCTACTCGAATGTACACAGCCGTTGGTACTGCTTTGAACGCTGCCATGGCATGATGTTCTGATTATGTACCTCACCAGTCTGGTGCTTGACTGTGTGTCCTTTGCTACATTGCATTCTGGCTGCAGACGATAACTGTGCGTGACTTCCCGGCCATGCGCGACGCCACCGCAGAACAGATTGCGGAGATGCTGGTTGCCCTGGAGAAATGGTGCGACCAACTGAACTTCAACTCCGTGTGCACTCTGCTCATGTACCCGACCAACAACCAGGTACGTATCATTGTGGACATTGCCAGCTTCCTGCACCGCATTGACACCATCTGGATCCCGAAGTGGGCCAAGGCATGGCGCGAATGCAAGGACTCGCGCCTTTCGACGAGTTTGCGTGCAATCGGTGACAGCTCCGACATGCTGGACACCTCCGAGCCAGCTGCTATCCGCCTCGCAGAGTGGAGCGAATATTGATGTCTACATAGTGGTGGTGGTGGAGCTGCTGACGCTATCAATCCAGCCTAGCCGTGAGTTGCAGCATTATTATACTGCAATTTGTATTTGTTTTTGTGATTGCTACGCGCAACGCAACATGACCCTGGTGCTCGCTTAGCTCTTCTTCTCTCTCCTGTTCAATTATCTTTTTCCTGTGCTCGTACATTCTGGACGTTGCAACTGTGCAGCTATGTGTCTCGGCACTGGTGATCGCAGTCGTCTCGTGTATGTGCGCGCGTGTTTCTCTAGGTTTCAACATGCGAGTCTATTCATGTCCGTCGTGTGTGCATGTGCACTTGCATGTGTGCGTATGTAACCGTATGTGTATGTACATGTGCTACGCATGCCTGCAGTCTGTGTATCTTGATATGCTGCTTTTGCCGTGACGGTAATTATTTGATTTCACTATGCTGCCCTGGCTTGTTTGTGCATGCCGTGTTCTGTCAGTGTTTGTCAGTGTTCTCTGTCTGGGTGGCATGTGGCCGGGCCTGTGTACTGGATTACATGTGCTCTTAGTGGCTGCATTGCAAGCCTTGGTGTATGAATGGTCATGTCCGGCCGTTTTTCTGTCGTGACTGTTGTCTCACTCTGCATAGTCTGCATTCCTTGTTCTGTTTCCAGCTAGTGGTGCTTGTGCAGATGCAGTACATCTGTTTTTGTTCTTTTGGTGTGTACACCGTATGTGGCCACTGTGTGCGACGATGCATGCAAGCGCATAGCAGTTGCGTGCTGCCAAGGGCCATTCCTCTGCTTGGCGATCACCCATGGTCAGCCTTGGGGCCCCAGCCTGTGCCCGCCAGCGCTCCAGTAACTGTTATGTGTGTGTGCTGCAGTCACACAGCATATCGTGTGCTGAATATGAACTGTATATTCTTGGTCTTGTCCGTATGTCAATCACAAGCACTACTCCCTTGCGTCTTGCCTTTGTGCATTTGTCTGTCCAGCTCAGAGCTGGCAGACTATCTCACATCTTGATACCATGATCGTGTATTGAATTAACATTCATGATTTGTCGTCCAGCTTGCTGGTATGCCTGCTTCTTGCTTGTGCATGTCTGTGCATGTGTGTTTGCGGTTGTGGCTGTTTCGACCGACCCCCCCTATCGGTCTCTCTCTCTCTCTTGCTGGGATCAGGCCAGCCGGGAGGCAAAAGTGCAAACAGTCTGTTGCTGGAATGATCCGCAGCCCTACTATGCTTGCAGTGTCTGAGTGCATGGCCAAAACCAAGAGTACATAACCCCCAAGAGTGTGCCACTCGACTATGGGTGGTGTCCCGACAGAATTTCAAGTTGACGTCATTTTTATGATGCAATGCGCACTGTACACGGATTGTCAGACGAATCCGGAACCTGTGGTAGACCAAAGCCCATCTGATCCTGTACAAATCATTGCAAAGAAAAACGTTACGTGTGATGCGTTGACACCCGTACACCTGTTGTAAGGTCATGTTCGATTGGTAGGGATCGGGATCCAGATCTCAGATCCGTCAGATTCTTCAGAGTCAACTGGACACTTTTTTGGGCCTTGACTGTTGCCATGTTGACGAAGTAATAAAAAGTCGTGCTCACCGCGCCAGTTGTACGAAAAGTCAACAAGCTCGATTTTTACCCGCCATATACGCACAAAGGTCACATTTGGATCCGGATTCGACCAATCGAATTCCGCGAAAGGGTGGGAATCCGGTGGATCGGGATCCCGATCCTACCAATCGAACATGCCCTAAAATACTAAATCACTGGTGCAAGGAGCATTGCATCATAAATAAGGACGTCAACTTGAAATTCTGTCGGGACAGCAGGGTACATGTACGTGGGAGTTGCACACTCTTGGGGGGTTATGTACTCTTGCTAAAACTGTATAGGGGTTCTGCGTGGGCGTCTGGGCTAGGGACTATAGGATGCACTCGAACCAGGATTTGAGTACGCCCCCCCCCCCCCCCCCCCAAAAAAAACACTACAATGTCATCTCTTTGTCTGTCAAATCCTATAGGATTTTTCCCAATTTTTGGGAAAGAGTAGATCATACCTTACAAAGTAAAGTTCTTTCTTCAAAAACCTGTTGGAGTCTGCATTCCGTGTTTATCAGAGATGATGCCTAGCGCCTGCCAAGTTTCACCAGCACAAGGGCTTTACTTTTTCTGTAACAGGCCTTCCTGTGCAAGAGTGTCCAGAATTTTCAAAATCCTATTATAGGATTTGGCCTCTTCAAAAATTGGTTTTGTTCTTCCCAGTTTCCCCTGCCAATAAAAACAATAGTTGGCAATATTCAAGCCTAGATATAGCCCATGTGGAGCTAACAATAACATTCTATGCATCTATGGCTAAAGAAGAAGCACCTCCTAGGCTAGTACCAAAAGAGTATTCCACAATTAATATGTGTACATACTTGAACACAACTGATTTAGTAAATGCCCCAAACATGTAGTGTCTTTAGTTCATATTGATCTGCGAGCACTTTACAACACTACTTCAATGCTAGGATGGTGCTAATATTCATCTATTCCACTCCTTGTCTATTTCTACCACTTGTAATTGCAATTCATCAGCAATAATTGCACACAGATACCTTTCCTGGAGGTCTTAGCCAGTGAGTGACCTCTATTCATTCATTTTAAATTAGGAGAGGCATTGTGGGAAAGATCAAAATGCATCTTCAATAACATTGCTTCACACATCGACCATTTTTGAGGCGGCAAATGCGTCTTGAAGTCACGGCTAATCCTATATATGGGATTAACTGGCGACAGACAAAGAGATAGGTGAATCCTGTTCTAGGTTGTACCAACCAAATGCACCCCAATACCAGACACCAATGCAGAATGATCTGCACTCTCTCCATCATCAGATAATCTTGGTGCACCGGCACCAGGGAGTTGTATAGACCTGTACGACTTCCTGGCCGACACAACACTGACAGCACACCACAATCTGTGTATCGGATCCAGTGCTTCATTTGTTCACTACATTCAGCCTGTACGGTACACGTCATCACGCACGGTTCCTGATTACCCTGACTGACTGCCCCTGGCCTGTGCTCACTGCTGTCCATGCAGTGGGGACTAACAAACAGTGCAGACAGAGCGGAGGATAACAACGACTACTGCCATCAAAGTAGGAAAGCCGACCATGCACTGAATAACTTTCATACGAGGCAAGGCTAACTGACACTAAACTGCACCGCAGGAGGAGAGCTACTGGGTCATTCCACACGATGACAGAACAGACCGCGCACAGCCTTAGCGCTATGACCACTACTTGATGTCAAAAGAAGGCGCTGTTAGTCACGGTTACAAAGGAAGGTGAGACCGTGACCGTGAATGTAACTTTGTAACACCAAACTACTAGTAGTATACTGAGCTAACACGGTCACAGAACGGAACTCAACGTTGGTACCATGAATAACACGAGTTAGAGCCGCGCCATTTAAGAGCCGCGCCATTTAAGAGCCGCGCCATTTAAGAGCCGCGCCATTTAAGAGGATGCCCCCCCCCCCCCCCCCCCAGACACACATACATAATACACAATACAAATACTACACAGCAATGAAGCAAACAAATCTCTTTCCGCTGTTACTCGCAGTTTCGTGTGAACACACGCATCAGACAGCAATACACAATACATGCTACAAACATCCCGGTATTACCGGCATCACAGCAACCACGCGATCGGTGTGCTTTGTACTGCACTCTTACACAATGCTGTTTCATTCATGTCGATGAGGAGAAATTCCCCTGCTCACAACCGTAGTACAATGCAATACATATTATTGATTGCAGCTGATAGCCCGACACCATTCAAATCCGTGACCAACAGTCTGACATCATTCAAATTCGCGATCAGCTTGTTCCTGGCAGCTTGAAGCCTGGGCAGGTATCAGTACAGCGTCAGTTACATTGCAAGTTGTTCTCATGTGTGTGTATGTAGTCCACTGTGTAAGGGGCCACTGTGTAAGGGGCCAGTGTTCTGTGTGTGTATGTAGTCCACTGTGTAAGGGGCCAGTGTGTAAGGGGCCACTGTGTAAGGGGCCACTGTGTAAGGGGCCAGTGTTCTGGCCCCTTACACAGTGATAGTATCAAAGGCACGCGTAGCACATTTCCGTCAAGCAGTAGCAGGAAATCACGACAAAACCTACAGATGCCATCAGAAATCTTACACCATGGTACACAGACGGGAGTCGGGCGCTAGTACAAGCGTGTATAGTGTACACCTTTTCATGAGAAGAAGTTTAGCGCATAATATGCATTGCTTTCTCCGTCGTGAACATGCGCATGTGCACATAACACCCATTCGCCACACAACGCCGGACAAACGTCATCCGAGCCTCAACACAATGACTAAAATAGGCCCTGTTCAGCTTGGCCGAAAGCAACAACTATGCACGACACTAACATGCCTGAACTAACACAAAGCAAGGAACATTCATTCACCTGTCAGCCGGTGATGTCGTGCACAAGAAGAACGTCCAAAAGCAACCACATGCCATACACTGGCTGTGATGCACTGCCATGCACTGGTATACGTCCCAGTTCAGCTGGTGACCAGCACACGTGCCAATAACCTGCTTGACATGTGCTCAGACGACGCCACTGAGCTGCTCGACATGCGATCAAACGGTGCAGTACCGATCATACCCAAATAGTGGCAAATACACTGCTGACTAGCTTTTGACATCTTGACATTGTCGTCGCCCTGGGCCTGGCAGTGACGGGCTAGTGATGGCACATTGTCTGTGCACAGCCATGACATCATTGATATCAGTTCATGCAGCCGCGTGAAGGCAGCAGGAGCGGCCATGGCAGTAGCTCCGTGCTCACTGTACCGCACCGGCTGTCTGTGAACCGTACCAGTTAGCAAGCAACATCAAGCTATTTCTGCCCAGCATCCGCAAAGTCTCACCGTGCCACAGCGGGGATATCGTGTTGTGAGTTGCCGGATTACACACTGCACGCAATACAATTGCATGTGCTTTTAGTCTCTCCCCTGGGCTGCACATCAACTTGCTTATCTGATTGATATTGGAAGAGTCGGGGCACTATGAGTTGTTGCTTTCACTCCAGGGATATTCCAAATGTAGTGTAGGTGATGAGATTTTCCCTTCTCCACACGGCAGTAAGGTACTGTAGCTGAATGGCAGATATAGCTCAGTGTCCATGGTACTACTGAGTCGGTGAAGTGTTGTTAGCGTGAAAAAGCTCTGTTGCCGTGTTGGACAGTTACACGGGACTACTCTAGGCTATGCACACGCCTGTGTGAGTGTGAATGTGAGTGAACCAACGACCGTTGAATGAGCCATCTGCACAGGACAACAGGAAATTCAGCTGCCTGCCGTTGCTTGTTGGCACCAGCTCAGTTTGGTGACTGACTGTGCACCAAGCACAAGCTGCTCGCGCTCTACGGGCTCGCAAACTGACGGCCATCAGAATGAACGCACGAGTGCGTGCTGTCCGACTCACCGGAATGTAGATCGGAAGGGACACCCGTAAGTCCGCTAGTCATAGAGCAGACTATTCACCTACCCAGCCAGCATCACTCCAAACACCAAGCTGCAGTATTCCGCCTGCTACCAGTAGATCATGGCGTCTACCAGGCGGCTAAGCTGGGGCCAAGACCAGGAGAGGTTTTACAAGCTGCTGCAAGAGGCCGAGATGCAGCAGTTCTGTGAACCGCTCAGACAGATCGGCGTTGAAAGAATAGACCACCTCACCGACATGGAGGACAGGGATTTCCAAGCAGTGGGTATCAGTGATCTGGAGCGCCACAGGCTAATGCGATTGAAGGATAAAGGCGGCAAAGGGACGTCGATATGGAAGAGAGTTATACCAGCGGTAAGTGCCATTATTTTGGTTTTTTACTCTACTTTATCTTTTGCCCAATAAATGCGCGTAGCTAGCTAGCTACATCATGCATGCACACGTGCACACATGCACAAAAAGTCAAAATGAGACAGACGTACACGCAGTCACGCACACAGAGTGACGCATCGCATATCGTGACTTTGATCGTTATTACGTTGACTGATTACCATGATTAGTACAATGTAGATTACATAGTCACTGTACAGTGTAGATAGCTACAAGATCAGACAATAATGACTTCCCTCAACCCGGATAGGACAGTGCATGCAGCAGGGTGCTGTCAGCAGCAGAGCAAAATTAATAATCTCCTCCCTTGTTTGCTACTATAGTAATAAAAATATAAGTAAAGACAAGTGGTTGTGGAGGATACAACAATGAACGATCGTAAGTGCTGAGCACTTACGCGAGCCGATACCAGTGGATTTCCCGTAGCATTACACTACAATGGTACTGCCACTACAGTCTACAGACTATCTGCACAGACCAGGTGGTAGCTAGCTTCCACAATGACCACGTGTCACACTTTCAAGTAACAGTACTCATGCTACCAGTGCAATGTGTAGTTAGTTTGGAGAGGAGCTTCACTTATCAATTACTAAAACTAAAACTAAAAGACTACTACTACAAGACTACTACAAAAGACTAGTAGTAGTAGTAAGACCCAGTGCCATCCAGAGGGTCGATGAAAAACTGACACAGCTGTACTAGTAGTAGTAGAAGTGCAGAGGCAGAGGTGCTGCACTGGGAACGATTCCGGGCCAGATCGCATTCACACACAGAACACAATGTCATAACACTATTATTAACAGTGAGAAGGCTGGCTTTTGTCTGTTTCGACGTTCTGTAGCTGTTGGCCTGCGCCGGCCGGTGAGATGGTGCGTCGCAGGTGCAAGCATAAGTACCATCAGGCATCACTGTGATGATCAGGATAGCTCAAGGACTAGTACATGTACATGGATTTGTTCCCTTTACTTCGCCTTGCGGCGTGCTTAGTAGTGTAGTAGTACTACTACTAGTAGTTAGCATGGTTAGTCAGGACTCAGGAGCAAGTGAAGAATCATCATGACAGTCATTATTCATTAGCCTGTCAGGTAGTGCAGTCATGTAGTCACTGATTCTCCCCCTAGCCCTAGGCCCTCCTCCTCCTCCGACTCTCCTGTTTCGCATCCGAACCCCTTGCCGGCAAACGTCCTATCCTGCTGCTTTCTGCGCGGTAAGAAAGAAAGGTAAACCTTATATTTTATAAACGGATCGCGGAGGACAGGTAGGTCTACACTAGTGAGTCACTAGTGGTACCGGAACTAAGTAAGTAGTTACTTTGACTATGATGAAGACATCATGTGAGATGACAGGATCTAGGAGCGGTGCTAGCTGACCCGTACCGTGACCGTGCGTGACCTGGTGACCCAGACGAGGAGTCGAGTATCGAGTAAAGGCGGTGGAGTTCCGGAAACGCGCCGACTGCGTGGTCGTGGGTGAAGGCCGCGCAGCAGTGTTCAAGAAACCAACACCGGCGATATCGCTCTCACTGGTCGGACCCGTCACAGGTTGAACCGAAATGAAGCCAGCGCACCCGATCCGACGGAGCCTGCGCCGTTTCCTGAGCGAAATCGACGAGGAGCAAGATGGAAGAGCAACCATATCCTCCGGCACTCCATCACAGAGGGGTCATGGTGGCAGATTATTTAGGCGCTCGCGCAGTACGGACGATACGACCTCCAACACCAGGTGTCCAGAGCGCGTGTCTGACCAGGATGATCTACCTCCAGTACCAGCAATTCCCCGGCCAAGGACATCCAAGAAGGTAGTGAAGTAGTGCGCCAGTGCATGCTGCTTCGTGCAACAGTTTATGATGTAATTGCTATGATCGCTATGATCGCTGTGCAGGTCTGCAGGACAGGCGGAAGCAGTTTTTGATTGGTCCCGCCATAAACTAGCCTTTCATACTCTGTGTAGTGGGTACACATAACCTCCTCAGCAGGAAACACACCGTGATGGCCAACAAGTTGGTCCGGCGATCACCTGACCAACCGGACCCGTTGGCGGCCTTGTAACCTATCATACTTTTGTCTACGACATGGAGGGTATACACACAGTGACCTCCTCAGCAGTGGTAGCGGCCGAAAAGTAAGGTCCGGCCATGGCCTGAGCAACCGAACCGGTTCCGCCGGGCCTGCTATGCTGTTAACGTAACATCAGGGTATGTCAGTACAAAGCCGCAAGGGCATACTTTTACAGTAAAGTTGAACTCGCCAATTAAATTATGGTGAAAAAGGAGAAGGACAAAATGTTACGAGTTATGACTAACTGTCCACAGTAAAAGTGTTTGCTTTTGCAAATCAACGTGCTGTTGACAGCTAGTGTTGTCTGCCACTCTCTCCTTCACAGCTCCTGTAAAACATACTTACTCCAGTCGCGGCCAAAGAAGTCCGACCCACGAGTCAAAACTAGCGTCATGTTTCCATTTCCATTACGTAATGCGCCGTCCAAAAAAATTCGTCCAGCGTGAGCCTTGGCGCTGCTTTCGGCACGTGGGTCGGATTTCTTTGGCCACGACTGTAGTATAGTCTTTTGTTAGGTGCCCCCTCCCTCCCAGACCAGCCCCTCACCCCCCCCCCTCCCCAGACCAGCCCCTCACCCCCGGACCAGCCCCCTGCTGCTACTACATGCAGAGCTACTTCATTCTCAGTGTTCCAAGGAATTGCCTATTATTAAAAATGTGCCTGGTTGAAAGGCCTTGGTGTTTCAGGTTCACTGTGACTCCCCGGGTAAAATACAACTTCATGACATGTGTGCCTGTGTCGGTGGTCCATTGCCTTGTCTCCCTACTTTGGTGTGCAGTCGGTGAAGAGATGGCACAAGTCAACGATGAGCAAGGATTCCAGCATTTCACAGGCAGACGCTCGCTCACACTGGCTTATAGCCAACCACATGGTTACAATTGGTAATATTCTCAGTGGGTCATTTGGAGACATTGGCTGTGTGCTGGATGGACAGCTTAGCAATGAGTATGGATCATCAGTAAGTGATGAGTTATTGCTATAGAGAAATGATGTCACTATTCTAGATGAATGACATCATGTTAATTAAGAGAATTGATATCACTGATTTAGAGGAACGACGGCACTGTTTAAAGGAAAGCATCCTTGCTGTGTAGGATTGAAATTGCATAATTGTGTTTGTCTTTTTCTACATCTAAATGATCTTCTCACGTAACATTCCCCCCACCAGCCGTTGCCGCTGAGACCTTCTATTCCGTATTGGCACTGATGTTATCTTTGGCCATTGCAATGTTAAAATAAGCAAGTCGTGCGTGTATGTGTGTGTGTGTGTGTGTGTGTGTGTGTGTGTGTGTGTGTGTGTGTGTGCGTGCGTGCGTGCATGCGTGTGTGTGTGTGTGTGTGTGTATGTGTGTGTGTGCATGCATGTGTATGTATGTTTGTTTGTATATATGCCTGTGTGTGTGTCTATATGTATGTGTATGTGTATGTGTGTGTGTGTGGTGCACTATGCTGTGGCACTACTGTAGGTACCTGTCGCCCTGCTGACCATTACACAGAGCTGTTGTCAGCAGCGTGCCTTCTTCCAGCAGGCCAGCCTGCTGACGAACGTCAACAAACTCAACGTTGTGCGGTTCTTCGGCGTCACGTCGTTTGGTCACGTGTCTTATGTGGTAAGGTATCCGTGTCATTGATCCACAACTGTAGCCTATTCGTGAGTGTTGACCTGATGATTCTCCTTGTCTGCTGCCTGGCCCACTGAGCGGGCCAGGCTACACCATCCGCTGCATGAGAATCCTTTATGGCAATCAGGCAGAGAGTGTATGCCGGAGGGAACAACAAACCACCCTTGTCCACTAGAAGCTTGTAGATGCGTGTTAACCTGTAGCCGAGTCATTTTTAGTGCACACTGCTTGGTTTCTAGACTACAAGAATGCTGTACATCCATAAAGACATAGATGTGAAGGCTAAGCTGAATCTGCGGACAGCATGCTGTTTCGTTCTTTGTGAACTCATCAGCGCAGCACAGAGGAAAAGGCTAAGCTGTGTGTCTATTGCAATTGCATCATGCTTGTTCCTCACCTGGCATCCTTCTCTCTCACAATCTTTCTTTCGTCCTTTCCCCACATTATCCACGACAGTTGATGGAGCTCTGTGCTCGCGGCACTCTATCAAGTGAGCTGCAGCGCCGAGGGCCGACATTCCCACTGACGACGCTCTTCGAGATGGCCATGCAGATATCGCGCGGATTGAAATATCTGGAGGAGAAAAACATTGTACACAGCAACCTGCGAGCTAGCTCCATCTACATTGCCGCCAACGGAGAGGTACGTGTGCACTTTGTTTGAAGATCAACTTCATCTTTCAATACTGTTGTATAAGACCTGAGGTAGTCTGAGAATGGATGGTGTTTTCCTGTTTCATTATCAAAATTTAATGCAGGAGAGACTGTCAGACAGTTTGAGCCTAGCACTGCAATTCTAACTGTCTGAAACATGATGGTGTTCTAACTTCTCAGTGCATTGCCGTTCCCTGTGTGTGTGTGTGTGTGTGTGTGTGTGTGTGTGTGTGTGTGTGTGTGTGTGTGTGCAAACATGTGTGTATGATCTGTATATTTATGTGTGTGTCACTGGTGCGTGTGTGTATCTGCGTACGTGCATGTGTGCTTACGTGCATGTGTGTGCGTGTACGGTGTGTGCGTGTGCATGTCCTTGATGTTATCTGAACCTGCTGAATACCTCCACAGTGCAAGGTGGGCAACTTCAGTCTCATGCAGAGTGCCGATGTACTGAAGTACCTCACAGATAACATTGAAGCAGAGCGCATCCGCTCGCGACTCAAACACAAGATACCGTATCAGTGGTGGGTGCTAACAGTACATGATTGTGCAGGGAGGGATTGACTGTCAGCCACGGTGCATGACTGTCAGTGCATGACTGTACATGTGCCGCAGTGCGGGATTGATCAGGTCATGACTGTGTAGGGCTGCACCGACCAGTACATGAACACGCATGCACTAGCTGCTATGTCATCCTTTACTAGCATTGATGCACTATCCAAGTGTAGGATGTCCAACTTCATCACCCTGCACCTAAAGTCACAGTAGTGCTACACCCAGACCTACTGAATACAAATGCAATATCATATTATGCAGATATCTTTGATCAAAGTGGGATGGTTGGGCAGTCTCTTATTCTTGGCTGTTCAAGTAGTTGGAAAAGGGGAATTTAACCCCGAATGAACCAATCATTGCTGATAAAGTTGTGGGTACAGCTTCCCATGGTGAAAGTCTCAGAGAGCAAACTACTCTCAGTTATGTAGCATCTGACATGTAGGGCTGGGCAGCAGAGTGTGCAAAACTGAACGGTTTTTTAGGACTCCCTGCTGGGCATCATTAGAGCGCCTCAGTAGCATATAGGGCTGTGCATCATTTCTAATATGCCAACACATTGGATGCCATATCCTGCTCTCTCTCTCTCTCTCTCTCTCTCTCTCTTTCTTTCTCTCTCTCTCTCTCTCTCTCTCTCTCTCTCTCTTTCTCTTTCTCTCTCTCTCTCCCTCTCTCTCTCTCTCTCTCTCTCTCTCTCTCTCTCTCTCTCTCTCTCTCTCTCTCTCTCTCTCTCTCTCTCTCTCTCTCTCTCTCTCTCTCTCTCTCTCTCTCTCTCTCTCTCTCTCTCTCTCTCTCTCTCTCTCTCTCTCTCTCTCTCTCTCTCTCTCTCTCTCTCTCTCCTCTCTCTCTCTCTCTCTCTCTCTCTCTCTCTCTCTCTCTCTCTCTCTCTCTCTCTCTCTCTCTCTCTCTCTCTCTCTCTCTCTCTCTCTCTCTCTCTCTCTCTCTCTCTCTCTCTCTCTCTCTCTCTCTCTCTCTCTCTCGACTGGAAACTTCTTGTCGACTCAGTTAGTGCAAAGATTTCTTTCCCTAGCTGTGTTGCACTTACCACCCTAAGACCAGATATAGTTCTGTACTCTACGAGTCGTAGGATTGTATTCTGGATGGAGTTGACAGTTCGTGCTGAGGACAGATTCAGTGTCAGTAACTCGCGGAAGGACAGGCGATATGCGGATCTGGCCGATCAATGCCGAGCAAACGGGTGGCAGGTCGTTTCTTTTTCGGTTGAGGTAGGTGTGCGTGGTTTCATCCCGGACTCTCTTCGGAGGGCTCTGAAAGCGCTTGGGTTTTCTAATCGAAGAATAAAATTTATTTGTAATTTGTGCAGTAAGACGTCTCTGCGAAGCAGCTACGTCATCTGGTTGCGACGTCAACAAAAACACTGGTCGAAAGATCCACTTTTCTGAGGTACTGTATGTGGGGCTCCGTTTATTGAGGTGCGTTGAAATTTATTCTCTTTATCTTATTATTTCTTTTCTATAATTTCCCCATATGAGTTCCTATCAGTTGCTGTGAACACCTTGAGTGGAGAGCGCTTGCTCGAGCGTTGAACCGGGTTCTTAATCCACCATACCCAGTTCGCAAGGCTGGGCGGGGTTGTGAGCAGGCTTTCATTTCATCTTTTCTTATTATTTCTTATTATTTCTGCTTTTCATCTCATTACAAAAATTCTGCGCATTTTTCTCCATCTGCGCATAAAATCTAGACTGACAACCTGCTTGTTAAATCATGCATCTGCTTTCAGGCGTAAAAACCCTGTTGTAGAGGTCTCAGTCCTCATTTGTTAGACTTACCTGTCTTTATAAATGTAACTTACTCTCTCTCTTTGGTCTGTTGTTGTGTGTGCAGGGCTCCACCGGAGGTATTCAATACCAGCACGTTCTCATTGAAGTCGGTGGTCTGGTGCTACGGCACATTGCTGTGGGAGATGTTCTCTCACGGCGCTGAACCATGGCCAAAGCTGGGCACGATGGAGGTAAGAAACGCTGTCCGAGCAAAATTATGTTCTAATTACGGGTGCTTCACTGAAAGAGAAAAGCAGGCCTCTTATTCAGGTTTGACGTATGAGGACTCTCATCTACTGCTCAGAACTCAATAACACCACTAGGATACACTCACTGTAGCTACTGCAGAAAGAGAGTCCAGCGCCACCACACTACTCCACCCAGGCTGACAGCCTTCTGACGGTTCACTTTCTAGGACAATTTGAAGCAGATATCTCTTGTGCGTAGGCTGGGTGTATGTTCACCGTCTGGATGGTTTACTTTGCGTGTCGCCGTAGATCTTGGAGCAAATCGATCAGCCACGTCAGAATCGTCTTGCGAAGCCTTGCCATTGTCCCGTGGACATCTACTCATTGATGCAGAGGTGCTGGAATCATGAACCAGCCGATCGGCCGATGTTCACTGCACTAGAGTCACTTGTCAGAGAGGTAGGTGTGTGGCATGATTATGCACTACTCTGAGATCAAACTGTGCAGCTTGGTATCACAGTAAAGTACAACTGTGCTGAAGCCTCCACACAATACTCTGATGATCAGCTGTATTCCTCTGTTAGTATGCAATGCTGAAGATAAGGCCAAGTAAAAAAAAAAGCTAGATGATCGTCCCCGTCCGCCCCAGTTTTTGTCAGCGCCCCAAGAAATATTTTATTTTTTAAATCGTGAGTTTTTGCCGAAATCGTTGGTTTTTTACCGATCGCGGATGCAGGAAACATGTGCACGCTTTGTTTAATACTTTCTTTACTATATGGACCACATACTACTAGTATATCACAACGTCAGTATCGATCTGCTGAAGAAAGAAAAAGAAAAAAAGAAAAAAAAAGAAAAAAAGAGAAAAAAAACCTTGATGTTGTTGTGTACACTGTGTGCATGAGAGGGTAAAAAGTAAAAAAATAAAAATAAAATCCTCCCGCCCTCCCCGATTTTTCCAAAAAAAAGGACGATCATCTAGTAATTTTTTTTACTCGGCCTAAACTGATGTACATTATGCTGCATGTATCAGTGCATGCCCAATGAGTGATTGTATTGATGGATAGATACCGTGCCCATGAGTGAAAGCTGGCACCAAGCAGTTCTTAACCCACTTAGATAGAATGTGCGGGGCAAGACACATCTCGAAGGATAGTGTTCCTCTCTGCGACTGTAGTGTAGCTGCATGGCACTGTAGTGGCATGGTGGCGAAGACCTATTGTCGGTGTCAGGGAGTCGTAAACTACCGGTACTTTACGACTCCCTGGCCGGTGCCAATACAGCGGTACACTGTGATGTGAACTCACCGTGTTTGTTGTTGTGTTCTGTGTACACACTTGCGGCCGTGTCACACCTGTGTGTGTCCATGTACAGTGCTATCCGCAGCAGGCACGGGTGACCTGCGAGGAAGTCATAGCCGGTGACGGCACCGCAGGCATGCTCTCGCTCATCCCCGATGACATGCTGACCATTGTGGAGAAGTATGCTCCCGCTACAGTGTAGCTAGGTGTACCCCCTATACATGCCATGCTCTGTGTGTGGCAAGTCAAGCTTGTAACGTCCTGGCCAGAGAAATTCAACCTCATGAATAAAATAGCACCGGGGCGCTACTTGGCTCTAGCACCACACGTACTATTCATTGCACTCTAATGCAGCATAACTTCAGTATTCTGATGATAAGGAAGATTTTCTCTGGCCAGAACTGTATTGAATCAGTAGACTTGAAGTATCTGACAAAGTGACAAAGTGATCTATTGTGTTGGTTTGGAATGTAATGGATCCTGGCAGCACACGCTCTTGTGTGGACTGGTCATTTTTAGTGGTAGGGCATAACTGCAGGTTCTGTTTGCAATCTCGAGTTGGAAGACTAGCATTGTGATACCCTAGCAGTGGATGCTGTTGGTAGTTCTTGGCTGGTGATTGGCATAGTCAAGTAGAGTGCTCCACTGCCCGAAGAGTGTTCAATGCGCGCATCATGAGGGCAGAGAGCCTTCCCCGCAATAGAGAGGCTAGTGCCTGAGGAAGCCGTCTTGCCACTCCGAGTATGGCTGCGAACGAAAACTATTCTTTGTTTACATGGCACGGCGTGGCCTCTGCATGTGTGTTCTAGCTCAGTGATCAGTGTTCTGTTTGCTTGTTGTGTTGCTGTCACAGACAAACCGTGTACTGGTTTGCTCAGAATCAGCATGGTGAATACGGGGAGTTCAGGTACGACTGCGTCGAGATCATCACCGACACCAAGGTGCATTCGCCGGAAGAAGACCGTAAGGCACGCAATGCCATGCACCTTTCCTGCACTATCCAGCATCAGCACGTTGCAATTGGGAACGGTTTCATTAGTTTTCATTTTTTGCTATAGTTCTACCCTTTTATGATTTCACGCCCTTCGCAAAAAAAACCCACGAAAGTTTCCAGATGGCAAAGGTTTCTCTGTTTGCGGCACGCTCTCCGGCACCAGCACTGCACCAGTACTGCACTCTACCTGCAGGCCGTACAGTACACTGTGCTTGGTAAGGCACTGCAAATCTGCTGCCATGATATACCGCTGATCATGGATATGCATCAAGAGACTTGTCAAAGAATGGTGTAGACAGTGTCTCGTGAGTGTTTCTAAACATGAAACTCAGAGTTTAATAGAGAGGAAAACATGTCTTGGTCTCTGTACGTTGCTTTGCTTTTGTGCACAGAATGGCATAATTTAATATGGGCAGTTTTTTAAGCACACTTTAATCACCCGAATTCCTTTCACTTCAACACATTTCCCGTATATTCCCTTCTCTTTTTTTCGCTTTTTCCGACAGGTCGGTCACCACAAGGACGCACGCCCGGGTAAGGAAATGAGTTGTTTCGTATAACTACCAGTATGAGTGCACGCTGGCATGTACACCTACATCATTCACGTACAGTTGAATAACCTGACGTTACAAGTGTATGTATATGTGTTTCAAGTTTTGCTTAAAGAAGAAAAGAGAGAAGAAGAAACAAGCATGCCGATGTGCACGTCTGTCTGAGTGTGTTCAAGAACACACTGGAATTCATCATGTCTAGTACTACATAAAGTTCACATTATGTTGATGGCTCGTGTGACTGACCCAACTGGCTTTTGCGCATCTGTCAGAACAGTCAGAACGCCACCACAACACAACTACACTGTAGTAATAGTACGCCGTGCAATGTGTCATGCAATGTGTCGGTGGGAGGGTCTTTGGATTTATGGCCGTCACCTGTCTGTTGTGATTGTGTGCTTGTTTGTAGGGACGGCGTCGAGGCGGCCAGCATATCTGAACCAATCAACTTCAAGCACGACCTGCATGTCTCTGGACTGGAGGACATGACTGATGAAGAGCTAGTCAAGTGAGAACATCCATGGATACACCATGCACACACACACACGCACGCGCACACACACACAAACGCACGCACGCACACACGAACACACGCACACACAAACAAACTGCGAGCTAGTCGAGTGAGAAAGTCCATGGATAGCCATAGGCTCACTACTCTGTGCTATGAATCAATGCACTGTGTACACATATTACAGTGCACACACACGGTATACTGCACACACATATTGTGACAGTGCACACACACGGTATACTGCACACACATAATATTACAGTGCACACATCAATGCACGCAGCAGTACTCCATGGTTAGGTTTGAACTTCCCTCTTACGTATTCTGGTGCACCAGACACACAGTGTACATATTTACTAGTTGATGGGAATGGAAAAGGGAAAGGTCTGAAGAAAAAATTGACTGTCACCACCAGGAATCAGTTGGCATCTGACAGAGATGCCTGGCAGTCGCACTGTGCATCTACTGCTTACACAGCTGCATAATGCCGTTTATTATTATTATTTTTTAAATTTTACTATTATTATTTTTTCGGCAACGCAGATGATGATGATGATGATGATGATGATGATGATGATGATAATACCTTGCGTTTTATATTCATAATATTGTTGCCCGTAAAAGCGGCTTGGTCACATGATGATGATGATGATGACCAGGAATCGAACCAGGGACGTTCACTTGAGGCCAGCGATGCTCTAACCATTGAGCTATGGTGTAGCTGTCATCCAAGCAGAGACCGTTCAGCATTTTCTTCGAAGACTGTAAAGGCTGTGTTTGCCGCAGTGTAGTCTGACTCAAGAAAAGCAATGCAAAGCAACCGGTGCAACGACCAAACTTCTACCGTGTCCGCTGTTTTCTGTCTGTTTTCGTGCCTTACAGAATGTTTGAGGAGAAAACACAGGCCTTGAAGAATGGTAAGGAAGCAGTGCAAGTTCGGCAAGTCCGGACGTCTGCAATGCACTCACACTGCTCCAGTACAACTTCATTCAGATATGAATCCTATGATAGCCTTTGCCGAGCAAAGTTATGAATGTTATGAATGTGCTGCGTGTGTACCGTACAATGCTTGCAGACACCAGCACAAACAGTTCACCAGCAACATTCCATGATAGCAAATCGCTCCCAATATGAGTTTCCAGTGTCTCTCGGAACGAGACAAGCCTTGTCTAGAGCAGTTTACTATTACGGGATGTTGATGTTGATGGTGAATGGTTGATGCTGGTGTCGGTAACTGTGGTATTCTTTGGTCTACATGACTACCACACGTCCACAGTTGGATGGATCAAGTGAAGATGCCATCAACAGCACACTTTCAACTATCTACAGGCATGTCACGGCTGTTCAATCCTTGTCATCCATGTCATCCATGTCATCCATGCCATCCATGCCATCCATGCCATCCATGCCATCCATGTCATCCATGTCATCCATGCCATCCTTGCCATCCTTGCCATGTACCGGTGTGTGCGTGTGTGTGTGTGTGTGTGTGTGTGTGCGTGTGTGTGTGTGTGTGTGTGTGTGTGCGTGTGTGTGTGTGTGTGTGTGTGTGTGTGTGTGTGTGTGTGTACGCATGTCACTGTTATTCCCTGTTACAGGTTCCACACCAGCGAGCAGCACATCACACCTCGGCCCAGTAGGAGACCACCACCGCAGCAACGACCCCCTGCCCGAAGTGCCCGGCACCACGGCAAGCCGTTCCGCCGAGCGCTCCTCCGCAAGCCTGCACCGTGCCTGGACGGCCAGCCAGGCACAGAAACCAGCGTCAAAACGACTTGCGACCGAGAGCACGTCGGCAAGTGTCCCGCCAGAGCCGTCCACACTCCGCATGGTCCCGTCCAGTGTGGGCAGTCAGTGTAGTACAGTACTAATGGGGTCTGTTCAGGAATACGATGAAGTAGACCTGCGCTCTCAACGAGGCGAGGACGAAGACGAGGACGAGGGGGATAATCTGATCTTCGACCCGGATGCGGACTACCTGGATATGTCGCAGGGCAAATGGCCGTCGGCGTCGGACCTTGCCGCCAGACAAGGTGACGGCTCAGCAGCCGCTGCCAACACCAACACAACGCCAGTCTCGGCCAGACGCGGCCAGAACACCTGCATGGCCAATTATGAGACCATGATGGCACCCAGGCAGACGCAGGCTAGAAGTGGGGGCGGCGGCAGTGTGGATGATGAACCCGAGGAGGAGTATGTGGCACCGGAGATCACCAGGGCCAACCGAGTAATGGACGACTATACGGATATGAATGTGATGAGCAAGGCGGCAAGGGAAGCCATCGACCTTGCCATGAAGAAAGGCGAGCTGTCTCGTGTACAGCCAGCATCACTAGAAGTGTCAGCAGCCACAGCAAGCGCAAATACAGCGCTGATCTCGGAGCAATCTGCACTGGACTCAATGGAAGTCAACAAGCTGTATCACGCAAGAACACCGCTATCTCCCAGCAAACCGGCACCAACACTTGGTTCTACTGCTGCAGCTGCTGCTCCACCTCGCACTAACCGGCCAGTCCCGGCTCCACGTCATAGGAAGGTGCGGTCAGCGGTCCACTTGCTGAGTTCACCTCCGAAGACACCGATGTCCAGCAGTGGTGCACCGCCATCACTGGCCAAATCACGCTCCACGTACGACACAACCGCCGCCGAACCAGGATTCCTGCGCACCAGCCCCGAGGGCGAGGCCACCACAAACTCTCATCTGCAACCGTCAGCAGACTGGTCCCCGGTACCCAGGCCCCGCGCAAGATCAAGAGAATCAGTACCAGATGTCATCACTCCGCCGCCACCACCACCAGCAGCAACAACACCCCCACTGCCAACAACAACAGCACTGCCACCACCACCACCACCAGCAACACCGCCACTACCAACAGCAATACCACATAGTTCAGAACACGAGATCAGAGCGGCATCGTCCAGAGTAGCAAAAACATCAGTCGACTCGACAGGCGACAGCACTAGAAAGACCAGCGGTTCAAGTGGATCGTCCGAGTACGTTAATGATGACGCTATCAGGATGCATTGCAACAGGAGGAGATCATCGGACTACGTCAATGACATCGTTGTACGTAGCAGCAGCTGCAGCAGCCGTACTGGTGGGAGTAACAGCACGGATACCATGCGTCCAGATTACGTCAACGCCCGGGATAGTCAGGAATACCCCGATGATTCTCTGCAGTCGGTGTTCAACCGGCCAATAGCATCTCTATCCAACGTGTCTACGCTAAGCGAGGAGAGCGTCGCTATCCAGCATCGCTACATCAATGATCACGTGCGCTCATCAACCCTTCTCGAGTCCCATCAACGACCGCGTGCACACAGCAATGAATACATGGTACTCCCAGAGGATATGGTCAGCGCACTGCAAGCGGCGAGCCCGTTGAACGACACAGCAACACCGCCGGGATCATCCGGTGCCAGTCACCATGGTAACGGTGACTCTGCCGCTGACAGAGCCAGGTACGACGTGATGAGTCGCGACTGGAGACCAGACAGCGATCTCAATGTACCACCTGCCAGCATGCATGTACAAATACCAGCAGCTACCGCACAGCTGCAACGTCAGCAGCAGGACTTTGGGCCGGCGACTCCGCCTTTGGTATATTGCCCCGACATGAGTGTGTTGGTCGGCAATGACAACGACAGTGACATAGCCACGACAGGCGCTGCAAGCACATACAACACACTAGATATGTCGACCCGAGCCCAGCCAAGCTATTCAGTAGCGCATGCGTTTGAAAGTGTTGATCTAATACCCTATGCTACAAGCACACCGCCGTTGCCGCCCAAGAAGAAAGCAGCGTCACGAGCAAAGTCGGCAGCAGAGCTACCCTCAGCAGCTGCAGCAGATACACTGGGTTATGACGCGCCTCATTTAGACAGCACTCAGCCGCAGGCAGCTGGGGTAGGGACTGGCTGCTATGATACAGTAGCCAAGTCATCTCCATCACCGCCGATACGTCACAAGTCAAAGACGAACGCGCCGTCACCGCTGACTGTTCATCGCATGTCAGCGGCAACATCACCGTCTGATTCGAAATCACCACCGATATCACGAAGGCAGCCCGCTCCCGAGTCACCAGCCATGTTTGCACAGAACTTGGTCGAGCAGCTGCCCGACTTGAAGTTTGCCGACGTTATGGTGGCGCTGCAGGCGTACGAGTCGCCGCAGGTCACCGAGACACACCTGCGAGCACAGCTAGTGTTGGACGTGTACAACCGTCTGTGTGAGATGGGCTACAAGATAGACATGACGCGTTGTGAGCTGGCCATGAAGCACTGCCGCTGGAAGAAAGACAGGGCAGTCGACTATCTCGTTCGCAACCCCACCACAACCTGAGCAGTCACAGCAGGCACTCAGCTGCAAGCCAACACAAGCCAACACTGGCCTGCTAGCAAGTGCTGCCTTGAACTGTAGTCCTGTACTCTTGAGAAGGATTCTATCAACTCTTGAAATGAAGCCATCGTTCTACAAACACTTCCTTTGATTGTGTTCTCTTTCTCTAATACATTGTGAACAGTTTCCTCGGAGACAAGACTGCAATAACACTGAGAAGAAGGACACACTTCAGGCTCTTGATGTATTCGTATGTGTTGATCATTGATTGAAGCATCATCATTATTGTTGATATTCGCACGCCTGTGTTGAAATGAATGCTTGCTGCTCTTGCAGTTATTACTGTACACAGCACTGAAGACTCCTATTCAAAGACGTCATGTCATGGCCGTTCATTGAGCTGTTAAATTAATAATTTGTCAATCTGAGTACAGTGCCATTTTGCCTCCTGTGAACCCTAAATGCAATGTGAACTTTCAGCATGTTCACGTCGTCTTCAAACAACAAGCAGTTATTACGCAACTTACAATGTATACGACTTTGAGGTAGGCCTGTGTGTGTGTGTGTGTGTGTGTGTGTGTGTGTGTGTGTGCAGGCATATGCGTGAGAGAGAGAGAGAGAGAGAGAGAGAGAGAGAGAGAGAGAGAGAGAGAGAGAGAGAGAGACAGATATCTGCGAAACGACAACATTACTGGTCGACCTACCTGTGGCCACGATTTGTTTCTCCTGCAGCATTGCTGCTGCCAATGCCACAACGAGAGCAGCCCACATCCTAAACACACACATACACATACACAGACACACACACACACACACACACACAGACACTACAAGAAAACAAACACGTCAATCGATTCGAGGACAACGTTGATGGGAAGAAATATGGTATAAATATTTGCTAGTGATTATTCATAGGATGTTATAAAAAGTGCAGATTGCAGATCACTGCCATCATAAATGCCAACATGGGCTAAATAAAAAGAGATAGCAAACATCTCAAGGGGTGACAGAGATCGCAAACATCTCAAGGGGTTAAAACAGGAGAAGCGGAAGGAGGGCGACCGGAAACTCCAAAAGAAGTCTTTCATGAAGTCTGTAACGAAATGAAGAAAAAACCAAAATGGCTGCTGTGCCTGCAGGTAAAACAATGATTGAAACTAGAGTTCTGTGTGCGTGAGGGCAAGGTTAGGTAAGCAAGCCTTTTTGTTTGGTTCTTCTCGGAATGTATGTGCGATGAGTGCGGTGCTACTATTAGCCCTAGATAAGAATATGATGTTTCGTGGAAATTTGCCAACGTCATCTAAAATCCATGATGGCAAGAGTAAAGTATTATCGGCTGATGCAAGAAATCTTATCAATGCATGTACCATGCAGGACGAGTATACTTTTGTTGTTTAGAAGTAAAAAAAATAGATGTAGAAATGTCACTTGTTCAGTGTGCTGCTGCCTTCCTGGTGAGCAGTGCATAGCATCGGTCACAAACACGTACAGGGTCACTGAAGCCCTTGTCCAGGAGAGGGAATCGCTTGGTGGTGCAGTTACTGCAGAACACACCTCCACACTGGCGACAATGATGCTGAGAGAGCGAGAGAGAGAGAGAGAAAAAGAAGAGACATAGAGAGAGAGAGATAGATAGAAAAAGGTAGAGTTAGTGATACAGGGGGGGGGTGCTCCAACATTTCCCCAAAGAACCGAATAATGCATTATTTCTGTGCGTTTGATACATGGATGGTTGATATCTAGATGTTTACTTTTAGTGCGCCATTTAACCGTGATTCAAGCATTTACCATGATTTACCAAGTCGAGGGAAAATGTAGGAACTTTTTTGTAGGATGGAGCAACCATGAGGCCTTGAAGTACCCAATCCCAAATATACCCCTCCATTTGGAGGACAAAGTGAGGACAAAATGTACTTCCTCGGTAAGCTAGGTCCAAGAGTACACTACTCTTGCTAGATCATAATTATCACGAACCTATTTTCAATTTGACTAATGTACTTTGAAGTACTAGAACAACTTACAATACTTCACACATTGAATGGGGCGAGAAGGCAAAAGTACCATAACAACTTCTGGCAGGAGTCACAGAAAAAGCTCCCAGGAGTTTTTATACACTTGCTTCTGGTATGGAGAAATAGAATCAGGTAATAGAGGAAGCAAGTGCAATGGATGGTGGTAGCTTCACAAACAGGATACTAGCAGAGGGCTGCCACATTTCTGTTGGTAGAAATCAGAAGCAGTGTCTGAGGTGTTCAATGTCAGGATGGCAAGGGGGCAGCTACTCCTTTAGAAGCTATAGCATTTTTAGGATTTCAAGGGCCCGAAACAACAGATTAGTACACTTTCGTGAACAATTGTTTTCAGTCGGTTTGTCGGAACAACTGATCGGAGTGTTCCCGGAAAATCGGAATAGAATAAGTCGAGGCCCTTGACAATATGGATAACCCTCTGTCCTGCCACATGAAAGTACATGTAACATGGTGAGCTATGATCAACTAGTGACGACAGCGAGTGGAAAACAAAACCAGCGTTAGAAAAATCTGATAGTTGTGACACGAAAATCGCGTTCAAAAGTCTGATTTATGAACATCCCCATTTCACAATGAAGTTTACTAAATATCAAATTCAATCACATCTTAATGTATCCTCACTCAAGACCTTTCCAATGGGCCGTCATTTGCGTTAATCGGACAATCGGTTGCAAAGTTACGGTACTCTTAGCTGCAGTTGGCCTACATGTATATGTATGTCGAAAATTTTGAGGGGGGTGCTTCAGCACCCCCCCCCCCCCCTTGGTACGCCACTGTGATAGAAAGTCACATTGACACTACACTCATCAGAGACAAAGTGATGATCAAAGACAAGACAGTAAGTCACACGATATCAAACATGAATGCAGACTGCAGCATGAACATATTCAAAACTATAACTTGTCTTCACATTCTCTTCTCGTCACCTCATACTCTTCTATGGAATACATAGCTCGGGTGATTTCCTAAATAGGCATCTACACATATTATTAAATTTTACCGTTGGAAGATTGGTAAAATGAAATGAAACCTAGAACACAGCACCTAGAACATCATGGAGGGTTACTTAGTACTTACCCGTCGCCGCACTGTGGTGAACTTGAGCTTGCAGGACATACAAAGTTTCGTCTCGTCGTCACCGACCCAGGTATTGAGTGTGAGCGCCCCCATGTGATTGCAGCCGATAGCCACTGACCGAACCATCTTATCACCGAGACCAGCCACCTCCGTAGGACTGAATCTGTGTGCAGGGTCAATACAGAGTCAGGTACAAGTCATGTAGGATGGTCAGTGATACAGACTAATACTGTAAGACCAGTAATGTTAATGAACATTAAACAACTCGTTAACATTCGAAGTCATTATGTACAAAACAATATGGACCTGTACAGTCATTTGCCGGTGTTGAGACGGAACTCGTTAGAATTTCACCTCGCTAACCCACAATAATCCGGAGATCGTTAACTTCAATTGACATTAAAATATCTGGTCTTACAGTAGCAGTCGTTACTCGGAACACAACATACAGTCGAATGTCACTTATCCGGTCGCCAGTTATCCGAGCACGTTGGTTATCCGACAAGCCCGGGAGTGGTAATTTTATGACTCAACAGTAAAATTCTAAAAAAAATTCATGAATATGCATGAATATATTTGGGTATTGTGTACATAAATCAGTGAAATCCAGCCATATATGCACATAAAAAAATGATATCAGTTATCCAACATGCCGGATTCTCGAAGTGGTCGGATAAGTGACATTCGACTGTACTCGGATATGATAGCAAGTTAGTAACGGTAACATACACAAGGATGGGTTCAGAGAACTTCAGACTGTAATAGAGCGTAGACAAACTCCACACTCTATGCTATGTAACGGCAGGCAAAGACAAAACCCAAACATCAATGCCGCGACTAGTGCCATTTCAATCCCTGTTGGTTTCGATCTTCTGAGTCTACAGCCATGCATGAAATTGCAGTGCTTTCCTGCCCTGGTTAATGATGTCATGGCTCTGTAGATACAGCACACAATGACGTTACTGCGTAGTTACAGCACGCCATAACGTCACATTCAGTAGTTACAGTGCGTAATGACGCCACAGGCCCACGGCTATGTAGCTACATCACACAAGGTGTCATGGCTCCGTAGTTACAGCACACAGTGGCAACATGGCTCCGCAGTTACAGCATGCAGATGCATACACAGAATCATGAATAGAGTAATACGTCAGAACAGTCAGGCTAGTCGACTAGTCTACTGTCCATGATGACTACTGCCAGTACAGTACATGTACCTCCTACCTTGGTTTGGTGTCAGCCTGTCCAAGTATGCCATGCTCACCATTACCCCAGGTGTATAGACGACCAGCATCTATACACGCACACAGGGGCACACACCACACACACACACACATAGGCAGACAGTACCCACAATCAGCAGAGTTACACTATCGAATACGGATGACCCCGGTGGAACATGACCACCATTACATTTGGAGAGATGTCTTGATGACAGAGAATACATTCACACACCACATCACGTACACATATGTTCATCTGGTGGCACCCAAGGAATATAGACGTGAATGCGGAAGCCTGTGAGTGGGATGGGAGACATCCACGTTGCCACCTTTTATTACTACTTGAAGTAGTATAACACAAACTCCCCATCACACAAACTCTCCCAAGGTGAGAAGGATCTCCCAAGACACCCATCATTGTCGCAGCACTGGCACTTACCAGTTACAGCGGCGGAGGAGAGTGCACCGGCGGCCACCTTGACAAACTTGGCTGAGTTGCAGGTGAGCGGTGTCATGGCCGTGTACTTGGTCTTCTTGGCCGCCACACCCATGCCCAGCTGGCCCTCGCTGTTGGCACCACAGGCGAACAGCGCGCCACCCTCTGTGTACAACACATCACACACACCAGCAGCAGGATCAGTTCCCCGTAAATCAAGCCAAGAATGGATGGAGCTGCCCAACAGCTATACTTAAATGTCTGCAAAATAACATGATTCTGCACACCAACTTTACTCGACAACTTCAAATCAAGTTCAGCCATGCTCGATCAGATCTGGCAAAATGAAATATGACAGATGAAAGTCACCGTGTAGCAGTGGAATTGCATACAACTGCCAACTGTCATACTCACCTGTGTATAAAATAAATAACCCTCCAATCAAAAAGACGGATGACGATCATTCAAGGGCGGTTGGTATTCAGGGAGCAGCGGGTGCTCAAGGAAATATAATATGGTACTACATGTAGTGCCTGGTCTAACACAAACGTTAAATATACACTGCTGGTTGTTCTTTGGGCACACATTGAATGATCCAAATCCAGTTCACCGATCATTTAATTACCACATACCTGTAGCCACCAACGTGTGGAACTCGCCGCATGCAACATCCTCCACCTTCTCCCTGCAATGTACAGCACACCAGAGAGTCATAGTGGATGAAAGACACAGTACGGAGCACAGCAAACTGATTGTAGCACGCCACATAAATATGGACTGCTGCTCCGTGTACATGTGTTGGTCATACTTGCCAAGTGACATCGCATCGGATATCGCTGTGAATGAATTTGCGGTGATTCAAGAAAATTGTAAGCAAATAGAGGCCAATATCTCAGGTTTACAGAGCAATCATCCACTGTATGTCATCCATGGTTGTGTGACTTACGGTAGAGGAACCCGTTGTGGAGTCCAGACTGTACCCTTCTCACCCATAGCACATTGCCCTTGCTGGTTAGAACCCCACAGGAACAGATCTCCATCACCTGTTGGCAACAATATCAACAACAACAACGACAACAACGACAACAACAACAACAACAACAACACAGTGATGCCCAGGTTTCAAAAAGTTGGGAGGTAGGAGAAACATGGAATCACACGCTGACATTGCAACCCAGAGTTGGAAAGTAGAACATATATGTGCTGTGCAAGAGTGGTGGCCATCACATCATGCATATGTATGTTTGTGTCATGTTATCGGCCCATGCATTTTGTACACTGGTGGAAACCCGTTAGCAGTGAATACAGGAAGCAGTTATATGTACAGTGTATTGCATTAGGAGTGTGTACATGTACCACAGTACACCAGAGGATGAGAGGAAGAAGGAGAGAGGGGAAATGAAGAGCAAGCAAGCAGGCAGACAAGAGAGCAACACCGTTCAACACAACAGCACCTAACGTACTAGAGAGTGCCGCCGAGTGATGGTTGCCGGCGGTGACCTTCTCTATCTCCACATCATCACCAAAATAGAGCTGTGTGCTAAAACTTTCATTCACGCCTTCGCCTGTACCCAGCTGTCCCTGGCGGTTGTCACCGAATGTGACTACGTAGAAGTCTTCAGTCAACACTGCAAGCAAAGAGAAGTACACCATGTGAATGAACAGGGAGTCACAACTTTTAAAAGGAGGTTCGCGACAGTTTCCACCATTGCTTTTTGCTTGAGGAAAAAAAAATTTTTTTATCCTTTCGAAGTCAAGTGTGATGACCGACCTGGGCACAACTTACCCATAGTATGATCATGACCACACGCCACCATCACAGCACAGTGGTCTTTGAGAGCGTCCACTTTCTTCGGCACAGTAGAGCGACGAGTGCACGAGTAGCCAAGGCGACCAATGTCCGGGTCCGACGCCAATGCCTGACCCCATGTGTAGACCGATCCGTTCTCTGGGTTCAAGCACACACACGCCAAGTCAGCAGAGAAAAAGAAGAAAACAGAATTGATATTAAACGCGAGGAAAAGGACGTACGATAAAGAACCGCTGTGGTAGATTTTTCAAGCAAGCGTCGTCTGGTCTCGTCTGGTCAAAACAAAAATCTTCCACTACTATTTGACGCACCTACTGAAGATGGCATCAACAAAATTAAAGAACCGTTGACCCGTCCCCTCTCCAACTTTCACGCTCTGTGGATTTTCTACCCATGAAGCGGCGTCAGGATACACGTCAGAATATGGTGTTGAACTGACGCATGCACTGCTGCATGCAGCGCATTTCCGTGCAGGTATTCATGGAGATTGAACTGGGCAGTCCAGAATGGTAATTGATTGCGGTGTTTGCTGTACACCGGGCATCCCCCACCCCGGGCATCCCCCACCCCGGGCATCCCCCACCCCATTGTAAAAAGGTATATCAGTTACAAATTCGATCATCAGTGTCCATAGCCTCAAAGCCCATTGCATACATGCCAAGAGTACACATGTCTCAAGGTGCATGCCCAATTGGAACAAATGTCAGGTCCAACGATCACAGAAGGGAAAACACCCAACCAAAGTTTACCGGAGACGGCCAAACTTCAGCATCGTATAGGAGACATCTTGCACACATCTTACAGAAGATGAACGTCAGCACCACGATGAGAGGCATCACGATATGAAGCAAACCGAGACTAATATTATCCTAGTGGAGTGCTAGCCACGATCACGCATCACTACTACAGTACTGTCGGGTGGCGAAAAACTGGGGGGGGGGGGGGGGGGGGTCAACCTACTAGCCTAGGCCGTCCATATTTTCATGCACTACAGTCTGCACAGTTCAGTCGCCGTGTATACATTGGTATGCTGTGCTTGGTGAAATCCTAGCCTGGTCGTTCTTCGACACCCGACTGTAATACTGTAGTAGTGTAGTACTGTAATACTGGAGTATCTTCTCACCTAGTACGGCGGCACTGTGGAATGCGGCAATGGAGACGTGGCACACGTCAAACGACAAGGCGGCGACGCGCAGTGGCAAGAAGCGCGGGTGCAGGTTGTTGTGGCCAAGCTTTCCAAACTGGCCATTGCCCCAGGAGTAGACATCACCAGAAGCTGTGCATACACACAGCACGCAGATCACAATAGCAACACGATAATTACGCTTGCTGCGCATCAGAGGGCGCGGCCACCGGAAATCTATTGCTGAGAACGGCACCTACGCATAAAACATGGCTGCAGCCTCTTCGCGGGGAAACTTTGATTGGTTGATCTGTATGTAAGGATTGTCCAAAGGCTGCGGAAGCCTATCGAACTTGTCCCATACTGGCAGATACAATCAGCTCTAGTAGAGTGTACACCCCCCCCCCCCCCCAACGTGGCAACGCTGTGGACTTACATTCCAGTGCAATACTGTGTTTGTCGGCCAAGACGAGCTGCTTGATACCACGACCGAGTATGGCCTCAAGGACACGCGGTGATCGCTCATCATCTTCTTCTCCATGACCAAGAATACCATGGTAACCCTTGCCCCAAGTGTACACATCACATTTGTCTGCAAAGTATCAAAAGAACACCAGAACAAGAGGTTAGTAATGACACCATCACCATCACTCTTCCCGGATCCCTCACAGTGGTAAAACAACACAAGCATCTTGGTTTGGTCATTGACTCAGACTTATCGTTTAGTAGACATGTCGACTATATCTGTAGCAAAGTCAGTAAAGCTGTTGGCTACCTCGTGTCTCACTGCTCCCACCTACCGCTTGAATGCATTCGCCTTTTTTATCATTGCTATATTCTCCCCATTTTTCTCTATTGCTCAACCGCCTGGTCATCCCTACTAAGTAAATCGTTAATGAGTACCCTGGAAGTCCACAATAAGAGGATACTCAAAGTCCTTTTCTGCAAACCATCATACTTTCCTTCTGCCGAGCTGTATGATATGTTTAACACCTTCCCTATCTCTAGTCAAGCGGATCGAAAACTGTGTATTGTTGTTCATTCTATTCGTCTTGACAAAGCCCCGCCACACTTGCGTTAATATAACTGGTTTCTTCCCACTCGTCCTACGCGCAATCCCTGCACTTTACCTAAAGCCCGAACATCAGCTTATACCAGATCTCCGTTTTTCGCTGCCTATTCTCTCTGGCTGGCCCTGCCTCTATCAGTAAAATCGTCTTGTACGCTAAAGGATTTCAAGGCCAACATGAAGCTTGTGTTCTAATAACTGCGAATTCTTCATCCAGATTTGTTTCTCTTTGCCTCCAGTAATGTGAAATATTTATTTATTTATTTTTGCTTTGTTTTTGTTTACTGCCATGGCTGGCTACCGCCCCCCTCCCTCCATATTATTGGCCTATATTCTCTGGCCACGGGAAGGTGAAATAAATAAATAAATAAATCACTAGCTGGACTATGGCTGCGTTCATACTGGTCTACTTGGTGGAGCGGAGCACAACAGATTTCGGAAAAGAAAAAAGAGGGTAGATGGGAGTGATCCGGGTCTACCCGTTACGGTCGATCGCCAGTGAAAATCTGTACATCACCCATCTCACCCATCTGAACAACATGACTGTACATACAGGACACAAAACACATCTGCAGAGCAGGATGCAGCCATGGCTAGGAGTCTGCATCCCACGCCGAGTCCATGTTCACACACACACACACACACACACACACACACACACACACACATACACACACTGCATTGCCGTAGTTTCTGCTACAGTGCTGCTCAACGAAATCCCCAAGTGTGTTGTGACTTGACTGGTGCTGCTGGGCAGTGTACAGCATACACACCTGCAAACACTAATACTTAGTGTTAGTTAGACTGCACACTGGTGCAGTGATAACATGCTCTTGAGCCCGAATTTCATTCGCTAGAACTGTGTGCGCACAGCATGGTCCCGATTACCTGAGTCTCGACTATCTGGGTGCTCAAATATCCGGCATGGCTGTTGGTGGTCCGACACATGCAGATGTGCATAAATCGATCGAAGGTGACTGGAACGGGCAGTTCCGGAGCGAAAGCGACATTGTTTCAAGTTTCAGTCACCCGTACTGTCATCCCAGATGCTACCCAAATAAAGACCCCCCCCCCCCCCCCGTGTGAATACATACTAGTAGAAGTAGTACATTGAGATACTGTAAATCAACAAAATTTGGCCGGTGAGAAACTTTGGCCGATCTCGAAACGAAACTTTTGGCCGTCATTAAACTTTGGCCGATTACGGTTTTCAAAAAAGAAATCGATCAGTAGTTGGTGCTCTCACATGCATCCATGCATCATTTGCCTCTATGACAAACATTGGCCGGCGATTTACTTTGGCCGGTTGGTACCCAGCGGCGAAATCAGCGAAATTAAATCGCCAGCGAAAATTAGTTGATTTACAGTAACTAGTTGGAATGCAAACTGAGCCAATCCACGTACGGGTTTGAACAAAAACGAACACCCAGTGCTGCCAACCTTCCGACTTGAACGGAAAATCACTCCTTCGTCAGCAGTACGGAATTTGAACAAAAATGGTACGGAAATTGAAGAGGATCGATCAGCTAAAGGTATGTATGTAGAAGCATGGCAAGCGCCAACTGAGCGGTGAATGTCCCCGTGCCGAAGCAAGTGCATGCCATGCTTCGACTACATGTAGACTAAAATATCATGTCGTGGTACAAGTCACACATGTTTTACTCTAGCAAATTCAGCCACCGACAAGCATGCGAGTGCCAAAAAAGCACAGCACAAGCAATGCACACGGCAGTACATTGCCGGTACGGAAAAACACTGCAAAATACCGAAAATCAGAAGTTGCAGCACGCAAAACAGACCCAGTTGGTTGGCAGCACTGCACACCACTTCATAATGCACTGTGGCAGTGAATACAATGGTAAGTCTGGATTCTCACCTTCCTGCACAGCTATCTTGGCCTGACCATGTGAATCATACGCTACCTGTAACCCCCACACACATGTACAGCGACAAACACATACACACGCACACACACGCACACACATCATTACAACAGACAAAATACATTCCCAACATCATCATGTATGATGCGTTAAGTGAACATGTCGATAATTGCCATCAAACGAACAACACCAGTGCAGCAGTTGCTGGGCGTAAAGGTGCCCGGCAGAGAGACATGGTTGCACCTGAGGCGTCCAGATACTAGTAAGAGGCGTTCGAGTGGATACGCACACCAATGTTGAGCTTACCGGTTCAACGCACGAGATACATGTAGAACGAAGCCAATGCAGTAATCAAATTCACTATAGCTACTACTTGAGAATGCTTGGCGCACATGCACGAAAAGTACACAACAACATTGTGTGCCTTACCTTTAGTTGGCTAACCCGTTGATGCTTGTTGTAGACAGACATGACTGCATCCACGTCCTTGTAGCCACCCAACAAGGCCTAGAGCATCATTATACGACATACACGCATGCACGCACGCATGCACACCCACATACACACCCACGCACACCCACACATGCACACACACAGGTACGCGCGCAGGTAAAATGTCAGCTAATGGCCATTCATACTGTTAGGCCCACAAGTAATAATTAGTTCATATTCATTAGTTCATGCATTATTCATTTGGCCTGGGTAGCTACTTGCGTGCCCACGTTTGCCATAGCTACCCAGGCCCTTTATATTGCGTTGCTTCTCTCTTCAACTCTCTTTCTTCAATAAGCTCTCTTCAACTCGTTTTCTTCAATAATCACCATGTAGTTGTTTCGTTCATCCTGGTCTTAGTCATCCCGTCTCTAACGAGAGAGCTTGGAAGCTCAGGGCCCTACGCTACGCTTTTTGCCTTGATATTAAACCTATACCAAAAAGCATAGGCATGTTATAAATGCTTATAAATTTCTCCTTTTTCTAAGACATAACCTGGGATTCGAACCCGCAGTGCGGCACTATCGCGCGCCCTGCATGCATCCCCCGATACACTGCGCATACATACTAATTCTTCCAAGTTGTTTCTCGTTATGATCTTGCATTTGAAAGCCCTATTTGAATATGCATTGTGGCCAGCCGTCTTTGGTGGTACGGTACGGGATAGGTACGGGACAGGTACGGTCGAGCGTAATACGACACTGTCTACCGCTTTGATGAAGGCAAAAAAAGCATAGGGATGTTATAAATTTTTCAATTCTCCTATTTTTTTTTAAGGCATATCCTGGGATTCGAACCCGCACTATCGTCCGATACACTTCGCATTCATACCCATTCTTCCAAGTTGCTTCACGTTATGAGCGTTTGAAAGCCCTATTTGAATATTGCGGCCAGCTGTATGTGGCCAGCTGTGTTTGATGGTATGGTACGGTAAGAGGCAGATACGGGATAGTGCCAGGCGTGACACAAACACACAAACAAACACACAAATACCAAATTAAAGCTGTGTGGACCCTGGCTAGCGCCAGACGTTACTGAAGTAACGTCTTCTGCATAGCTACGGGAATAAATGTCGTTCTGTCAATCTACCTGTTCCCGTTGTCAGTTGTTTTAGTGAATAAGAAATGTCTCTTATTCGGACCCAACATTGGCGCCCAACGTGGGGCTCGAACCCACGACCCTGAGATTAAGTTTACGTGTAGTGTTGCTCCCGTCACTGGAGTTCTTGACCTTCGTCCTCTGTGACTGTCCGCGTGTGTGATCCGGTGATCTTTACATTGGCGCCCAACGTGGGGCTCGAACCCACGACTGGCCGCTGCCCTCCTGATTCCCCTACCGCCCTGCTCGCCGCCCGCGTCGCCTCCTCCTCCTCCGCTCCAATCACCGCCGCCCCATCCCAACTGTGCGATGTTAGAGCCGTGGGATATGTCCCCAATGGGGGTCGCCACCAGAATTTAACGACTGGGTGCAACAAGCGCCATCGCCGCCGTCACCTCGGACGCCCGTGCTTCCGTCTGCACCACCGGCGCCTGGGATTATCAGGCTGTCGCGCCTGGACGCCGCGCGTCGGCGTGTAGTGTTGCTTCCGTCACTGGAGTTCTTGACCTTCGTCCTCTGTGACTGTCCGCGTGTGTGATCCGGTGATCTTTACATTGGCGCCCAACGTGGGGCTCGAACCCACGACTGGCCGCTGCCCTCCTGATTTCCCTACCGCCCTGCTCGCCGCCTCCTCCTCCTCCGCTCCAATCACCGCCGCCCCATCCCAACTGTGCGATGTTAGAGCCGTGGGATATGTCCCCATGGGGGTCGCCGCCGGAATTCAACGACTGGGTGCAACAAGCGCCATCGCCGCCGTCACCTCGGACGCCCGTGCTTCCGTCTGCACCACCGGCGCCTGGGATTATCAGGCCGTTGTGCCTGGACGCCGCGCGTCGGCGTGTAGTGTTGCTTCCGTCACTGGAGTTCTTGACCTTCGTCCTCTGTGACTGTCCGCATGTGTGATCCGGTGATCTTTACATTGGCGCCCAACGTGGGGCTCGAACCCACGACTGGCCGCTGCCCTCCTGATTCCCCTACCGCCCTGCTCGCCGCCCTCGTCGCCTCCTCCTCCTCCGCTCCAATCACCGCCGCCCCATCCCAACTGTGCGATGTTAGAGCCGTGGAATATTTCCCCATGGGGGTCGCCGCCGGAATATAACGACTGGGTGCAACAAGCGCCATCGCCGCCGTCACCTCGGACGCCCGTGCTTCCGCCTGCACCACCGGCGCCTGGGATTATCAGGCCGTCGCGCCTGGACGCCGCGCGAAACTCAGGCTGTAGACCGGCCTCCAGCTTCCTCCTATGCCCCTCCTATGCCTGAGTTTCTTTGTTCATGGTAAGTGATCTGTGGTGCAATTCTCTTTATTTGAAATACCAGAGATCTTATACATGTTTTGATGTGTTTCCTTCCATGCAGCGACAACCAATGGCGGAGTCTCTCCGAAATGAAGAGCCACGTCATAACACCCGCCCACCTTCAACATTATACAGAGAAGGTTGCATCATACTACGGGGGGCTGCCTACAAAGAGCATCGTCGTCATTCTACAAGCTAATGCCGATCTTTTAAATATATAATTAAACATTTTAAAACCAACATATCTGTGCTAAATGTGTGTGTGTCTGGATGGGGGTCGAGTACTCATTCGATTGCATGCTCCGAGTCGATGGGTTTGGCATGCCGAAGTGCGATATGATTGACGTAGTGGGTAGCTGCAAGTTCGTTGAACAGAGCGGAGGCAAACGTATGACAGTTGTTTGTTACAACGTTGTAAATACCCTTGACGAGATTAGAGTCGTAGAGGAAATCTATCAGATCCTGCAGATTTACATGTGATTTGTCAGCAATAATCTCCTCTATCGGAGTTTTTCGATTGGTGCTTCGATAGGAAGATCTCACGCTTGAACGAGTCTTGCCTCTGCATATGCTGACACCGTCGGTGGGTTTTTTCCGCCGACCACCACCAGTTTCTCGTTTGAAAGACGACGAAAGCGTGGAAAGCAATCAAATCTGTCGGTTGAAGGTACCACATGGGAGTTTTGTAAATGCCCGCCCAGATGATGGTCTCTTCACCTACCAGGGGCTTGAGATAGGTTTTGATATCGGCGCTGTCGATTCTCCACGCATCTTGTCCGATTTTATTCACGTTCGGGTGGAAGTACACAGCTTTATCGTAGTTAGCACCTTCAAATTTATGCACAAACTCCGAAAGTCCGCACGAGATGTTGGAGCACGAGGCAGACATGATGACGAGAGCATGAAAATTGCATGCGACCCTGCTGACGAATTGAGCGTAATGATGCATGACGAAAGCAAGCAGAGTCTTTTTATACCGCGTGTAGTGTTGCTCCCGTCACTGGAGTGCTTGACCTTCGTCCTCTGTGACTGTCCGCATGTGTGATCCGGTGATCTTTACATTGGCGCCCAACGTGGGGCTCGAACCCACGACTGGCCGCTGCCCTCCTGATTCCCCTACCGCCCTGCTCGCCGCTCTCATCGCCTCCTCCTCCGCTCCAATCACCGCCGCCCCATCCCAACTGTGCGATGTTAGAGCCGTGGGATATTTCCCCATGGGGGTCGCCGCCGCGATTTGCCGACTGGGTGCGACAAGCACCTCCATTGGCGCTCCTGTGATGTGTACGTCATTTCGCCTGTAGGCAAAGGCGACTCCAGCCCATCACCAACATCGCCTACAGTGGACGTGTCCGAGCCGCCAAAGAAGATGAAAAGAAGCGGCAGGCGGGATTCATCACGGGCATGAAGGAAACACAGCTGGAAATCCAAAACCGACAATTCGAGCACGACGCTGCTATCCAGGCGCAATGGATGAAGTATGAGACAGACCGGGACTTAGAGCAACGAAAGGTGGCGGAGGAACTTGAGTGAAATTGGAGGCAAGAGGACGGGGCAAGAGAGGTACGACGTCAGAAAACAGCAAAAGAAGACCAGGAATTTAAACAGCAACTTCAAAAGAGCTCACAGCATGACTCAATGGTCCTGCAGCAAGCGGGTATGGAGCTCATGGGATCCCTGATGAAAAACTATTGATCTTAACTCTCCAGCCGCACGTTGTCCATTCTTTGCCGAGTTATTTCTGCCATGTAAAACTGATCACACAATACTTATATATTTACGATTCTGTCATCTCATTCCTCCTTTTATTGTTGTTACATTGCTGCATTATTCTCTTCCAATATATTCCTTCTTCTTTCCCTTCTTTTTGTTGCCATGGCTTGCTAATGCCCCCTTCCTATATATATTGGCTGTTGCCATTGGACGGTGAATGAAACGAGAGAGCTTGGAAGCTCAGGGCCCTACGCTATGCTTTTTTGCCTTGATGACCTAGACAAAAAAAAAGCATAGGGATGTTATAAATTCTTTAAAAAATTCCTTTTTTTTAAGACACAACCTGGGATTCGAACCCGCACTATCGCGCGTCCTGCATGCATCCCCCGATACACTTCGCATACATACTAATTCTTCCAAGTTGTTTCACATTGTGATCTTGCATTTGAAAGCCCTATTTGAATATGCATTGTGGCCAGCCGTCTTTGATGGCACGGTACGGTAGGGGATAGGTACGGGACAGGTACGATCGAGGGCAATACGACACCGTCTCCCGTACCGTACCATCAAACACAGCTGGCCACATACAGCTGCCCGCAATATTCAAATAGGGCTTTCAAACGCAAGATAATAACGTAAAGCAACTTGGAAGAATGGGTATGAATGCGAAGTGTATGGGGGAATGCATGTAGGGCGATAGTGCGGGTTCGAATCCCAGGATATGCCTGAAAAAAAAGGAGAATTGAAAAATTTATAACATCCTATGCTTTTTTGCCGTCAGATACGGATAGCGCCAGGCGTGACACAAACAAACACACAAACAAACACCAAATTAAAGCTGTGTGGACCCTGGCTAGCGCCAGACGTTACTGAAGTAACGTCTTCTGCATAGCTACGGGAATAATAAAATAACATTCAGCTATTGTATGCTGGACCTTGGTTTACACTTTGTTTTACTTGTTTTTAGAATCCAATCAATAAGTCTCACTTGAGCAACAACTACACACATTTATTCCAACAAAGCTCGTAGCTGTACTGATGAGGCCTATATGGCCGAAACAGCTTGCTGTCAACAGCATTGGGCATTTATTCCCGTAGCTATGCAGAAGACGTTACTTCAGTAACGTCTGGCGCTAGCCAGGGTCCACACAGCTTTGATTTGGTATTTGTTTGTGTGTTTGTTTGTTTGTGTCACGCCTGGCGCTATCCCGTATCTGACGGCAAAAAAATCATAGGGATGTTATAAATTTTTCAATTCTCCTATTTTTTTCAGGCATATCCTGGGATTCGAACCCGCACTATCGCCCTACATGCATTCCCCCATACACTTCGCATTCATACCCATTCTTCCAAGTTGCTTCACGTTATGATCTTGCGTTTGAAAGCCCTATTTGAATATTGCGGGCAGCTGTATGTGGCCAGCTGTGTTTGATGGTACGGTACGGGAGACGGTGTCGTATTACCCTCGATCGTACCTGTCCCGTACCTATCCCTACCGTACCGTACCATCAAAGACGGCTGGCCACAATGCATATTCAAATAGGGCTTTCAAATGCAAGATCATAATGTGAAGCAACTTGGAAGAATTAGTATGTATGCGAAGTGTATCGGGGATGCATGCAGGGCGCGATAGTGCGGGTTCGAATCCCAGGTTATGTCTTAAAAAAAGGAATTTTTTAAAGAATTTATAACATCCCGATGCTTTTTTTTTCTAGGTCATCAAGGCAAAAAAGCATAGCGTAGGGCCCTGAGCTTCCAAGCTCTCTCGTTCCAACAAGTAGAGAGAACATGTTTGAGCAGTGCCAACAACACAACGCGAGGTGGACCGAAATCGTATGACAAAAACTATTATGGTAGAGTCTGAGCTGACAGGGTTCATAGACACAAGAGTCAATGCAGATGACACTGATGCACACAATTGTCCAGAAGCTTACGTATCTCATTAGGTCTATTTACCCAACCTTGGGTCAGAGAGCAGCATGATTACTGCATAAGTACAAATTTTCGTTTACGAAATCTTTCTTTAGATCACTCCACCAGCAGGTTCGTTACATACTAAATTTCGTTTTTAGTCAAGGTCTGTCAACCGGAACGTTCAGAAAAAAACTTTAGTTATTTCGTGCCCCCTAACGAATATAGCGAAAATTAATTCCAAACGAAACTTTGTACTTATACAGTAGCAACCTGAGCTGGTGGTGCGCCAAGCCAGGACTACGCAAAAGGACACAGGCATCCTTCACAAACACTGTGCAATGTAGCTCCAATTAGCAAAACATGTTTTGTGAACTTTGGATTTCGGATGAAATTGTGCACGAGAATACTGCCGCGTCCGTTCAGGCGTCTGATCGCATTCTTGACCACCCCGTTCCGTCCGGTTCGAACCACTGCATAGTTAAAACTCTTCTGGGGACAACCCATCTCAGCATAGAAATCTAGACCCAAAGCATGTGAAGCCTTATACTCTAAGTTTCCCAAACAACTGTTTTCTACGTGATTTCTCAACGTTTCACGTAGAGCAGAGCCTCTCTTATTACTAATAACATGTGTGTCTAATCATGGGGTTCCGTCCCAGCCCACTTTCACTTCGTGCTGAAGCACGTACACAACACCAAACACATACCGGTATACACAGGCAACTGAACGCCCTTTAAATCTCAAATCCTCCTGGAACCCCGCCCCCCCCCATCTCACCCCACCCCACCATTACCAAATGGAAGACCAATGCAAAATGTAAGCGTAACGTTGAATGGCCTATTAAAGTCACTTACTTCCAGACCTCGCGTCCAGGCTTCATACTCGCGTTGATCTTTGCACACAATGTCCAGCGAGCGTCTCTCCATCATCACCGAGAATGACACACCCTGGAAACAGACAACACCCAGGTTAGAACGATATAGCCGGAATGTGTACAAATCCCTTGCACCACAAAGTATTGCACATATACTGGACATTGAGCAGCCGTGACTCCCCCAGAGAAGTGAGCAACTGCCTGCCGCTTCCTCTATCCAGTGATGCGATGGCACCATGTGACAAGATTCAGCAGGCTACTAGAATGCAAGCAAAAAATTAATACTGTATCAGCAGAAATATTCGTCTGGAATTTAATTTAGTCTTTTTCGTCCAAGGAGCTTTTGGACTAAATTAAATGTAGGACGAATATCGATTTGTCCAGCTTTTTTATACACTCTAATATGATCTATGGACGAAATTTTCAACCGGACGAACTCTTTTTCTTTGGAGTTGGACGAAATTATTGACCGACGAAATTTTCTGCCTCTACAGTAAAGCAACGTGACCCTCAAAGAGCTGTACCCAAAGCAAGGTTGCAAACAACTCTCGAAAAGCTTAGCTGCCAGCCGGTACCCACTGTGAAGACAGATGTGGATATACGAAGTCAGTAGAAATTGCAAACGCCATGCACACATAGGAACGCATTGCATTGTGGGATAAGCAGTGTACATAATTATACACTGCATCACAATCAACCGAAGGTAATTGCGTTCATTTGGGACCGTTTTCATTTCGTGACAAAACGAAAACGAACGCAGCCGACGAGTGAAGAGTCATATACAGTCGTCCCTCTCTAATCCGGCACCTTTTGCAACGGCATTTTCTGCCGGATAAACAAGGGTGCTGGATTATCAAATCCTGCCCTCCAACCCGGCTCACCTAGTAATGTACATGTTTGTGTCGTACGTCAAAATGTAGGGATTTTCTGTGTCAATCCAAGTACTTTGCCACAAGTTTGTGGAATGCATGTGTGTAACATGCCATGTCTATAACATACACTTGGGAATATCCTATGCACTGGCATAGGATATTGGCACCGGTACGGTATGCGATGTACAACTGCTGGATTAGAAAATCAAATTATGTACAGTTTGAGTGATTTGTTGCAGAAAATCGCTGCCGGAGGCGGAATTCAAGTGCCGGATTAAAGCGTAGAAAATGAACTGAAAAAATCCGTTTTGCCAGAAAGTGTGCTGGTTTGCTAGGGTGCTGGATAAACAAGTGCTGGATTAGAGAGGGACGACTGTACTCGTGTCCTTAGGCTCTTAGTCTTACCCCCCCCCGACCCAGATAACGGAACAAGCATTTGACTTGTGCTCGATTGGTACTTGTATGACGTCACAGAGATTGATTGCTTACTTCATACTCCGGCACGGGGTTGTCCTTGAAGATCTTGGTTTTCTGGCCATGCCGAATCTCCAAGATCTCCGAAATGAGCACTGTGGCAGACAGACGAGTGACATGCATGCACATAAATATAACGTAATACGAACATCCGTGTGCTTGTGTCTGCTTTCCTGTTTGCTGTCAACCGAGCAACACAGCAAGCAGTGACACATTTCACCAAAAACATAATCCTTTAAAAATATATCAAAGTACTGCGAAAGCGCCCTGTCTTGTGAGAGGGCCCCACCTTGATTTTACAGCCAGGGAAAGAAAGGAATAAAGTTGTATGGTATGGTGCAAGTAAGGGCATGATCGATTGGGCGAATCGCGAGCAAGTGCGCTCCGAGTGAGCGTGATCGTTTGGCCGAATCCAGAGTAGGTGTACTTGGAGTGCAGTCCGACCGCACCAGTGTGGGGCCTTCCATGTTACTCAATCATCAGACCTAGTGATCATTGGACTGCATACTTTCAATGCTGCGACCCACAGTTAATTGGGAACTCGTGGCCTGGCACGAGGAAAACATGGATGCAGTGAATGGGATTTTCGGTCTTTGACCACTTGCTGGTGAGCTGATCTACTCAACTCCCACCGATTTAGGAGCTGCATCTGCGCCTTGATCCTTGAAGGGTGGTGGCGTTCCTACGGATGCGGAAAACCCGGTTTCCAGCAGAGTCTCACGCGAACCGTGAATTTTTTTCTTTTCAATCTATAAACGAATAACAGCGCTTTTCTCAAGCATGATCAAGGGTCGTTATGTACAAGGCTGACCGTACATAACCAAGAGTGTGCAACTCGACGATGCCCCAGCACACAGCGGAACTTTTATGACATCAGTTTTTCGTGGCTATTTGACTCACAGATGCCATCATGCGTAGCCAAAGATCAAAGCACGGAGAACTCGCACATCGCAGCTACGGTAGCCAAACCAGAACAATGGACGGTAGATCGATGTGTCCTAAACCTGATGAACTCACACGTGACACCGCATCTAGAAAACATTTATTCCACAAGGAAAGCATGTGCACTTGATCATACATGTACTACTGCCAAATAATGACGCAATGAAAACAATCTGCCGGTGGTGAACCCATCACAGCTCGAGATAGGAGTCGCATACTCTTGGTTATGTACTCTTGATGTAATGAAGTGGCTGCGGTGAAGCTGGTGGTGCATGTGTACTGTCTCTTTCTTTACTTGTAGCCACCAGTCGGTATGTATCATGGGGCAAGCAAGGCTGGCATGCAAAATCAGAAACAGCTGACAATGCTGCGTGTACAGTAGATACACACGGTACAGGTCGTCCCCCGTTAATACGAGTCCGGTTAGTACATTAACCCCGTTAGTACATAAGAAATCTCAAGTCCCGGACGAAACGTGGTCACTTCCATACAAATTTTGTCGGTTAGTACATAATTCGTTAGTACATAAACCCCGTTAGTACATAACATTTCTCCGTACCCGCATGCCACCTACCTCAATAGTACATAATTTGTTTGTCTTTTGGCCTTCCAGCGGAGGCACATCGTGTTCTAGTTTCTACTTGTGGAGCTCAGAAGTCAGAGCGCACATCACAAACCGACAAAGCTCTGTTTTTTCCGAGTGACTGTACCGGCACGGCTGGGCGTGCATCATGTTAACTGTAGAATCTTCGCTGACTGTGACCGTTATAACATAATTTTTATGTTATATCGAGGGAATCAAGAATATCTCCCTGACTAGTCATGGTAGCAAGAAACACTCAGAAAAGTTGAAAAAAGTGAAATTTTCTGGTACACAAGCACGTTATGTACACTTTCGTTTAGTACATTAACCCCGTTAATACATAACATTTGTCAAGCCCCAGAGATTACGTATTAACGAGGGACGACCTGTACTATTGCGCACATTGAAATCCGGTGGAATGACCGGGGCTAGCTGGCACCACACACTTTAGTTCACCTACCCACCGTAGATATGGATCAGCAGTGCTCACGGCTGCAAGGCCAGCGCCCCGTGGCCGCTTGGCTTCTCAACGGATTATAATGTCCACAACAGTAGATCTAGCTCTTCCGGCTGCATTCTGTGTGTGTATGTATGTGTGTGTGTGTGTGTATGTGTGTGTGTGTACACGTGCAAGACATCCACCGTGAGCCTCACCTCCTGCATCTTTCTTGTTGGCCGAATTCCATGTTAGCTTTGTGAGATCTGCGACAGTGACAAGGACAAAAGCAGGTACACCCAGGCGCGTACATACATGTACACATGGACAGACATACAACCGAGAACGATAGCAGCATTAGAAGCAATCATCGCACAAGTATCCAGAACTTGAAGCTTATTTCCCACATGCAACATGGGCATGCAGAGAATTATGGGGGGGGGCACCCACTTGTACCCCCCCCCCCCACCCCCCAGCTTGATGACTTGCCCAAGCAAGGACCAATGGGACCACTCAGTGTTGACCGCACCACATCTGTGCCGGTGTTGTTACCACCAAAGAATGGGCCCCAGCTTTATTAGGCTTGTCAGTGTCGAGTTTACAGCCCTTGAGAACACTACACTGAGAGTGCCTCTGCAGGCATCAGAACTGTACCAACCGCACAGACAAGCATGCATGCGGAAAGAGAAGTGCCAAAAAGTGCCAAAAGCCCGTACTCTCCCCATTGTTCCAGTCGTAAAACCTCAAGTACATCATGTGGTATCCTCTACCTAGTACAGACTACAGGCCAGCTGAAGGAAAGCACATCATGCGGCCCAGTACTACTAGTATGTCATGCTGTCCAACCGTCCTGATTTCAGCAGGACAGTCCTGCTTTGGACCAAAACATTTGTGTACATTTACATGGGAGACAATTGCCTTGGTATACATTTTCTATAGGTGTCCTGCTTTGGAAAGGTGGCAAGGTTGGACAGTCTGGTATGTAGCTACAAGGAGCCTCAATCAGGGATTCAAAATGCAGCTGCAGCACTTTGCATGAGTGGCAGAGAAAGCACCCAATGCTGAGTGTAGACACTAGTACAAGTGTCTACACAATATCGGCATTGGGTGCCTTCTCTATGTGCTCCTGATACCAAGAGACAGTGTCAAGCCCCAAATGCCTAGTTTGGGACCATGGTCAAGAATTCAGAATTCATGTGTATGTGGATCTACATCGCAGCATGGACTCCTATACTATAGAATAATTATACAATGTCATGTAGTATAGTTTGGTATCATGCCGATTCATGCCCATGGTCAAGAATTCATGTCTACATGTATGTAGATCGCAGCATAGACTCCTGCCCCCTGGCCATGCAAGATTTGCATAAGTCATAACGACGCAGCTGGATACCATGCACGCGGCACAAGACCGCTGTCCGGAGACTTTCACGGATTCCTACTCAAGCAAGAACTCTAGGCTCTTGGACAAATTTCCAATGCCATTGTGTACCTTTGGAAATGCTGAAGTCCCTGAAGTGAGGTTTGCCCTGTTGCAAAACACAAAGAGCAGCAGGGTGTTCAGAGTTGGTCACCAGTGCTTTGCGTCAGGTGGCGGGTTGCCGAAGTCTTCCCACTTACATTGCGCACGGCTTTGAGCAAAGTAGCTCCATTGACCAGCTCAGCTAGGGCAAGCACAGCCGGGTCCTCACTTGCCAACTCCTTTTTCATTTGAATCGACGGCCCCTGCCGAGCGGACATGACGACCGCGATTCATAACAGGCCTGCCGACACACTCTGGAGGTCTTGTCGCAAGCTAGGCGACGATCAAATGTACAGAAAAACTCACAGTGCTCGCACTTTCCAAACAACAAAACTGGTCACCAGACAGTTCTTGGCAAACTCAATTTTGTCATAAAACTGAAGACCTACAACAGTACAACCACGAAACTGGTCTCCGGCTTGAGCAGAAACAACCACACTTGCCAGCCAAACGTGCCAATGCGGAAGCCGCCAAGGCTACTTTTCGTGCTTGTCCAGCATCTGGCTATCTGCTAGGTGCGCTTGCGAAGCACCCGAACACCGGTAGTTTGCCGGTTGCATACAGACTCGGTAGATCGGGTCTACCTGTCCTTAGCTTTTACCGTACTGTTTTACCTACAGTACAGCGGCCTCACGAGTCACGTGAACCCATCAACGACGTCACGATCACGGCGTGTCGTAGATTTGTATCGCCGGATCAGCGGATCTTGCGTGTGTTGTACGGTACGCGGTGTCGATCTATGCGGGGGGCCACGTGCCTACGCATCAAAATCGTGCAGCTAAAAAAGTGAACATGAAAGCAATGCAGATTCAAAAAGATCTCTTTTGTTCAAGGCAGAATATGGACTAAAATTATAGTATAGTTTCCTAAAACAAAAAAGTATTTGAAGAGTTCAGATCTGTCAGTGGTGTGCTGTGATGGCGGAAGCGTCTTCAGTACGTAAGAGAAAGGATGAAAAAAGGAGCAAGAGACCGACTGGCTCTGGTTCGAAACAGTCCGGTTCGAAGAAGACTGGACTTCCCAACTCCAAACAGTTCGACCGTCTCTACTTGGTAGCTGTAATTGCACTAGGTGCGAAGGTGTTCACATATTGCATGACTGCAAACAAATGATCATTGAGAATATAAGACACAATACTGGAGTGTGCAAAACTGTTTCAGCTCTAGAAACTAATATTTCGGATTTGCAAGTGAAATTTCGCCAAAATTCCAATTGTCTGTTTTAGAAGAAGGTCCTGTGCATGTGGTGTGCCCAGGGTGCACAATGGTCTGGCAAGTTATGTAAAACTGTAATAGAATTGTAAAACAGAATGCATCTACTATGTCCTGGTGAGAGTTGTTTTGAAAATGTGGTCTTGTTTCTGTAGCTTTGGGAGCCTCCTATGCCCATTACCGGCACATATCGCAATTGTTTGAGAATGACCGGTTTTTCTCGCACCTCTCATCGCTGGAGCGACAGATGTCATTCCGTACGGAAATGGTATGTTCACCGGGGGGGGGGAGGGGCACGGCCTATTTCCTAGTTCCATTCCAATGTAATCACCAGGGCAGGCTTGTCCGAATGTATCACCTCTTGCCTAGCCACAGTAAACAAAGCGTGTAGAATTGCTCTCTCAAGATATGCAAACTGCAAAGCATGCACATGCACACTGCACTGTACTGGGCAAGACGTGGAATTTATCCTTTTTCAGCCTGATGAAATGTACAGTGGCATGTCCGTTAGCCGGCACCCTCAGGACCGCACGTTGTCGGATGAATGAATATTCTGGATAACTGAAGCTACATAGCCGCCTTGTGTTCTTACACTAGAAAAAGAGGGCTGTGGGGAGTCTGCAAGGCATGATTCTACCTATACTATCAGCCCGAGTCATTCATCATGGTCATCTATATTTCTGTATCGACTCACGTGTATGTAGTGTTACATAATGACAAGGTTCTTCATACATGTGCTCACTGTCTGCTTTTAATTGAAGTAGGACCATCGCAGATTGAGAAGTAGGACCATCGCAGATTGAGAAGTAGGACCATCGCAGATTGAGAAGTAGGACCATCGGAGATTGAGAAGTAGGACCATCGCAGATTGAGAAGTAGGACCATCGCAGATTGAGAAGTAGGACCATCGCAGATTGAGAAGTAGGACCATCGCAGATTGAGAAGTAGGACCATCGCAGATTGAGAAGTAGGACCATCGCAGATTGAGAAGTAGGACCATCGCAGATTGAGAAGTAGGACCATCGCAGATTGAGAAGTAGGACCATCGCAGATTGAGAAGTAGGACCATCGCAGATTGAGAAGTAGGACCATCGCAGATTGAGAAGTAGGACCATCGCAGATTGAGAAGTAGGACCATCGCAGATTGAGAAGTAGGACCATCGCAGATTGAGAAGTAGGACCATCGCAGATTGAGAAGTAGGACCATCGCAGATTGAGAAGTAGGACCATCGCAGATTGAGAAGTAGGACCATCGCAGATTGAGAAGTAGGACCATCGCAGATTGAGAAGTAGGACCATCGCAGATTGAGAAGTAGGACCATCGCAGATTGAGAAGTAGGACCATCGCAGATTGAGAAGTAGGACCATCGCAGATTGAGAAGTAGGACCATCGCAGATTGAGAAGTAGGACCATCGCAGATTGAGAAGTAGGACCATCGCAGATTGAGAAGTAGGACCATCGCAGATTGAGAAGTAGGACCATCGCAGATTGAGAAGTAGGACCATCGCAGATTGAGAAGTAGGACCATCGCAGATTGAGAAGTAGGACCATCGCAGATTGAGAAGTAGGACCATCGCAGATTGAGAAGTAGGACCATCGCAGATTGAGAAGTAGGACCATCGCAGATTGAGAAGTAGGACCATCGCAGATTGAGAAGTAGGACCATCGCAGATTGAGAAGTAGGACCATCGCAGATTGAGAAGTAGGACCATCGCAGATTGAGAAGTAGGACCATCGCAGATTGAGAAGTAGGACCATCGCAGATTGAGAAGTAGGACCATCGCAGATTGAGAAGTAGGACCATCGCAGATTGAGAAGTAGGACCATCGCAGATTGAGAAGTAGGACCATCGCAGATTGAGAAGTAGGACCATCGCAGATTGAGAAGTAGGACCATCGCAGATTGAGAAGTAGGACCATCGCAGATTGAGAAGTAGGACCATCGCAGATTGAGAAGTAGGACCATCGCAGATTGAGAAGTAGGACCATCGCAGATTGAGAAGTAGGACCATCGCAGATTGAGAAGTAGGACCATCGCAGATTGAGAAGTAGGACCATCGCAGATTGAGAAGTAGGACCATCGCAGATTGAGAAGTAGGACCATCGCAGATTGAGAAGTAGGACCATCGCAGATTGAGAAGTAGGACCATCGCAGATTGAGAAGTAGGACCATCGCAGATTGAGAAGTAGGACCATCGCAGATTGAGAAGTAGGACCATCGCAGATTGAGAAGTAGGACCATCGCAGATTGAGAAGTAGGACCATCGCAGATTGAGAAGTAGGACCATCGCAGATTGAGAAGTAGGACCATCGCAGATTGAGAAGTAGGACCATCGCAGATTGAGAAGTAGGACCATCGCAGATTGAGAAGTAGGACCATCGCAGATTGAGAAGTAGGACCATCGCAGATTGAGAAGTAGGACCATCGCAGATTGAGAAGTAGGACCATCGCAGATTGAGAAGTAGGACCATCGCAGATTGAGAAGTAGGACCATCGCAGATTGAGAAGTAGGACCATCGCAGATTGAGAAGTAGGACCATCGCAGATTGAGAAGTAGGACCATCGCAGATTGAGAAGTAGGACCATCGCAGATTGAGAAGTAGGACCATCGCAGATTGAGAAGTAGGACCATCGCAGATTGAGAAGTAGGACCATCGCAGATTGAGAAGTAGGACCATCGCAGATTGAGAAGTAGGACCATCGCAGATTGAGAAGTAGGACCATCGCAGATTGAGAAGTAGGACCATCGCAGATTGAGAAGTAGGACCATCGCAGATTGAGAAGTAGGACCATCGCAGATTGAGAAGTAGGACCATCGCAGATTGAGAAGTAGGACCATCGCAGATTGAGAAGTAGGACCATCGCAGATTGAGAAGTAGGACCATCGCAGATTGAGAAGTAGGACCATCGCAGATTGAGAAGTAGGACCATCGCAGATTGAGAAGTAGGACCATCGCAGATTGAGAAGTAGGACCATCGCAGATTGAGAAGTAGGACCATCGCAGATTGAGAAGTAGGACCATCGCAGATTGAGAAGTAGGACCATCGCAGATTGAGAAGTAGGACCATCGCAGATTGAGAAGTAGGACCATCGCAGATTGAGAAGTAGGACCATCGCAGATTGAGAAGTAGGACCATCGCAGATTGAGAAGTAGGACCATCGCAGATTGAGAAGTAGGACCATCGCAGATTGAGAAGTAGGACCATCGCAGATTGAGAAGTAGGACCATCGCAGATTGAGAAGTAGGACCATCGCAGATTGAGAAGTAGGACCATCGCAGATTGAGAAGTAGGACCATCGCAGATTGAGAAGTAGGACCATCGCAGATTGAGAAGTAGGACCATCGCAGATTGAGAAGTAGGACCATCGCAGATTGAGAAGTAGGACCATCGCAGATTGAGAAGTAGGACCATCGCAGATTGAGAAGTAGGACCATCGCAGATTGAGAAGTAGGACCATCGCAGATTGAGAAGTAGGACCATCGCAGATTGAGAAGTAGGACCATCGCAGATTGAGAAGTAGGACCATAAATATACAATGTACAACCCCTTCCAGTGTGCTGTTGGATAAGCGACACACTGGATGACTGAAGGTCAAGCTTCCTAGCTGGCTCCCTTGCCAGAGAGAGCCCTTGTTAGATTCTCTATAAGTTCTCTAGTTTGTATCTCAAGTCGTTGTTGATTGAGTAGAGGCCTTGCTAGAGAACAGTTAGGTTTTGCTCTTTGTTCATCCCTAGTTTCTTTTGGAGTTCGAACAGCTCAGATCTCTGTGTGCAGACTGTGTGTGAGAACGGGGAACTAGTATTTGTGAAAGGGTCGGGCTTGCGCCTTCCGAACAGTCAGATCAGCGACATTCAACTGTAATTGCCAATAAACTGCCCCAGAATTGATTCCCAAAGAAAATAATTGCTAGCGAATATTCTTCCTACCTACAGCAACTACAGCGCCTCTAGTATCAGTGCCCATGCTTCTGTCAGCCATGACTTGACAATGCCCAATGGTGATACATGAGACCATGCATGTCTCTACTATTCCCCGATCACTGGTGGAGTCCTGAAGGCTGAAACCCTGATCGCTACAGTAGTGACATGTGCAGCACTGAGCCAGGTGTCCTCGCCGGAACAATTGTACGACATTCTCTGCCATGCATGCGTTCCCATGCTCGCCCTCCTCTCATTCTCATCTTGTTGTGGATCTCTGTCCAGGGACTATACTATTCGTACTACAAAACTCTCATCGACGCACCCAGCATCCCGGCCGGGTTGAATAGCATCCTGCACGATAACGTCACCGAATTTCCGTCTACCATAAACGTCCTCAAGAGATTCAACCTGTACCCAGAGGTAGGGCAAGAGTGTGTCTTTTAATTTGTTTCTTCCTTTTCACGATTTCACGACATATCTGATTCTTTTTGACTTTGTGCATGCATCTACACAGTCCGCACTCTAGTGTAAAAGGCCGTAGAGAGAGATTCTTAACCGAACATTTTCCGTTCCCTTCTTAGTAGGGGTCAAACGGGTGTACCGGGTACCCGGGTACTCGCCCGTTAATCTCAGGTACCGTTAGTAAAAGGGTACCCGTTTGTAAAAAAAAAAAAAAAAAAAAAAAAAAAAAAAAAAAAGTGATCCTATCGTATTCCAAGACTCAAAATAGGAGTGCGGATACTCTTTTCCTTTTTCCTGTGCATTCCCGCTTTCGACTTTATCAGGCAGGAGCAGGCTGAAAGACAGACTTGACAGTTGTTCTCTCCACTCTAGTGCAAGTAAAAATCCTCGTACTGGAGGTTTTTGATTGTGATGTGAGAAAATGCAAGACTTGAAACTCGTTCGAGGTGGCAGCTGAGTAACTAGAAAGTTACGATGGTTCTCCGACATCGAACCTGCCAGATGAACTAGTGTCACCAGGCTGAGTGACCAGTCGGAGTGTCACAAACGGTGATGTCCGTAGGTGGTAGCTACATGTATGATACTCATGGTTGTAGTTTGTTCCTTCAATCGACGAGCTGAAAAGTAGTTCGAAATATTGCATACAAGATTACGGACTTGTGAAGATTCATTTCACGAGTTCAACAAGCTAGCACTAGCAGCTAGCTGGCCAGCAGCACATCAGCTGTGTCAGGCACCCCAGCTAGCTATGGGCGCGAACATCTTCTGAATGCAACGAGTACCAGTTCTCTGCGAACACAGCAAATAGGATTGCGCGAGATCACGGAAGTTTTGTAAAACCACTCTGTCCTTGCATGGCTTGAATCACATCGATTTGCAGTTGATTTGCGTGCATGTATCAAAATACATGTAGCTTGTAGGACCATCTACATGTACGATTGTAAGTTACTGCCTGTGAAGTTATGTACATGGGCAAATGCACGGGTGACATTCATTTGGAACCTTCATTGCCATAATACTATTTTAATATTAAAATGATACACGAATCAATTCCGAATCATAATTGTACCTGAGAATATACAAATTAAAATCATGATTTATGTGAGAAATGCGCAAAAAAATAATATGGCTGCTAAAGGGTACCCGTTAACCCGCCCGTTAAGAAAATTACCCGTTCGTTAGTTAAAGGTACACCCGTTTGACCCCTACTTCTTAGCATAGGCTCATGCAGAGAGTAAAGCGAGATGGCTGTGACAGCAACTCCTACGGGCAAAGGGTAGAGGGAAGTACACCATCACAATGAAAGTGTGAAGCAACTACAGTAAAACCTGTAACTAAAGACCACCGTGACTAGCGACCAGCCTGGTACTATAGACCACTTCGCCTGGCATGGATGGTCTCACATTCATTATGGTTGTGCGGTGCAAACCTCTAACTAAGGACCACCTGCCACTACAGACCGCTTTCCCTGGCCTCAAGGGGTGGTCATTAGTCACAGGTTTTACTGTATTGTATCAGGTCAAAAACAGCGTGAAGATGAAAATGTCAAAGTGACACTGACACGCTGAACGTATCAATGAAGCTTTATTCTTAGCACTATCGCGGAGACTATCGCCAAACAGCTGAACAAAAGGGTCAGTACATTTCCTTTTGAACACATAGCTCAGGGGGCAAATTACAAATGTGGTATGCCTCTGAAAACAGCCTAATGAAACTTAGATCTAGCACGAACATTATTGCAGTCAACCGTGCGAATAACGATGCTCTATCGGCCATGGGGAAAGTGTTGTTATTCGCAAAGTTAGAAAAGTATGCAGTCAAGTGGTTACTTGCTCAGAATAAACTGTGTTGTTATTCATGAGTTGTTCTTACCCTACTTCCCCACATAAAAGCGAAAATTTGCTGCAAAAAGTTTTTTTTGCTGTGTAAACATGTCCGGGTAGAAGCCCATGCGCTTATATGTGCAATTAAGGTTTGTCTGTGTCCTAAACAACGGTGTTATCACCATGCTTAGTAGTATATTCAGCTGCCAGGTGTTTCACCAACCGTGTTCACATATATTAAAGCGCATGCGCTTATATTTGGGGGGGGGGGGGGGGGGTGCGCTCATGTGCGGTCATAAGCCCGTGTGCTTATATGTGCGGAAGTACGGTATATCTGTGGTTGTCATTCGCAAGGTTGACTGTACGAGTTAATTCACTTCTTTGTGCATAGTGGTATGAATTCAACTAAATGAAGTCATCACTACTTTAAAATGTAACAAGCACATGAAACTACTTATGGAAATGGAAGGGGGATTTTGAGTGCTACTTAGGGTGTGACTACTAGTCCATAACAAGAGCTGTGGAAGAAAATATCCATTAGTTAGAGGGAGTTGCAAACGGGGAAAGTCTGAAGAAAAAATTGACTGCCACCGCCAGGACTTGAATCAGGGACCCTTGCTCATGGACGGCGATGCTCTACCACTAAGCTATGGTGTAGTCGTCATTCAAGAAATTATTATTATCATTGTTCACACATATCCGCCGGATGAGTGCACGCGGTCTATGCAATATAGGGGTTCACGGATGCAGACCAGCGTAGGTTCCCTCAGTAGTACAGGCAAGCAGAGAGAAGTGAAGACATGGGTAACGAAAACAGTTGCAAAGTGCAGCCGAGGATCGTGTGCATGCATACCGGTACAAGAACAAACACAGCAGTGGACAGCACAACAGCACCCCAATGTCAACATCTAAACACACTATGTAGTGGCATGTAAATGTCGGAATAGCAGATTCCGTGCATTTTTAAAATTATTGGATTGAATACGTAAATAATTAATTGCGAAAATGGTGGCTTCATGAATGTCAAGAAAAGCAGTACGAACAACCAGACTATCGAGAAACTACATCATCATCATCTGTATGACAAGCAGTGGCAAAGTATTCATGAAGTTCATGCAATAGGGTGATGGTGATGCACCTAGTGTGTCAGTTTGTCTCTGATCACCCAGCCTGCTTGATCGAAATCCTCATTGGGGCGGATCATTTGGCCTAGGGTGGTAGGCATTGAAGATTGCTTCATCTACCAGCCAGGAGCACTCCACGGGACAGTTCCAACGTTCTATGTCGGTTGTGCACTGCACAGTTATCTAGACGCAATCAAGCAATACGCAATCAAGCCTGGCGACGACACGTCTAGTCCACTCTTCACCATTGTTGTATCTGAATGTTTTTGTGGTGATGGTAACCACGTTGACTGTCCCTCCTTCAACCAGCTCTCTGCTGATCACGACCACCTCGTCGTATCCTAGTAGTTGTTGGTGTACAGGCCCTTGCTGCTCCTGCTGCTGCTCGTCCTCCTCCTCATCGCTGCTGATGATCACTGGGATGACGGCATCATCATTTCCCGAATCCAGTCCGCTGTCTCGTGCTTCAGCCATCTTCTTCCGCCATATAGTACATCACAGTCCAGCAGATACACAAACACACACACAAATATGTTCCACGAGGAGCTGTACGACGCTCCGTGTTCAGTGTTCAACCACTCTTAATCATTGATCTTTCGTCGCAATCGGCAAGTAGAGAATGTGGCTGCATCACCAGCTGAACCTTGCCGGCCCGACGCTGACATTAATGAACATCCCTCAGGCATCCACTGTGCCAAGTAGAGTGATGGCGCAGTGCTGGAGCGTTTAGACGAGCAATGCGCTTCCTGTGCCGTATCCCTTTGAGGTGGTCAGCGGGTGGTGCTACGCCCGTCATCATACCTTCACAAGCTTGACAAGTAAAATTCAACTTGATTGTCGGTATGAAAAAGATTCTAAAACTGCTGAACACAACACACACCAAGAGAGAGGACAGAAAGCACCAGTGGCAGTGGCGTGTGTTGACGAAGTGAGAGATGAGCTTTTTATAGCACCAATATCTGTCAGCAAAGTTTGCATTTTGACTTTCTGATCTTGGCAAATGTGCCGTCGATTGCTCCAGTGCCCCTTTCCAAGCAGCACTGGCCTTTAAACTCTGCCGTTGTTCACTTCAATTCTTTACCCTCCGGAAACCCAATGACCTGTTTCACTATTTCCTTCCGCAACACTGAGATGGTGTTGCGGACTATCAAGAGAACCCTGCCACCAGTAGACTTTCCCACTGCATACATTCTTGCTAGCTCACCACTGCATACATTCTTGCTAGCTCACTGAATCTGACGGAGTGGCTGAGCCAATGCAGTGTTATTGCAAGCCTTTTGCCACTCTGTACCAAACACCGCCACTTGGTGTGTTGTTTGGCCAGGTGTGCTCCACACTGCTCGTGCAGTCGTTTAAACTCCACCTTTCCACATCTCAGGTGGTTGGTATATTGGTCGTTCTCAAAATCTGGAACTCTCCACTGGATCGACATATGCCTGTAGTTACTCATAAAGTCATTCTCCCATATCCCTTGCCCTCTTATTGCAGCCCAAAACCGACAGGACCGTCTGCCGAAAGCAAGTGCTTGGATATCAGGGCTTCCAAGAGTTGCTATCATCAGCAACGCTGGTGATAGAGGAGTTCCACCTTGCGGCACTGAGCTACGGAATGGCCTGGTGATACACACTCTACTGTGATGGACCTGCTGATTATACATAAAGAGGAAGTAAACAAGAGAAGAGTAGCAGAAATCACAAAAGCTTTTTTTGTGCCGACGGTCATCTCTCCAAAGCACCGTCTATGGCAAAAGAAAAATAGATGACTACTTCACAACTATGACAGTAGAAAATAATCTCCTTCCTCCCTTGATCGACTGTTGGATGTTCAATTATCGCCGAAGTCGCACCAACCTCTTCTTCACATTATAGAAACAATTTGGAACAACTATTCATTCCCGTCAGGATGCACGTGGAACTCAAGCCACACATACCCAAAACGATACTATGAGCTACCATTGATCTGCCATACTGGTGACACGTTGTACTGTATCACCCAAATGTCTCACACTTTCGCCGAAAGTAGGAGATTGCTCTGCCTGTACCGTATTTCCCCGAATGCAGGCCGCACCTTTTTACACTTAACTTCAAGGGCAAGGAAGGGGGTGCGACGTACAATCGAGTGTGACTTCTTGCTTCGAAGTACTTATGTGAATGTATTGAAACGATATGGCTCGGACCTGAAAATGGGTTGCTACTTGTAATCAAATGCGTCTTATAATCAGGGAAATACGGTATGTGTGGCCGTACACATGCGGCTCCGCTGGAGAGGCAAAAGTCTCACTGCCGAAGCGGAACCCCTGTGCATGTGTGACCGGGCCCTTATGTCCAGGAGCCAGTGTGGGGAAGCAAAGGTAATGAGCCGCATAGGACACAAAGGGCCGCCAGTTATTATGTTGAGCTCTTTGAAACAAGAGATCTCTATCAACTCCCGTCCCTGCTACTTCGAAGGATGTTTTCTGGGGAGCTGCTCGGTTGTAAGTCGTCACCACTGACATGTAATTGACTGTTTTCCTCAGCTCTTGTTCAATGCACTGTTGTTGTGTCTGTTACTACGCGTTTGCCTGTGCATGTGTGTGTGTGTGTGTGTGTGTGTGTGTGTGTGTGTGTGTGTGTGTGTGTGTGTGTGTGTGTGTGTGTGTGTGTGTGTGTGTGTGTGTACGGCAGCTTGCACTCGGTGTTGGCTTTCGCCTGTACACTGGGTTTCTCAACTCAATGCAATGGTCAGGCAAGTCTTGCTTCAAGATCACCAGAGGACACAATCAACCACCGGTTGAATCATGTGAAGGTACGTGTACAACGATGGAGAAGTGGGGCGTATCAATTCCCACCCTGGAACAATGTACATGACTGTATGTGTGAATGTTGCCTCCCTGTTGGTGCGTGATGCCAGGCTAGCAGAACCACGCACAGGGTTCGTAGCGCCCTCGAAAACCCTGAAAATTTACTTTCCCCCAGGAATTCCCTGAAATCCCCTCAAATTTTGTATTTTTAACTTGCTATTTTATTTTTAAAAATGTCCCTTGAATCCCCTGACATTTGTTTTCCAGGTGATGTGACTGACACAGCATGCAATCAATTTAAATGCTTGCAACTTACAAGCTGAGTGCATGTACAGTGTTTGCCGCAGGCGTGGAGAAATGCGCATGCGTGCCTGACTACCGCTTGCCAGATGGTGCTTGATGATACCGCTGAAGTTTGTCCAAGGTGCATGCACACACGTGCACGCACACACTTACACACACACGCGCGCGCGCGCGCGTGTGCACACACACACACGTTCACAACGGGCCGTATGCACTGAAGTTAGTTTTTGTACATTACACATGCATTGGTTTGGTGAATTGCTTGCAGGAATGGCTGATGAAGCGTACTTCTATGTCACGCCAATCTTCGCTCTCAACGGTCTTTATGTTGGTGTTCTTTTCCTAATGTGCTGGTACCTTGGGTAAGAGCATTGTGTCAGGATTTTATTGTCTTCCCTGTCTCTCCTTCCCTCCTCTTTGGCTTTGTTTTCACCTTTTCAGTTTTGTTATGCCTGCTACTGATCTGTCTTCAAAACTCTGTACGTCTCAATGTCCCTCTCTCTTTTCTCTCTCTCTCTCTCTCTCTCTCTCTCTCTCTCTCTCTCTCTCTCTCTCTCTCTCTCTCTCTCTCTCTCTCTCTCTCTCTCTCTCTCTCTCCCACGCACTGAAGTACGCACGAACACATTCAGCACTGGGATGAAAGTCGATATCCTTGCAATGACTGAGCTTGCTAGATTGAACCCAGCACCATCTACGGTGACTCCTGATGTATCGAACACCAGTGTGCGGGAGATTTGTTTCTTTATAGCCAAACTTCTCTGTAACAGAAATGCACTCATTCCTTACGAGCAACACACCATACAGCCCGTGATGGCATGCTACAACAACATTTGGTTTGCTTTTTAAATTATTATTATTATGGGGGTGGCTTTATTGGTTTTGTGTTTGTATTATGCAGCATCCCGGGTCATTTAAGACCATGGGGAGTACTGCTGTTGTATGTGAAGAAAATGTAATAAGGAAGACTGAGAAAAAAGAAAGAAAAAAGAGAGAAATACTGTGAACAGCAAATCTACAATGATGCATGTACAATCTATTATACAATTAACGCACTCTCCACATACAGGCATGCACCCGGCTCAGAACACATTGTTTTCTGGTTGGCATATCAGGGATATTGGGCGGAGCAGCTGGCGTGCATGAGAAAGACAGGTCGGCCTGCTCTGCGCAGGAGCTGTGACCCGGTGCACACATAGTGTGTGTGAGAGAGAGACAGACAGGTCGGCCTGCTCTGCGCAGGAGCTGTGACCTGGAGCACACAGAGTGTGAACGAGAGACGGTCGGCCTGCCGTGGGCAGGAGCTGCGACCGGTAGTGATTGAAATGAGCCAGCTGCGGAGATAGACTGCCCTCACCCGATATAAGTATATTGACAAGAGTTGTACTGACACTGTTATTGAGGAAATTATGGTGACAGTGACGGAGAGATAGTGATCCCCAGTCGAATGGGGTTGGGAGGGAAGGGGAAATTGACACTGACGGACAAACCAGTGAACAGTCAAGTCGTCAGAAAGCAAAAGTGACAAAGGAGTCTCTCTTTTCTCCTTCTCTCTCTCTAAAGCAAGATTTGGAATGCATGCGTGGGAGAGTGGCGCGCGCTGCGCATGCGCATGTATAGCAATGACATCATAATCAGATGCATGATCATCAGACTAAGTATGAGTGGTAGATGTTCCACGTTCGTTAACAGGGCTTAGCGCACACGCTAAACCACCACTAATCTGCGAGAATGAGACTTAACACAAGCAGGTACAGTAATAGCAAGAGAGCTAAATCAGAAAACAAAATCCGTTGAAAAGTAACCGTCATCAAATCTGAAATCGAGCCCTTCAGCGACACAATAGCACTGAAGGCAGCAATATAATTCTTCTCATTCAACATCAGTGAAGCACCGTCAAAACCGGTGAATGGGGGCTGATGGTATTATTGTTGTCTTTGTTATTGGCAAGTGATTAATATTACGATCATAACATTATTATTTTCTGCAAATAGATGCTTCAACTAATAGCAGCAACCATAACCATGGGCATTCGCAAACCAATGTAACTTATTAGAGTGTAATTATTATTTCATCTGAGTTATTGACCTGATGATGTCAACTGTGCCAAGGAGCGCCTCCTTTTGCAAGATCGATACACTGGCTCCGGCATCCAGTTCCCTCACAAAGTCAGCAGTCGAGGGGGTTAATCCACCTAATGCCCCCACAATTACTGGCACGATCTTGGCCCGCACCTGCCACATCTGCTCCACCTCACGCTTCAGGCCTTGATATTTCTGTATCTTTTCCACAGATTTTCGGCGGATGTTCCTATTATTATTATTATTTAATGATTTTTTGCGCACGCGCAAAAATATGTTAACACAGAAGGCGCATGCTCTGTTCCCAACAAACTCTCACACGCTCATTGTTCTCCGAAGTCCACTGTTCCTGACTTCAGTTCTTGCTTTGTCCGCATTGGCAGTGGATTTCAATTTGCACAGGTAATAAACTATAGGTGAGGTGAGAAATGATAGGAAATTCAGCAAGTGCAGTGTGACAATGGACATGCATGTGTAAGTGTGTGTGAGTGCGAATTTACTGGAATAGCGTAAGTGCGGTGACATTTTCTTTTTGTTTACAAAGATTTGGATCACGAATGCGAATGTAGACTGCTTCTAGAACTTTCAACTGCTTGAAACTACTTGCAGAACGAACAACACTGAACCAAGAATCATCATAACTTTCACGACACACGGGGTTAGACAACAAATGCAATTTAATTGCCGATGTATTCTTCTTCTTCTCACCGCCTCCGCCTTCACTTGGTTTCTGACCGCCACCGTCCTTCACACCATCTGCACCATCATCGTCATCATCGTCACCGTCCTCTTCATCATCGCTGCCACCTTCACCTGTCGTCGGCTCTCCCAGCAACTGACCACCGGGTTCATCATCGTCACTGCACACGTCGCTTCCACACTCCTCCTCCAGCTGCCGTCGCGTTCTCTTCCTGACCGGTCTTCCCTTGCCATTGCCAAACGCCTGACAGTCGTCAACTCTTCCGCTGGCATCATCCATATCCGGAGAGTTTCGATGCATCTTTCCAGTCACCTCTGCAAACCGAGCTGCCGCCAGCCGTTTGCTCCTTCTCAGCTTTGGTGAGTTGCGGTTGTCTGCGTCCGGCGTTCCGGTACTCGCTGATAATGAAGATAAGACACAGTGTTCGTCTTTGTTTACATTAATGTTTGTTCCCAATTTCTGCGTGCTGTGTTGGTTTTTCCGAGACACCGTTTGTGGAGCAGAAGCCTCTGCCGGAACGGACAGTGGAGTTGGGTGCTTACGTGGTCGGCCACGCTTTGGTCGGGAGGACCTAGCCGCCTGTGACAATATTGAGAGCGGCACGTGTTGTTTGATACGTTCGGACAGATGTTGAAGGGTCCTACCAACATACCGACTACCACATTGTCGGCATTCAAAGTAGTAAATGAGGTGACTCAATTGTAGGGTTGGTAGGACATCCTTCAACATCGTGAACGAACGGATCGTAGTGAACACGGTAACCACATTGGTGGCAAAGTAGGTTTTCTCCACTAGGGATTTCACCACACGGGCCGTGTCCTTCGATTCTTTCCCTTTCCAGGGCAAGCAAAGAAATACGCGGCACGGCAACGGTCCGATAGCTCGTTCCTTAACAACAGGTGTAGTTGTTAGAAGTTTGTCGAGGAGCTGCTGCGGGTAGCCATTCTTCACAAATACGGAGCGTAGAAAATCAAGTTCCTGTTGTAGCTTTGTTGGTGAACAAATGCGTTGTGCCTTATTTACAAGGTTACGGACTAAGTTTGACTTGTACTGGGAAGAGCAGAACGAGTCAAACATCATGCACTGCCCGGTGAAAGTGGGTTTACGGTATACTGTAGTCAATACACCAGTCTGGGTCTTTTCGACTAACACATCCAGAAACGATAGCTTATTGGACTCTTCATGTTCACACGTAAATCTCAGTGCAGGATGGATTGTATTCAGTTTCAGCAGAAAGTCGTCAGCGTCTGCTCTCGAATCAAAGTACGTGAAGGAGTCATCCACAAACCTGACGTACAATTCCGGCCACTTATCTATCTTCGATTCACAGTACCCAACAAACACATTGGCTAGGACCGGACCCAATGGAGAACCCATAGCCACGCCATCCGTCTGTTTATACATGATGTCGTCAAATGAAAACTCCACACCACTCGTAACCATCAACATCAAGCGGCGAAAAGCCGCTTCGGACAGCCATGGTACATCTTTTATTTCCTTGTTGTGGTACAGTGTTTCAGCACAGATATTGATTGTCTCGGATAATGGTACGTTTGTAAACAGACTGACAACATCAAAGGAACACATGTGCGCAGAAGATGGAACTGGGTTCTCATGTAAGATTTCAACAAACTGGAAGGTGTCTTTGACGTTGTGCTTACAGTAGAAATCCAGCACTGGCTGGATCATCATACACAGCCATTTGGATATTCTGTATTCCGCTGAGCCAGTCATGGAGAGTATCGGACGTAGCGGGCAAGATTGCTTGTGAATTTTTGGCAAGCCATACATCCTAGGTCGCACCGAACCAATTGGCTTTATCCGTGCAAATTCAGATGCGAATATTTCATTTGTGTTTTTCAGTGTCTGCAGGTATTTCACTAGTTGCTTTTCTCGGATTAGAGTTCGATCGTGCGTTGATACAGGGCCAAGCAACTCAAATTTGGTCCTGTCATCCAAAATTTTGGACTTATATTCAGTTCGACTTATGACTACAGTGGCGCGGCCTTTGTCCGGTCTAGTGATGACTATATCCTTGTTCGCTTTCAATTCTGACCGGGCTTTCATGTGCTCTCTCGATAATGAAAAGGCTTTCCTATCCACCGGCTGCTCGGCATGTTCCTCTGCTACAGCACGGAGGTTAGCAGTGCATACCGCTTTCTTCGATTGTGTTACCGGCACAAACTCTTCTAGTTTGCGGTAGAATAACTCGAAGTCGGTCAGGACCTGTTCTTTCATGTTGGATTTTGGCGGTATTCCGAAGTCAGTGCCTCTGGAAAGTAATTCCTTCTGTACTGTAGTGAGTTCAATGTTTGTGAGATTGATGATGGTGTTGGTGTTAATAGATATTGAACCAAAACGCTTGTTCCTAAGCCATTTGATGTTCTTTGAATACTTAGCGATGAGTCGGGTCTGCAGTTTATCATTGTTCTCCGAAATGAGCATGGAAAAGCGGAGAAAGTCATGCTCCGAAAGAAATGCACGGGCTTGACGATACAGCCACCGGAATTGTGACCGTACTTTGCCCAAGGTATCAGTAGACCTAGCTATGTCATCTCTAATGAATGTTTTTTCGATGGCCAAAGACTGGTACGCTTTGGCTTTCTGCACTCTCTTCTGGATGGCATTAGGGCAACAAGGAAATAAAAGATGTACCATGGCTGTCCGAAGCGGCTTTTCGCCGCTTGATGTTGATGGTTACGAGTGGTGTGGAGTTTTCATTTGACGACATCATGTATAAACAGACGGATGGCGTGGCTATGGGTTCTCCATTGGGTCCGGTCCTAGCCAATGTGTTTGTTGGGTACTGTGAATCGAAGATAGATAAGTGGCCGGAATTGTACGTCAGGTTTGTGGATGACTCCTTCACGTACTTTGATTCGAGAGCAGACGCTGACGACTTTCTGCTGAAACTGAATACAATCCATCCTGCACTGAGATTTACGTGTGAACATGAAGAGTCCAATAAGCTATCGTTTCTGGATGTGTTAGTCGAAAAGACCCAGACTGGTGTATTGACTACAGTATACCGTAAACCCACTTTCACCGGGCAGTGCATGATGTTTGACTCGTTCTGCTCTTCCCAGTACAAGTCAAACTTAGTCCGTAACCTTGTAAATAAGGCACAACGCATTTGTTCACCAACAAAGCTACAACAGGAACTTGATTTTCTACGCTCCGTATTTGTGAAGAATGGCTACCCGCAGCAGCTCCTCGACAAACTTCTAACAACTACACCTGTTGTTAAGGAACGAGCTATCGGACCGTTGCCGTGCCGCGTATTTCTTTGCTTGCCCTGGAAAGGGAAAGAATCGAAGGACACGGCCCGTGTGGTGAAATCCCTAGTGGAGAAAACCTACTTTGCCACCAATGTGGTTACCGTGTTCACTACGATCCGTTCGTTCACGATGTTGAAGGATGTCCTACCAACCCTACAATTGAGTCACCTCATTTACTACTTTGAATGCCGACAATGTGGTAGTCGGTATGTTGGTAGGACCCTTCAACATCTGTCCGAACGTATCAAACAACACGTGCCGCTCTCAATATTGTCACAGGCGGCTAGGTCCTCCCGACCAAAGCGTGGCCGACCACGTAAGCACCCAACTCCACTGTCCGTTCCGGCAGAGGCTTCTGCTCCACAAACGGTGTCTCGGAAAAACCAACACAGCACGCAGAAATTGGGAACAAACATTAATGGTGGCCTGTATGTGGAGAGTGCGTTAATGTAAACAAAGACGAACACTGTGTCTTATCTTCATTATCAGCGAGTACCGGAACGCCGGACGCAGACAACCGCAACTCACCAAAGCTGAGAAGGAGCAAACGGCTGGCGGCAGCTCGGTTTGCAGAGGTGACTGGAAAGATGCATCGAAACTCTCCGGATATGGATGATGCCAGCGGAAGAGTTGACGACTGTCAGGCGTTTGGCAATGGCAAGGGAAGACCGGTCAGGAAGAGAACGCGACGGCAGCTGGAGGAGGAGTGTGGAAGCGACGTGTGCAGTGACGATGATGAACCCGGTGGTCAGTTGCTGGGAGAGCCGACGACAGGTGAAGGTGGCAGCGATGATGAAGAGGACGGTGACGATGATGACGATGATGGTGCAGATGGTGTGAAGGACGGTGGCGGTCAGAAACCAAGTGAAGGCGGAGGCGGTGAGAAGAAGAAGAATACATCGGCAATTAAATTGCATTTGTTGTCTAACCCCGTGTGTCGTGAAAGTTATGATGATTCTTGGTTCAGTGTTGTTCGTTCTGCAAGTAGTTTCAAGCAGTTGAAAGTTCTAGAAGCAGTCTACATTCGCATTCGTGATCCAAATCTTTGTAAACAAAAAGAAAATGTCACCGCACTTACGCTATTCCAGTAAATTCGCACTCACACACACTTACACATGCATGTCCATTGTCACACTGCACTTGCTGAATTTCCTATCATTTCTCACCTCACCTATAGTTTATTACCTGTGCAAATTGTTCCTAGGTTTGTGCTATTTTTCTTACTATGCTTGTATCCTCGCTGTTCCACTGCAAGTGTATAAATCCTATTGTAGTTTCATCATTGTCTTTAGTCACGAATTCCATTCATAATTGTGACAAGAAAACGTTCTGGAATACATGATTCGTCCCCATGGTTGTGATATGAGTGCGCATTTAGTTATATTCATTGCATTAATAATAATAATAATAATAATAATAATAATAATAATGGATAAGGTTTGCTCTAGCGTTTCCTTGTTCTGTGTTGTGTTGTATTCTGCTCCACAGGGGTGGAATATTCGGTGGTCTCTTCACCGTCCTATGTTTCTTCTTCAATCATGGCGAGGCTACACGAGTCATGTGGACTCCACCGCTACGTGAAAGCTTCTCTGTGCCGTTCCTTTCCATACAGATCCTCACGGTCACCTATGTCATCAAGTATGTGAGACAGTGTTTGTGTGTGTGTGTGTTTGTGTGTGTGTGTTTGTGCATGTTTGTGTGTGTGTGTGTGTGTGTGTGTGTGTGTGTGTGTGTGTGTGTGTGTGTGTGTGTGTGTGTGTGTGTGTGTGTGTGTGTGTGTGTACTAGTGTTTGGGGATTTCAGGGGGTGTTAGCCGTTGGGCAGTTCAATAGCCGATTGAGTCATCTTTCCAAGATTCCTTTTGAGTCTCTTTCCCCTCTTCCGGGGAGACCCACGTGACCAGCTTTGGCAGTGAACAAGCACAGTACAAGTACGTGTAGGTGTGTGTAAGGGGGAGGGGTTGACATGCTTGTTTATTCTGTACCCTTGTACAGATACTGTTGGTATTTTTGTGTGCTGTTATCCACCACGTGTGATCACTACTACTCTATGTGCACTGATAGCGACGGATCCTGCGCCTGTATGGGTGTGCATGTGTGTGTGGGTGGGTGCGCCCATGGGTGTATGTGTGTGGGTGGGTGTGTACATGTATGTGTGTGAGTTCGTGTGTGCATGCATGAGTGTGTGGGCGCATGCATGTGTGTGTTCATGTGTACTACGTTTGTATTCTTGTCTCAGATCTCGTACGCTGACATTGCGACACATGTTGTTATTGACAACGGCCACAGTACTGTTCATGTTGCCATGGCAGTTTGCACAGTTTGTCCTGCTCACACAGGTAAGCCACGCAACACCGGCATATTCTACTCACGTGACATGCAGCGCCGGAGTCGCTACAGCCTCTTCTTTGTGACATGCATTGTCAGCATATGCTCCTGTACTTTAGTGTTGATGGGGGCTGATAGTGCAATGATTGTGCTGATTGTGCTGATGATATTGCTGATAGTAGTGATGATAGTGTGGTGCTGTCTGCCCACACATGGTCGCAATGTAGCTGTGTAGCTTGGTTGCTTTGCTCAGATTCACACTGCTCTCTTGCACTGTACTGATATGTGTGTGTTTGTGTGTGTGTGTGTGTGTGTGTGTGTGTGTGTGTGTGTGTGTGTGTGTGTGTGTGTGTGCATGCGTGCGTGCGTGTGTATGTGTGCGTGCATGTGTGTGTGTGCGTGTGTATGTGTGTGTGTATGTGTATGCGTGCACGTGTGTGTGTGTGTGTGTGTGTGCGTGCACGTGTGTGTGTACACAACGTAGACTCTAGCTCTGTTTGGCTGCTACACGTTACGTTTCATCCCGGCCTCAAAGATGAAATTCTTCTTGATCGGCTTCTCGGTGAGTCCCTTTAACTTATTTTCCAGGGGCGTAGCAGCCGGTCCGGCCTTACCACAAAAGTGCCCAGAATGCAGGATTTTTCACCCTAAGGCCATGGTAAAAAATAAAGTTGATTCTCAGGTCATCCCACAATCGCTTGGCAAGCACAGTGGCGACAATGGAGTCTGCCAACCAGACTGGTATCATGGTCATGTAACTGTTGAAATGGGTACTCTTCCCACGAACTGTGATTCCGCCGTTCTTGCTTATTATTGATCACTTCTTGGTCATCAAGGGTGACATTGCATGCGTCTGTGCTTGACAATTGAGCAGCTATGATGTCACCAAGTCCCTGAGACGTGAGGGCCATGGCGTAGACGTAGAGGCATATTTGTTCCAGGTGCTGAAATGAGGTGGTTTGTTTCCAGAGTTGGCTTGACGACGGGGCTCTCCATGGCTCCGGCCCTGGCGCAGATGTCACTCCATCACCCGCAGAAGTAGAAGTCGTTATCTAGCAGCGATTGAGGTGTGAATGGCTGCAATGGAGTTAACAAATCATTAGAAAATGTTCTTCCTCAAAACTCAGAAAACCGCAAAGTCAACATACTGACTACAGTAAAACCTGTAACTACAGACCACCGTGACTAGCGACCAGCCTGGTACTACTGACCACTTCGCCAGGCACGGAAGGTCTCACATTCAAAATACACTGTGACTAGCTGCTGAACGCGACCAGCGACCGCCTTTTCTTGTCCCAAAGACGATGTTTGACCCGTAACTAGCGACCGCGATGTGGGGAATCAAATGTTGCTCGAAGCTCCTTCTTGAAATTTTGCTGATTTTCCATGGTCCTGAAAGGAATCTTTCGATACTACAGCTGAACAAATGAACGCAGGTAATTTTGACCGTGGAGTCGGCGTGGACTGCACTACACCTGTCAAAATTTCAAGCGCTGTCAAGAATAAACATGATAGGAAACGTCTTGGAGAGCGCATCGAAAGCGCTCTCTGATCGATGTTACTACTCGGACGATGGCATCAAGGAATCCAGAAACAAAGCAGCACCACAAGGTCCTGATGCTGAAGGATCGCGTTCAAGCAATCGAGGAATCACAACAAGGACAGTCGGTACGATTGATCGCATGAACAAATTTGAAGCCCAGCGCAAAACGAAACTTCCACAGGGAACGTTTGACTCCTGGCTTCAGAAGTAGCAGCTGAATATGATGTCTGCAAAAAATTAATCTTCTCTCTCTCTCTCTCTGTCTCTATCTCTCTCTCCGTTTCTCTCCAAGTGTTGTTTGATCTGAAATAAGAATGACATTGCGCAAGTCTTGGGGAATTGTATTAGCTGCATTTTGACATACATATCATTATAATGGGATCCATATATGGTCACGCGGTGCAAACCTCTAACTAAAGACCACCTGCTACTAACGACCGCTTTTGCTGGCACGAAGGGGTGGTCGGTAGTCACAGGTTTTACTGTATGTGTAAATGATGTAAATAGTTGTGTGATGTATGTTTGCCTCTCCATCGTACAGCTCTCACTGGCAATCAACATCGTGATGCAGTTTGCCAACGCTATGCTTGTCACGTAAGAGCGGGGTAGGACGTGGCACGTGTGTACACTACCATACGTGTAGTTTATACTGGTTACTGACTTGTGCTGACCGTGGACCTGACTGGCTGTGTGTGGCTGTGTGTGGCTGTGACTGTGGGTGTACGTTTGCCTGTGTGGCTGTGTGTATAGCTGTGTGTGGGTGTGCATTACGCCCAAAGTAACTGCCCAGGGGACCACCGACCCCCAGCCCAACGTCATTTTAGTGGAAGTAACATCATTTAGTCATGAGTTTTGTAGTCCTCTGGGACTAGTGGTTGCCGAATCAAAGTGGTCTTCTTGACCGGTTTTACTGGAGCTATCTGACTTTTGTGTAGGGTACCCTGTAGCAAGACGCACAGCCTCTGGGTTACCCTGATAAAATAATACAATACATGCACTAAACTTGAAGGTCAAGGAAGGCGGTGCGGCTTAAAATCAAGCGAATGCAACCATGTACACCGAAACGATGTGACAGTGCCCTGAAATGGGAGTGTGACGTATTAGGAAAATAATATTGTGGTAATTCTCACTGTGGAAGTGTATGGGATGGTGTATGCATGCCCTTACCGGAGCTCTCTATGGTATGGGGTGTTCATTATGCAATGGCGTATTGTACAATCTCTTACGGGAGCTCTTTACGGTGCTGGCCACAATTGTGTTTATGCGCTGTTGGTTTTCTTCAGGTCGTTCTACTTTGCTTGTCTCCTCTCTGCCTGGGTAAGTTCTACTAGTCTAGGTAGTACGTTACTAATCAGGCCTGCCAAACTGACCACGTTTGTCCGTTAATGTCCAGTAGTGGCAGCACTGTACTTGCAGCTTTCAACGCAGCAGACTGTAGTGTAACTCCACATGCTGTGTCCGTATTTCCGGAGCATAAGCCGCACTGGACTATAGTCCGCACCCAGATTTTGTTCACAATATACAGACATCAACCATTTACTTCACAGTTTACTTTACCATCAAAGTGTTAGGTACCTCCTCCCGTACCTTTTCTAGCTGGCCTGCATGCACTTGCGTACGCACCTTTTGTCTCCTTTTGCTCCGTTGGCCTGGGTAGCTACTTGCGCGCCCATATTTGCCATTACGCAAGTGCATGCAGGCCAGCTAGAAAAGGTACGGGAGGAGGTACCTAACAAAAGTATAAGCCGCGCCGACTTTTTTGGGTGAATTGCTGAGTACAACTGTGGTTTTAAATTTAGGGCTGAAACGATATGCGAATTCTGCTTAACGATAACACTTATAGCTTAGCAATCGATATAACGATGTAACGATATTTCAAGCCGGCATTTGGCTGCGTAAGGTGATTATAGTAATGTTATAGCCACCAAAATGAATTAATTATTATGAGTGGTGACGTAACACAGCTAGCATGTCATATTACTGTTCAAGCTACTATCAAGGCCCAGTGGCAGCAACTAAAGTGGAGAAAGAAGATTGAGAGTGAGTGAGTGAATGCACGAGGAAGAGAAAAATGTGAATTGAATTCATGGATAACCAAATAGTGCATTCTGATTTCTGACTCTTGACCTGAGAACTCATCATTACTCGTCATCGGAGATCTCTGCAGACAGTGATGGCAACTCTGGAAGACTCAGTTCCTCTTCCTCCAGCTCCTCGGCCAAGCTCAATGAATTAGATCCTGAGCTAGTATTCTGGTAGCGAGCCCCAGGCAATACGCTGTTGACGGCCAGGAAGATGGACGCGTCGATGTGAGCAGGGGACAAGCCATTGCGGAGCTTGGTCACCAGCCGACCAGCAGCAGAGAAGATTCTCTCAGATGGCACTGACGTCGCAGGCACAGAGAGGTATCTCCTGGCGAGAGTTGAGAGACCAGGAAAGCGGTGCTCATTCTTTCTCCACCACTCCAGGGGGCTGTCATCTACATCCAGATCATCTTCCATGAAGAACAACTCCACTTCCCTGTCTCTGAGCCGAGTTTTAGCATCATCATTGGTGGTGGATGGGGCGTCTTTGCTTGGTTGACTGCGACCAAACAGGCGGGACAGTCCACCAGACCTCTTGCGAGGTGGCTCACTTGCGCTGGTCACGGCCGCACTCTCTGCAAGCAATGACTTCACGTGATCTTTTGCTGCAGATACTTTGTCATCTAGAAACTGGAGGGACCGGAAGCGCGGGTCAAGTGCAGCACACACTACGGGCATCGACGTCGGCAACGGGCACGATACATTTGGGAATTTGCGGATCAGCTCCGACTTCAGCTTTGCAGCCACCGGCTTGGCAGCTGTTGTCAGGGGCTTCGCACGCTCACCCTCCATGACCGAAAGCAGATGGCATGTGATGGGGAAAAGTAGTGAGAGCGTCACGTACTTCTGGCCACTGATGGCGGATGTTGCGCTCTCAAAAGGCTCCAGGATGTGGACGAGCTGCTCCGCTAGCTTCCACTGGTTGTCCTTCAGCAGCAAGTCCCGGTCAGTCTGCTTGGACGTGATGCTGCTGTCGCACAGCACTGCAGTCAGCGCAACACGCAGCTTCAGGAGGCGGTCGATCATGTAATATGCGGAATTCCAGCGTGTAGGCACGTCCTGGATTACCTTCAGTGGCTGTGCATCAGCATTCAGCTGGCGCTGCTTGCTTTCCAGCGCTTCCGCAGCCAGACAGGAGTGCTTGAAATGCCCAACAAGCTTTCTACACCGGGACAGCAATTTCGCTACGACATCCAAGTCAAGGGCATGCCGAATTAAATAAAACCGTTTTATAAAGTGCGGCTTATACTCCAGAAAATGCGGTACTGTAAATATACAAAATTTCGGCGCTGCAAAATTTCGGCACTTCACGATTTTTGACATTTCGGCGGCGATTTATTTTCGGCGTGGGGTAGAGGGCATGGTATAGTGCGACAGATGCTGTGAAAAATTTCATCGGCGTTTTAATTTAGGCGTTTTGGGTCGGTGCCGAATATAGCCGAAATTAAATAGCTGCCGAAAATTTGTATATTTACAGTATGCTGTGTTGGGTAGGTGGAGATAGGGGGACAACACACTTGATTGATGATGTCGGGGGTGATGATGTGTGTAGTGTGCCTGGGCTCTCAAGGTTGTGACGGCACTGTCGTAGAAATCCTAACAGGGCACTTTGAGATGGCTACTTTGTAAGGTTACTGCTGCTGCTGCTGCTGCTGCTGCTGCTGCTGCTGCTGCTGCTGCTGCTGCTGCTGCTGCTGCTGCTGCTGCTGCTGCTGCTGCTGCTGTGTATGTAGATGTAGATGTACGGTTGTACTTTAATGATATCCAGCCTCATGAAGAAGTTAGCGCTCTGCACCACTGCACAGCCCAGTGCTTACGGGCCTGGTGCTGCACAAAACTCGGTGCAACACTAACCAGTGCAATCGTGCTCCACTGATCAGTATTGTAGTACAGTATAACTGGGCATGGCTCTGGGCGTCTGACCAGCGGTCTCCACTGTGATTTGTATTGGCAAGAACTGTACTTGCACTCCGGCATGTATTACAAGTACTCAGTATGCAACTACTTACACAGACTTTCTTTACACTTTGTTCTCTTGTGTTCTGCAATGTGGGGGTTTCCCCTGCACAGGTCGTTGTGATGGCGCAGCCGCTACTAGAAAAGCTTCGCTACTTTGTTGTCATCGTGGTAAGTGGAAAGCTTAGAGTTCTCCCTCTCTCTCTCTCTTTCTCTCTCTCTCTCTCTCTCTCTCTCTTTCTCTCTCTTTCTCTCTCTTTCTCTCTCTCAAAAAAACACCCTAGTGGATCCGTACTGTAGTTTGTGCCGTACCTGGGCCTGTACTACGCGCCACGTGCTTGGCGCTTGTCGCGTAGCGCTGGACCAGGGACGTTACACCTGGAGGCACGACAACGTACTCGGGGTCATCGTCAGGAACATGCGTGAGGAGATTCGAATCCGCACTGCTGCAAACACCGTACAAACCGAAAATTCAAATGAGCTTGACTTCATCTCGTTTTGCAAGGCGGGAGAGAAGCCAGTTCGCGTTCAGCCCAGACGGAAGTTGGTTACGACTGATCTCCTGTCAGCGGCCTCAGACTGGAAACTTCTTGTCGACTCAGTTAGTGCAAAGATTTCTTTCCCTAGCTGTGTTGCACTTACCACCCTAAGACCAGATATAGTTCTGTACTCTACGAGTCGTAGGATTGTATTCTGGATGGAGTTGACAGTTTGTGCTGAGGACAGATTCAGTGTCAGTAACTCGCGGAAGGACAGGCGGTATGCGGATCTGGCCGATCAATGCCGAGCAAACGGGTGGCAGGTCGTTTCTTTTTCGGTTGAGGTAGGTGTGCGTGGTTTCATCCCGGACTCTCTTCGGAGGGCTCTGAAAGCGTTTGGGTTTTCTAATCGAAGAATAAAATTTATTTGTAATTTGTGCAGTAAGACGTCTCTGCGAAGCAGCTACATCATCTGGTTGCGACGTCAACGAAAACACTGGTCGGAAGATCCACTTTTCTGAGGTACTGTATGTGGGGCTCCGTTTATTGAGGTGCGTTGAAATTTATTCTCTTTATCTTATTATTTCTTTTCTATAATTTCCCCATATGAGTTCCTATCAGTTGCTGAGAACACCTTGAGTGGAGAGCGCTTGCTCGAGCGTTGAACCGGGTTCTTAATCCACCATAC